TTAAGAAAGATTGGTTTCCTGAAAATTTGGATGTTTGGGAGAACAAGATTTTTCAAAAGGCAGGGAAAGACCCGTGAGAAGGAATTTCTTCTCTTTCAGGCCAATTCAACAGAGGTTGGCAAACTTAGAAGCGCAAAAGTGTCAAACTCCCATGTTTTTTTAGTAATTATGTTAGTCATAAAACTGAAGACCCCACTGTTCTTTTGGGGGGACTATCTCTCTTTTGGCTTGACTGTTGCCAGATGGTTTTGCCATTTGTCTTTCAGCACGGCAATCCTCATTGGTGTGCCCTTTCAGAAATATATTCCCAAAGTCTCAAACTTTGGGAATGGTCAAAGTCAATAAATTGTGTCAAAAACAAGACAAAAGAGTCAACTCAGCAGCAACTCTTCACAAAACATTTATTTCAGACTGTGAAATGCTTGGAAGAAACTTTGCTATTATTCTCAATTTCTGCAAATGGCATGCGAAATTTCATCAGAAGATATCATAGGTCTTGAGATTTTTTATTCAGAATCCCATGGATTCTGTTTGATTATTCCTTCAAATTTTTTTTTATGATGAAATTTGTACACAAACCCACCCAGATGATATGCTTGAGTTTGGTGTTTATAAAACCAGCAGTACTCCTTGTGATCATCTATGGTGTTTTAAAGATGTTATTCATGCTTGGAAGGGACGCTGGGGTCTAGCATTTTTGTTCATTATTATGTAACATCAATATTTCATTCATGTACTGTATATGACAATACTGTAATTGCAGATTGTTCATTCCAATGTTGTGGACACGGGGGTTGTGAGACCGTTAGTGTCTTATACTGGTACAAATAGACGGACGTCTCTGGCATCCCGTGTGCAAAACGCATTCAATGATGATGTAACCTTCCGGGCAAAAGGTGGGCCCCGTAACAAAGCAGCAGAAGACGCCCAGTGCGCCATGGCATTGGCGCGGGTTGATGCAGCTAGCGGCCCTGCGGCGCGTGTATGAGACTCTTCGCCGTTTGTGGTCACATTATCACGAAGAGATGTCGCTCGATTGGAGCTTGGATTGAAAAACCCCTCGGGAAATTGACAAGATTCCAATTCACTGAAGAGATGAATCGAAATAGCGGACACAATCGGGTGATTGAAATACTGGGATGCGGGTTTTTGACTCGGGGAACTGAGAATATTTCTGGACGTTTCATTGATTTCCGCGCAGGTGTCGCTCATATTCGATCTATAGAAATATTTTTCAGCAGGAATGTTTTACTATAGTATATCTGAGTTTTTTGACACACAGGGATTTTTTCGAAAAGGCTTATGTTTTACTCTCATTTGCTTATAAATTCTTCTGAGGTTCTCGTGTCTAAATAGTTTGATGAAGAATTTCCCCAGCTAATTTCACAACTAGCAAATAATTGTTGATAAGAAGCTCCTTATGTTCTCAAAATTCAAAAACTCGGATATTAAAAAAAAGTATTGAAAGGAAATCCTTGAGTGATAAATTCAATCATTTCAAATCAGTTCTGAAGATTCCAAGAAATGATCGAAAATTATTTAGGATTTCAATGGCTTTTTTCACATTGTTCTCCAAGTATTTATTTTTTTATCCAACCAGTTACTAATTAGTTGATGAACTTATTGTCATTCCGATGTTGATCAACCAGAATTCAGCAATGCGAAAGAAGAGAGTTCGAATTTTCCAATCATTTCATTGGTTACTTTTCTCACGCGAATATATTTTCAACATTTTGTTGATTTTGAAAGGCATTACAAACAATTCATTTAGACCGTTGTATTTTTTTAAATCAATCTGTGGTTTCAGACATTTGCTCTGATATTTTTCCCAAGTAAAATAATTCAGATGCTTTATTTTGCTGTCATGTTATTTTATTTTTTCCTAAACAAAAACAACTTGTATTTTGCGGGGATTATTCATGTGATCATGTCAGAATAATGCAAGAGATCAAAATTGAGTTTTTGAATGTGTATTCCTACAACTGAATTGCAAGATGTTCCTGATGTAGATTTTCAGTGCAATAAATTTGGGTCTAACTGTAGCAGGAATTCATTTTCATTTCGTAGGAAAGCTTTTAGCAAACATTAAATGACGCTAAGAAACGTGGACACATTATTTATGCAGGGAATTTCTGCAGGAAGTACAATAATTGTCAAAATAAAAAATCTCATTATTTACAGTTCAAGAGGTTATTTAGCTTTTTTCACTTGAGCTTAATTATTGTCATGTGACATCCACTTTATTTTATGTTGAGCAAAATTTCAAAGGGCAGAGTCAAGTACAATATACCATATACTGTATTTGACTTTAAAAAATAGGTGCATAACTGTCAAGTTAGCCATTTCATCATATCATTTCTAAAATTCCTTTTTTTCAAATTATCAAGTGTTTTTCCTTTTGGCAAAATAATCTAGGGCTACTGGAAATTATAAATTTTTCTGTTCAGTTGAAAATGGAAATGCATCAAGACCAGAATTCATTGATTTATTTTCAAGATACTGTATTGATAAAAATTGTAAGTACCCAAATCCACCCAAACAACCAGAAAGCACTGCTAATTCCTTCATTCAAAATTTATGGGAAGTCTTTCTCCACCAAGAAATTTATCAGGAAATCCTTAATGACATTTAAACAATCTATTTTCATACACTATTAGAATAGTACAGTATAATAATGAAGAGGATGAAAACACCTCAAAGTGCATCAATGGTGAAACGCCCTGAGGAAATGTGAACCATTGTGGCAATGGAAGATTGTGACCTTCTTTCTTTGCCAACTCTCTCTTTCAACATGAATGAACCTCCTTGGGGACTTTACTAAAGTTTCAAAATAACAGTACTTTCAATTTTAAACAAGCCATTCATTGATAGAATCCTTTTTTATCTTCTGAAGGCAAAAAATCTTTGATTCTGAAATTCCTTCCAAATAACTTTTCACCATCCACAGTTCACATATTTTTTTTCAAGTTCAAGTTCAAGCAAATTGAGATATTTCTATCTTGTTTCAAATATAACCAGCAATTTTTGAAAAATTCTCTGCCATCAAAAGTGTTTGCTCAGTGCTCACAAATTGTTTATTGTGTTTCATGGAATTTAAATTCTTGAACCCATCTGAAGCCACTCATGTTGAAAGTTTTCATGAATAATATATAGCCAAAATTATCTATGAGACTTTCATTGGGTCAGTATGTAGGTGCCCATTGAATTTTTTCATATTGCAACATTTTAACACGTTTTTATTAACTCGCTTTCTTGTCCGTTTGTTTGTCCGAAGGTTATTTTTTGCTTTTTGAAAGCGTGGTTTTTTAGATTAATTTTTTAATCTACTAATTTTTTTGTGCTTTTTAGTCTTACTTGAAAAACTTGGTTTTTTAGATTAATTTTTTAATCTACTATAATTATTTTACAATTGTTCCTCAAGCATAGTACCTCATACAGTATAATCAAATATGGTTGTAATGGAAGAATTTACCAAGTCTTTAAATTTTTTAGCAGATATTTGGCATCATTTTCTGCTTTGGGGATCAATTGCAGAACATGGAATTCTTTCATTTCATGCATGTGGCAGCAACATTTTCCAAATAAAGTAGAGATTAAAGTACAGTACTGTTCTTATATGTCTTGAAATATTTGAAATTGTTCTTGCAAAGTACAGTAATTTTGTGAAGTTCCTCAGAGCTGTAGAAACTCTTGCAGAAAGTGCTCCAAATTTTTCTTAATTACCATTACCTTTCGTGTGTTCCAAGAAATTTTTGAAACAATGGTTGGCAATTTATTCTCTTTTTGTTCTACAATGGGGAATGTGAGAATTCTTCTAATGGCAGCATTGTTTCAGGGAATACCGTCGACAAAAAATGGTCTGGAGTTGAAAAACTGAAATTCCCGCGGTTTCATTATGACCTGGTTTTTTTGTTCAGTTGATTATTTTTGCTGTCTTTCTTTCTTTTGCTCTCCAAACTTCCGACACCGTGACGAGGGTGTCGACAATTGTCGACAGCAAATCTTGGGGCAGTTTGCTGTTGGATTCCAGAGTGAAATTTACTTTCTGTGCTCTTTATTCTCTTGCTTCCTTTTTTCGGTGTTGTGCTTTTTTTGAGTTCTTGTAAAAATGTTTTGGTCTTTAAAATATGCTCCTAAAAATTGTATTTGATAAGAGGAAGGGCTATTTGGAGTATTGCCCAATTTATAATGATTTTTCTCAATGGTGTGATGGATTACTATATTTAGTAATGGTGATATTTTTCTTGAATTCCTGGGTGAGAACTTTAAAGAAAAAATCTATCTCTAACTCCATTTCTCTAAAGTTCGAAGAAATTAAATTTGTTTTGCCCTAAATTAGAGGAACTTTCTTATTCCTATATGCAACACAACTGATTTTAGATTAAATCTGCGGCTAAGCTCAATTTAGAAAAATAAAGCAGGAAAGTGAACATCAGAATTGAGCTTGGTTTACAGTATCTTGAACATTATTACATCAACAATAAGCTGAATTGCTGAGATACTGTTTGATGAAATTAACTATATTAAAGACACTTACTATATAGAGTATAATAGCATTGACTCAAATCCCTGCAAAAATGTCCAATTTTCCATTTTATTTCAATTTTATTTTCCCATTCAGTCTGTGATGAATTTCAGTCTGCATTCAAGATGTCACTGTGTTTTTCTCCATAAGTTACCCTTGCTTGGAAAGTGTGCAAGTTTTGGTGTTATGAATCATAAGTGGATATTGTAAGTTGTTTTCCAAGAAAAGCTGTTTTATTGTGGTCTTTCTTTCCAATTTTCTAGTTTCTTTAGAAATCATGATGCACTTTTTTGAATTTAATTGACATTGTTTCTAAATTTGTGCAAAAATTGAGGTAATTATTTTCAAGTAAATTCAAATTTTAGTTCATTGGGAGGAAAGTTTTCATTTCTTTTTCAACGGTTAAGCTTCAACTTGTGCTACATTGAGATCATTTAACCAGGTTTTTTCCCACTCAGAACAAAAGGAAGTGAAGATGATGAGAGTTGGTAAAAGTGGTCAAGTGACTGTGACTGTGATGTCAGCAGTTGTTTCCCTACTGCTATCATTAGTGCCCCAGTTGACGAGTTCAGACATGATGGAGGACTTGTTTGCAAACGCGACCTCACTCATGGACAGTCTGGCTGCTGAGGCGCGCCGCACACAAGCTGGGCCAGTGGGTGAAGACATTGTAGTTGTGGGCACAGGAACTGTTAACATTGATCCCAGAGAGTTTCTGCTCAGACAATTTCCTCACTTGGCTAAAAGATTGTTTGGCTCTGCCTTCACTAACTACACTAGCACCACTTCTACTACCACAACTACTGGTGAGTTATTTTGGCAACCTTGATGAGGATGATGTTCTCATCCTATAGTTGAATTGAAGGTGACATATTTCATCTATGCAAGTTGATTTTATTGATTTAAAAGTAGTATTTACAGTTTAGGTTTGCCATTCTTGGTTTCTATATCTCTTTAAAATGTGTTTTCTTTCTTTTTGAGTGCTCACTATTCTCACCCCTAAAATGGTATATTGTTTTTATAGGACATAGTCACTCTACTTCAAATGCTATGGTTTTGAACTTTTACCAGAGTTTCTTTGCAACAACACATACCAGCAAGGAAAAATACAAAAACTCTTTCAGTTCACACATTGTTCCTAAACATGCCTCATTCAAAATTGTGAATGGTGCCTTTGTGTTTGAGAAAAGATTGACTAAATACTAAATTTATTTGGATTATTGAAAGGTACTGCATCACTGAAAATGACTGAATAAAATGTTTTAGCAACTGAGAAATCAAACAATATTTTTTTTTTTCAATGAAACAGAAAAATCTCTGGGGACATCCAGCACAACCCAAAGCCCCCCAATAACAACCTCCACAAGGAAGCTGAGTGAGTTGCTCACAACAGAGGCAAGTGTCAACCATCAAGACAGTGGAGGTGGTGAAAGGAATAAGTTTTCTATGATCATCAAGGATTTAAGTGATGATGGGAACAAGGGCCCAAGACCAGGAAGGATATCTTTACTGCCATTTGGGTCTCCCTATTTGCCAGAATTCAGTAGTGGGGAGGATGCCAGGAAGTCTGTTGTCAACAACAGGTCTGTTCATCATTCACTTTCTGGACTTTAAATCATTATTTTTAAACTGAAAAATGATTTATTGAGTGAAAACTTCCCCAAGACTATAGAATAGGTTCCACATAAGATGAACTAGAGTATTTCCCCATATACTGAAACAAATGCTTATTGTTATATCTGAATTGTTGATGATTTTAAACATGATGATCTTTTGATGACCAAATGTCCTCCAGGTTCAGCATCCAATCAACTCATTTATTCAACAGTTTCAGGTCCAGAATATCACCAACTTGACCTTTCTGCAATTCTTCACTTTTTCCCAGCATAAATTCTGATTTTCTCTACATATACTGTATATAACTCAAAAATTTTATTTTCAAAATTTGTCCCTTTGAGATTTATTTTAAGAGATTTGACTGCATTTATTTAATGTCCTTGTTCTTTTAATATATCAGCTTGAAAAATCATTTTCTCAAAAGGGAGCCACATGTGCCACTCATTTCCCAGGTAATTTGTCTTATTTTTGCAGAAACAAGGGTGAACCAACAGATGACCCCTATGATGACCCCCTGGGATTGTTGCTCACCACCAACAACAGTAATAAACCCAAGCCCACAGCAGCAGGTTTCCCTATAGCAGCAGCTGTAGCAGCAGTTGCAGCGTCATCTATCCAACAACATCATCATCATCATCATCACCACGCCACAGACCTGCCCACCCTCATAGCCACGCCCTTGTCCTCCGGTGCAGTGGTAACACTGGAGAGCTCCGTTGAGGCCGACACAAGCCACGAATTCTCGACACCTCCGTCATTGAGTTCCGGTTCCGGGTTCGTCACGTCATCCACACCATCGTCATCATCATCATCATCAACAACATCATCATCATCATCATCATCAGTGGAAGGAGAAAAAGAAGAAGAAGGAGAGTCACTGACTCGAGACGCGCTGGATGGCGCTCCTTGCAACGTCACTGGTCAGTTATTCAGAAACGTGTGACCATCTTGATGAAAGTTTCTCTTCATTTTTTTTTTTGCTTCACTGCTGCCTTTTTTCACTTTCCTTTGTCGGAGTGGGGGGGAAAAGTGTGAGATCAGCAGCAGTGAATACTCAAAAGGGGGTTCTCAAAAGTTTAGTAAATCCCTGCTGCTGATATATAAGGTGTTCTCAAATTTGAAAAATAAAATAACTTTTTCTGCATTTTGAAAGGCAGAAAATAACTGCCGGATGAAACCATGGTTAAAATTAGTTTTGGCATGAAAAGGAGTCAATTTTAATTTTTATGGAAAAACCATATAAATATATGTCTGAATTATTGAAAAACTTTTATAATTGTTGAGCCATGAAACATTTTCTGAAGCTTTTTGAATACTTATTTTCACTCTATGACCATTGTATGTAGTAGCTAAATTTGTTCATGTGACACCAAAATTTGAGAAGCATTTTTTTTCTTGAAATCTTGACAATGTGTCCATATTTGAGGAATGGAGACATTTTCCACATTTTTGGCAATTTTTTTAAAGCTTGAAGTGTCCATAATTTAAATTATCTAAATTGTGGCAGTCTAAAAGCACAATGCAGGTGATAGTACAGTATACATCTTAATTCAACCTCTGGCAATTCAACCATCCCACGATTCAATTGTCAAATTTGCAAAAGAGGTTGAATTATTGCAATTCAACCACTGCTTGGAAAATTGACCTGCTTTGGCCACTTTTTTGCATTTTTAAACTTATATTTTTAAATCTCATGCAGTATCTCACAATTCAAATGATTTGAAAATTGACCCTATATAGTCTGGCAACAGATTAAGGCTGAATTGCAAGGTATCACCTGTACTATAAACACTAAATTTTAATGAAAATGTTTACCAAAAAATGGAATATCATTTATGAATTTTCATGGCTGAAGTATTATTGCTATGATTTTTTCTTTGAGGTTGTGTATGGCTATACCAACACCATACATAAAAGCTGAAACAACTTTGGAAAATTTTTAACATTGTAAAGAAGCATATATAATTACATGAATATGTTTCCTAGGGTAGCTTCAATGATATTGTGGGTTGATGCATAACAACTATCCAAGACATAGATAAACATATATCTGAGATATAAGTATATAAATAAAGACAAATTGATCTAGGAAAAATTAGTCAAAAGACAATTTTGAGATGTTTCTCAGAGGTCTTGCAAACATAAACTCTTTCATGAAAAATTCATATTACTGACATATACTACAGAAAATTATAAAAAATTATTTCCAAACATTCAAGCATTGGAATCTTTCTTAGTATTTTTTAAAGGTCAGAATTATCGACCTCTCTTCAAATGCATTTTTGATTTTATCTTTTTATTTTTACTTTTTGAAATATGGTGGAATTTCTTCAAAAACTAGTTCATGATTTTGCCAGAAAAGCTTGTGGGTTAAATAAAGTTTGATTCGCAGAACTTTATGGAAAACCTCTTGTGATACACCTAATGACACAGATGGGTGTCTTTCCTTCCTGGTTCCTTGGCCAGATGAGAGTGAGGATTACCATGTTGAGAGCTATTATTGCGTCACTGGCGTGGTACTATAAAAATTAAAATATTCAGAGCAACATACATTAAAGTATCCCATCTTTTCTAGCAAAACAAAAACTTCATCTGTCGAATTTTGAATCAGCTCATCAATTTTATTGTAATTTATTATCACTGCATTTTTAAAAGTTTTTATCACAGTTGGAGATATTATGCTACAGTTTTTATGCCATTGGCTAGAATTAATTCATGCTTTCAAGAATACAATCCTGAAATTACTAAGTTGAGAAAATGAAAAAGGGGTTTCTTTTGTGTGTCATAGACAATATTTTTTTGGGCATTATCACACTTTGAATCACTTCCTTGGAAAACATTTCGCACCTTTTGCACTTGTGAATGTTAATATGCACTGCACTGATGATATTGACTGTCAGAAGTGGACTATGAGACTTTGAAAGATGGACTGGAAACTGGGGACTTGTTGATGATTGACATTCGTCCGCGTCTGGAAGCTGAACTCACTGGCATCATCCCTGGGTCACTCAATATCCCAAGTGAGACAAATGCATTATTTCCATTTATGTATTTCTCATGATTAAAAAAGATGTACAATATTGTGCATATATACAGCATAAAATGGGTCCCTGATTTATGAAAGACCTCTTCAACTCAAATTTTGCTATCCTTTTGGAGAGGGAAAAAGAGACTCACAAATCAAAATTGCTTCACATAGAATTTTTTGGCCAAAAAAATGACTTGAATTTTAGCAAGCATTGAGTTGAAATTTTTAAAATATTGTATATACAAATTGGGGTAAAAATAAAAAGGGTTCATTTCTAAATTTTGTTAATCCTGAAAACTTTCAGCAGGAATAAGAGCTATAATTTGGCAATAGTAATTCAAGAGTATTTTTAGCAAATCCAATTCATAATTTAATGCAAATAACTTGGTAACAAATGTATATACTCCCCTATACTCAAGTTTCCTTAATTATGGAATAAATAAACCTGAATTTTTCTTAAGCAGCAATTTCAAGATGGCTAATGAACTTGATCAGCTGCATTGAAGAATATGCCTCCATATTGAATATTTTATTCTGAGAGTATTCTATATGTAGAAGAAATATCCCTGAAATCATCCCCCAATCTTTTTTTTCTCAAGAAGCAACAATTTCCTAATGGCTAACCATATCAAACATTAAGTTTCATAATCCTGAGCTGTATCAAAAAGAATTTATTTACAATTCCAGTTATATATATTCTTTTTCAAACATAACACTTTCATATATATACAGGTGAGAAAGTGAGGGCTGAGTTGGATGCTGATGAGCTGCTATTTGAAAGGAGGCATAGATACAGGAAACCACACCCCAAACTAGGACCAAAACTAGTACTGACTTCCAGGGAAGAAAGTAACCTAGTGAACGTGGTACGGCAGTTGCAGGCTGCCGGGTACGCTAACCTCATGTTGTACCCGCGCGGGCTTGTGGACTGGATCCTGCGGGGTGGGCGCACTGAACGGATTTTCGAATCAGAGTATCAGTTCCAAAGCAGTGAAGAAGATGAAGCACCAGTGCAGCCCCTGGATCCTGAAGAATTATTTCTTGGTGATGGTCAACAGGCTGCTGAGTCAAGGACTATTTTCAGGGCCATGGGGGCTGAGCAGGTTCATGAGAATGACTTGGACTGTGAGTGGTGTGGGGGACTGTGGACTTCTTTTTCTTTTTCAGTTTGTGCTGTGTGTGTGGCCATGGCACATATTTGAAGCCAAGATGTGGACAAAAAAACCCAAAACAAGTGTTATATCTGCTGACACCAGACCTAAATACATTCAAGTAGTGTATTTTAACTTCCTAATATTTAAGTTTTCAAAATTATTCCTTCACAGAGCAGATGTAAACTTTCTTCAAATTTCCTGTTATAATTTTCAAGAAATCCCTTCAAGTACATGACTTTTAAAAAATCAAAATATTGAACACCAACTTCCAACTCCCAGAGAAACAAGCAGTTTTACTCTTTCAAGATTTACTCAAAAGCTTTGAACTAAAATTATTCAAGCTTGTGAACCCTTGATACATAATGGAATACAAATGGAGGCACAAATGCTGAAAAATAATAGAGGACACCCCTTTTCCTATATTTTGGAACCATTCCTAAAAATATAATTAAACTTCAAAAGCATTTGCTTTAATGTACTGTATTTTTTCTAGCTTTCCACAAAAATTATTTGGTTTATTTGGCCCAGTGGGTGACTGAAAAGTTTATTTTCACAATACTTCTGATGAAGACAAATGACAATATTGCTGACTTTGAGACTTTACTAAACCTGGGAACCAACACAGACATGACTTGAATGATGGGCACATTAGTTCACAGCCTTTTTGTTTGCACATTTGAGGCATGACATATCACTTTATTTCCACATATTTTGCACTTGACAAAATGAATAGTGACAAGAATTATGCCCCTCAAGATGTATTCCAGTATGGGTATTTTGAAATTTTCAGATCTGAGCTATGATGACCTCAAGTTTGCCCTGAATCAAAGGGAAACCTTGTTGATTGATGTGAGAAGAAGGGAAGCCTTCAAGAGAGGTTCAATTCCTGGAGCAGTGAATCTTCCACGTAATTATCCATTTATATCCTTCAAATATTTAATATACTAAATGTCTTATTGTTTCATCATAGTCCACATGATCACATTTGATGCTACCATGACACCATCAAGGTTCCACCAAAAGTACAACTTCAATTTGCCATCCAAACATGCCCTGAGGAATGTGATAGTCTTTGGAAGAGACAGATATGATGGCATTGGAGCAGTAAAGAGGTTCAGAGTGGTTGGCTACAAAATTTGCCAAGTCTACAATGGCTATGATGACTGGATGAAGAACTATGCTGAGGATGTTAGGAGAGGAACTCCTGGGTGAGTATAATCACACTATTGGAAAAAATAATAAAGCCTTTTAAAGAATCCCAAGATACCATTTTTCCAATTTATGCAATACAATTTTCTTGGGGGTGTGTTCTTCAAAAAATTTGAGACACACTTTCATGTAGGTATCCATAAATCAAGTTGAAAAATATAAAGCATACATATATATAGTAGTCAAACTTTGATGTGCAGCATTTTTCCCAGGAGAAATTTTGATAATAGCTTTTTGCCTCCAATTCTGCATGAAAGTCTATTTTCAGGCCTTTTATATGCATATACTGTACCTTGTTTGCCTTCCATCCTGTTGATATGCTTTCATGAAAAAAAAACCTTTACTGTAGTGGGATTTGAACTAGGGACCTTTGAAATGCACCAAAATGTACCATATAGCCAAGTTGGTTACCTGAATAAAAAAAGATAGTGACACCTGGTGGCATAGTCAGCCCTTCTAACTTGATTCTATCAAATTTTTGATGATAAGTTTGATGATAGGTGTCATTCATGTTCATTCTCTTTTTTCATTTCAGACTAGACCATGCACAGGTGGCATCAGGTGTTGGGTCAAGCCTGAATTTTGTATCAAGACCTCCATCAGAAGGCTTCTCACCAGGTTATGTTGCTACAACCCCAGATCCCAAGATATCCTTTAGAAGTGCTGCTTCAGATGGACCAGGTTAGCAAAACCCTGAGTTGTGTAAATGTCATGACCAAATTTATAACACCATACTGTGTTGATTTCCTAGCTCCTCTCCTGCCAAACAAGCTTGGGAGAGAGGATGTGCAAATTCTGGTGCTTGGAGGAGATCCTGAGAGACTGAGGAGAGCTGTGAGAAATCTCAGGGACATTGGCTACAGGTAAGGTTTCTTGAAATTTTCTCTCCCTTGGTTTTTTCAATACTGTACTCAATCAGAGAAGAAAAGTGATGGTGATCATGTATACCTCAATCTCAGAAGAATATTATTTTCCAATTAGGTATGTGTATGTGCATGTAGCTGAAGAAGCATCAGATGGCACCTGGAAACCCATGACTGGTGACAGACTGCAAAAGTGTCTCACCTTGCCTACCAGGACATCTGCTGGAAGCAACCAAATCAATGTCTTTGCTTCTCCTGCAACCCCTAGCCCAAGTAATACTGTTAAAAGGAACCCTGCAGAAACCAAACAGGCAAGTTTATAAACAAAAGTATTTATTCCATAAGCCCATTATGTATTCCTATGCAAATTTCAGGCTGGAAACAACTTCCAGAGAACAGCAACTTCTCTTGAAAAGTTTGATTCACTCAACTTCCAGACTGCTCATGAACACCATCAGCAAAAGCTTGTGGAAAAGACTGCTCCAACAACTCCAGCAGCCCCAGCAAGTGATAACAAACTAAGTATAACCAACTTTTTTACCTTATTATTTAAAAAAGGGCTCATTCATAGAATATTTCTTGCAGAGGTTGTCAAGGAAGAGATATTTTTCAAAGATTTGCTTGAAAAGATGGAAAAAGGAGAGTATAAGGTGTTTGAGTTCAGGAGTGAGGACTCTGTAAGGAAGGATGGAAAAATCCCAAAATCAGCAGTTATGAAGTGTGAGTATAATATAATAATCAACTATTATCATGTTTATATTTCTTCTATTGAGGAAAAGTTTGAATGCCCTCTTTTATGTATGCCACAGTGTTTGAAATCCCTGGGGTGGTGACCATGCAAGACAAGGAATTTGTGTCCAAGTTTGGCTTCAGGAAGCCAGCTCTAGATGGCAGTGATTTAGTTGTAAGCTGTGATGATCCACAAACAGGAAGAGAGGCCATCAGGAGACTCAGACAATTGGGTTATTCAAGGGCTGCTCTTTTCTCTGGCTGTTTCCAGCAGTGGAAATCCCTTGGTGGTCCTGTTCAGTACCCCACTCCTTCAAGTATAATCCATTCATTAAAATCAAGTTTCATTTTCAGTTGCACTGATTGAATCCAATTCTTGACAGGGATTTCACCAGGTGAACTGGCCTTGCAAGTCAGGAAGGGAGCCATGATCATTGATGTTGGGGATTTGAAATTGGAAGGAAGAGATGCTTTCCCAAAAAGTATCAACATTCCAGGTATTTAAGGAAACATGTCTAAAACTATACATAAATACTACAATATTTGAGAACTTTTCACAGTGAGTGACTTGAGGTTGTCATTCAGCATGGATCCACAGCAATTTGAAGAAAAGTATGGGTTTCAGAAATTTGGAAAAAATTCAGGGACTCCACTGATCCTAACAGCAGCAAATCCTCAAATGGTACATGATGCATCCAAGGTTCTTGCAAGCATTGGATACCACAATATCAGGTATTCAATTTTTTACAATTTGAAAAATGCAATCCATTAATATTTGGAGATTTTTTTTCTTGCAGGCTGCTCTACATGGATTTGTAAAATCAGCATCAGGTAGCCAGACTCAAGGCTGTGATAAATCAACCATCTGCCAAATTATCATTGGTTTTTTTGTTGTATTCTGGTGTAATATTTACTTTTGGCAGTAATAAAAACAATCAACTGGTTCTTTCAAGAAAAAAAGGATTGAATTTTTACAAATTTCAGTTTCATTTTCACCCCCTAAAAATGCCAGTATATGTGAGCTACTGTTTGTTGTTCAGGATTTTACACCCATTTATCCATTTACTCTTAAGCAAGATACATCTTTTATGTGCAGATTTGCAGAATGATATAAAATTAAACTAAAGTGTATTTCATTCATTATATTTAATAAATGGGATTATTATCTCAAGTGTTGCCATTCTGAATGATTTCTTTGCTCTCTGATCAGCTATCAGCAGTAATAGTTCCAGAGAGACAATCAAGGTTACCTACTCATAGAAAGAAAGAGGAAATAAGTTGCTGGATCATCAGGAAATCACATTCATGCCAAAGAATATTGATCCAATTATCCACAAAATATCCTCCAGATTTTGCCAATCACCAGAAAAGATCCCCATTATTTCCCTCTGTCCATTACACTTCTCATCCCTATTCCAAGATAACCCTGAAAGCAACCTCCCTTAGAGCAGTGCAGAAGGGATCCTTCAGATAACCCAGGGATCCCCCTCTCCCAGCTGCCCACAGCTAGTATTGCATTATTCAACAATAAGCATCCCATTTAAATAATTGCATAACTGGAATCACACCCTTTCCCTCTATTTAAGCAATAACACTTTTCCTCCCATGCACACTTACACATCAAAAGCAACAAAATATTTATAGAGCAGAAATTCTTTTCCTATATAGAGAACAGTGTCCAATATAGAGAGCATGCGCAAAAATCCCTGGTAGCCATCCTGGAAAGCTCCACCATCTCTGGAGCATAAAACTCCAGAAAAGCACATTCTTGGTGCCATTTCCTTCTTTGCCAGCAGTGCTCCATCAGAGCTATAACAAAAAACTATGAGTGCTTCAGGAAAAGGTTTGATTGGAATCTGGTTGTACTGGAATCAGCCTGATGATGCTGGGGTTCACCAACCTGAAGTAAAATCCACCACAACTGTTTTCAAGCCTGCAATAGTAAGTTCAATGATAATTCCACTTCTGCATAAAAAAATATTTTCAATTTGGATTTACAGAAGCACAGACCAAGTGTGATGAACCTGAAGCACAATGAAATTCCTAAAAAAAAAGTTGTCCAGCCTGGGAAATGTATGGTCTTGACCCTCAGAAACAACATTGGGGGTCTTTCAGATGTCCTGCAAGTATTCAAGGTACTCTATATATATGGATTAAATAAACAAGCAGCTCATTTTGTTTGTCAACTCTGGTGCAATTATTTCTTTGCAGGAGAAAGGAATTAATATTTTTCACATGGAATCCAGACAAACTCCAAGAAGAGAATCCTTTGCTGACATTCTGTTGGAAGTCGATTGTGAATCTGATAAAATGCAGGACATGTTAGCAGCCATAAAAGACAAAGTAACATCATGTGGATACAAGACCTGTCAACATGGTAACACAAAAATCGTCATCCTTATCCTTATTGTTATTATCTATTATTGTTATTATTATAGCCTATAAATATACATAGAGTCCTGCTTTAATTTCCATGCAATGTTACATGAGTACTCATTGTTGAGTGCCATTTATAAGTCATTATATTAACTCCAAAAGTAAATGATCATGGGCATCATATAATATGATGCATTTATTTTCAAGCTATACTTCTTCACTGTGGAATTTGGCCTCTGTTGTGAAGGTGGGTCAAGAAAGGTCTATGGGGCTGGGTTGTTATCCTGTGTGTCAGAGCTGGAGCATGCAGTGTCCCAGGAGGCCCTTGTCAGACCCTTTGACCCCAGGGATGTGACCCAGATGACCTGTCAAGTGACCACTTTCCAGGATGCATATATTTCTTCACCAGTAAGACTTTTGAGGAGGCTAAAGAGAAACTCAGGTACTGCAGCACTGTGATTGAAATGTTATGTGAAGTTTAAATCTTTCTCTTAAAGCATCAAAATTGAATTATGACATACATTCTTCAAATATCAGCTCATGTTTGACCATAAGCTTCACCAAACTTTACACTCTGGCCTAAAAATATATTATACTCTGCATAATTGAAATACGTGATGAAATATAAAAATTAAAATATGATGGACTTTCAATTACTGTATATACTGACTGCTGCTTGTGTCTCTCATGCAGGGAATTTACCTTGACCATCCAAAGGCCATTTGCAGTGCGCTACAATGCCTATACCCAATCCATTGATGTATTGACAGACAGCAACAAGATCAATTCCATGATCAGTGAACTTAAGGGGGACCTTTACATAGTGAAGATTGCCATCAACAACATCAACCATGAGCAGCAGGAAGACAATTGCAACTTGGATACTCTGGCATTGGCCCTTGAGGACAACCTCACTGCCATCACTCCAACAAACTGTTCTCCAAATTTCCCTTAAGTCCTCTTCATCCATTGATACCTATTGGAATCATATCTGAAGATAGGCTTTTTGTTGATGATGGATCAGCAGTACCCTGTATATATACAGAGAGTACTTGCTTCTGCCTCTTCCAAGTAAAACCAAAACTTATTTTGGTAAAATGATTCAATGCTGGGATGTCTAGATAAGCTAATAATTTCCATTGAATATGAGCCACCTGCACATATATGTTTTGAAATAATAAAGGACTACATGTAATTTCCTGCTTGGATCCCATTTCATTGCATCAAAATGACCACCTTTGCATGCATATTTTGTGCATAATGATGATTGGCTTGTGTATAAATGAAATGAATATAAAGAGTCTGTATATGTAAGATGCATTTCTTGAATTATGAAATTCAGAACATGAATCCTAAAGCCATACTTTCTGTTATTTACTTATTATTTCTTTGATAAAATCAAGATGTATGGAGGAAAGCACTGCTGTATAAGACATATCAATATTTTATATTTATCCTACGTGAGAAATTTGAGAATTGGGGCTATAATGAAGTCATTGAACATGCTTCTGGGCGCTTACATGCTTACATAAGCCATGATCATCATTATCATATAATTTTGCGCCTCATCTAAAACGCATGGAATATAGGCAAATGCGTGCATCACAAATAAATGCAATCTTTGAATACTTCCAAATAAAGAAGCATGCTGAACATTGAAATCGCAGGTTTATAAAAAGCTGTATATGCTGCTTACATCCAGCTGTGATGCTTGAGCTACAGTATACAGTACATCATGTCTAATTAATGTATGGATAACCTGTTGCCGGTTACCACCGGAGTCTGTTGACTAAACGGATACTGCTGACTCTGGGAGTTCGATGCGGGTTCAAGTTCACGATGGCGACGCGCATGTTGAAAGAGCAAGGGAGGGGAGTTCACGTGCGATTCCGCGGAACGCGGTTTTGTGTGTGTAAAACGTTAAAGTGAATCATGAGAAAGTTTAAGACAGCAATGTGATTCAAATTGAATCACCCGTTAATATCTCGAAGTGTTTGAACTCGAGCCATAATTTTTTCAGCACATTTCACGAACGCGTTGCGAAAGATACGATTTTAATTCTGTAAAATTATGCGATGAGTGATCCTGTCTAGAAGCTTTATTTCTGTGGAGTTTGAGCGGTGATATCTTAGCGATAATCACGATGATTTAGTACTGAATGTTGCGTGAAGTTCTGAAATATTTGTGTTAATAAATTCGTCGATCCAGGGATGCAATGCTGTGATGCAAGTGATCGCTTGCCAATTGTAAAGTTCGCATTCATTACCTTCAAGTTTTTCATTTTGGGTACTCGCTGAAGGAACGGAGCATGTATCTTTTCTCTCAACGGGGATCTCTGCGTCATAATCAAAGGTTATACCTTTGTTTTTGTTTAGCGTGACACTGGTACTTGACCAATAAGGCTTTCCCTCTTTTAGGTAGGCGTTCGATGACAGGCGAGAAAGTGGCTCTGGTGAATGGGATATCTCAGGTAAACCTTTTTTTCTTATTTTTTGCAATGTCACTCTCCTTTCCTGACTCCGCGACTTTTACGGATCATCCTCGTTTCTTTTCGGACAGAGCTTCGTCACGACCGTGATGTCACTCTGGCGTCATTGGCCGTGACTTGGATTGCGTCCTTTTTTGAATTCTGGTTTCTATCTTACTNATGCCTATACCCAATCCATTGATGTATTGACAGACAGCAACAAGATCAATTCCATGATCAGTGAACTTAAGGGGGACCTTTACATAGTGAAGATTGCCATCAACAACATCAACCATGAGCAGCAGGAAGACAATTGCAACTTGGATACTCTGGCATTGGCCCTTGAGGACAACCTCACTGCCATCACTCCAACAAACTGTTCTCCAAATTTCCCTTAAGTCCTCTTCATCCATTGATACCTATTGGAATCATATCTGAAGATAGGCTTTTTGTTGATGATGGATCAGCAGTACCCTGTATATATACAGAGAGTACTTGCTTCTGCCTCTTCCAAGTAAAACCAAAACTTATTTTGGTAAAATGATTCAATGCTGGGATGTCTAGATAAGCTAATAATTTCCATTGAATATGAGCCACCTGCACATATATGTTTTGAAATAAAGTAATAAAGGACTGCATGTAATTTCCTGCTTGGATAGTTGGATCCCATTTCATTGCATCAAAATGACCACCTTTGCATGCATATTTTGTGCATAATGATGATTGGCTTGTGTAGAAATGAAATGAATATAAAGAGGCTGTATATGTAAGATGCATTTCTTGAATTATGAAATGCAGAACATGAGTCCTAAAGCCATATACTTCCTGTTATTTACTTATTTCTTTGATAAAATCAAGATGTATGGAGGAAAGCACTGCTGTATATAATGACATCTCAATATTTTATATCTATCCTACGTGGGAAATTTGAAAATTGGGGCTATAATGAAGTCATTGAACATGCTTCTGGGCGCTTACATGCTTACATAGGCCATGATCATCATTATCATATAATTTTGCGCCTCTAAAACGCATGGAATATAGGCGAATGCGTGCATCACAAATAAATGCAATCTTTGAATACTTCCAAATAAAGAAGCATGCTGAACATTGAAATCGCAGGTTTATAAAAAGCTGTAGCTGCTTACATCCAGCTGTGATGCTTGAGCAACAGTATACAGTACATCATGTCTAATTAATGTATAGATAACCTGTTGCCGGTTACCACCGGAGTCTGTTGACTAAACGGATACTGCTGACTCTGGGAGTTCGATGCGGGTTCAAGTTCACGATGGCGACGCACATGTTGAAAGAGCAAGGGAGGGGAGTTCACGTGCGATTCCGCGGAACGCGGTTTTGTGTGTGTAAAACGTTAAAGTGAATCATGAGAAAGTTAAAGGCAGCAATGTGATTCAAATTGAATCAACCGTTAATATCTCTAAGTGTTTGAACTCGAGCCATATTTTTTTCAGCACATTTCACGAACGCATTGCTAAAGATACGATTTTAATTCTGTAAAATTATGCGATGAGTGATCCTGTCTAGAAGCTTTATTTCTGTGGAGTTTGAGCGGTGATATCTTAGCGATAATCACGTTGATTTAGTACTGAATGTTGCGTGAAGTTCTGAAATATTTGTGTTATTAAATTCGTCGATCCAGGGATGCAATGCTGTGATGCAAGTGATCGCTTGCCAATTGTAAAGTTCGCATTCATTACCTTCAAGTTTTTCATTTTGGGTACTCGCTGAAGGAACGGAGCATGCATCTTTTCTCTCAACGGGGATCTCTGCGTCATAATCAAAGGTTATACCTATGTTTTTGTTTAGCGTGACACGGGTACTTGACCAATAAGGCTTTCCCTCTTCTAGGTAGGCGTTCGATGACAGGCGAGAAAGTGGCTCTGGTGAATGGGATATCTCAGGTAAACCAAAAAAGAATAAAAAACGTTACAGTGAGAGGAAAGGACTGAGGCGCTGAAAATGCCTAGTAGGAGCAAAGAAAAGCCTGTCTCGAAGCAGTGCTGGCACTACAGTGAGACCGCAGTAACCGGCACTGTTGGATTGCGTCCTTTTTTGAATTCTGGTTTCTATCTTACTCGAAATACTGTAATTAATGGAGTTCAGCAGAGTGACGTTTTCGGATTGCGTTTCAGGGATGCAGAAGAACATAGTGTACAATAAGCAAATGGTGCACGGGCAATTGGTGGACACGGGGTCCTCCGGCTCGGACGACTTCTCTCCGGATGAGGACCCAGTGAAAAAGCGACGCGAGATTCTGGCTCGTCGTCCGAGTTACCGCAAGATATTTACTGAGCTTCCCGGCTCGGAACTCGCAGGTGAGTTACTTGACTTGAAGAAGAAAAAAAAACTAAAGCCTTTGTGAGTCAACCCGCGTTCTTGTAAATTCAGGTGAGCGCGTTGGGGAAAAGCAGGATCGTCAGCGCAAAAAAGATTTTTTTTCGTCTCCAGAGTATCGGCAGAAAGTTCTTTTCAACTCCGAATGTATGTACCGAGAAGCGAAAAAAATCTCTTCTTTACCCTCGTGTTCTCTTTCCGTTATATACTCACAGTTTATTGTTTCCCGTAGCTATGGTTGCGAGCAAATTGAAAATTCTGGGCCCCAAACTTGTATCTTCAAATTGTATTTTCGTGTAGTGTAGCTGTGGTTGTCATTTCTTGAAGGTGTACTGAATTCATGATCACTGATTTCTAACAGTTGTATACAATGCAGTTTTTTTTAAACCTGCGGAACGTATCTCTTAGTTGATGTATGACTGTATGTTCCCGTATTTTCTGGAATATAGAACGCACCTGATTTTTTTTCTGCGTCCCCGAAAAATAAGGAAAATGTTGGGCTTAAAACGAACGTTTAATTAGCGTTCTATCAGAATCTATTGCTTTACTTGTATTCATGTGAGTTGAGAACTTATTTGTTGTAAAGTTTAAAATAATTCATGGTGAAGTCTTCTGTGGCTGTTCCACTTGTAATTCTTTCACTGCCATTCCTTTCGCCGAATTACTTGAATTCAAATAAAAAAAGACTGCAATTGTGTTCTGAGATTTTACGTAATATTGTATGTAGTGGCTTGGGTTGTGTGCTTAGTTACGTGCTTTGAACGTGAAAACTGTCGTATTTAAATTAATACCGTAAAGCCTCACTGACGTGATCACGTGTTTTAGAATTTTTTTGATGAAGAAATTGAAAATCGTCGTATGAATGCAAGAAAGCAATGCGTTCGTCAGAAACGATTGGATAACAATAAACCGCGCCCCTTTTTTAATCGATGTATGTGGAGAAGTGCATCTTTTATTTGAGTAAATTCGGTACGCTGCTGATGATGGTTCCGTCTACTCGGGAGAATGAAATCTTCGTAGTAAGCGTAAAATTTCCATTGGCGATCAATTTAAAAATTCTTACGGATTGAATGAAAAATACTGTGCACATTTTCAATGACTTGAAACAGAGTTGGTCTGAATTTCGTACGAGTTCCATGAAAAACTGCATGCTTGCATGAGGTACATGGAGCAAGCTTGTTTCGTTCTTTGTATATATTCTGGGTTGAGTTGGTATATTGACATTTTCTTCCTTGAAGTGTGACTGGTGTTTAGATTATGATTTTTTTTTAATTTTCGGGTTGTCTCCAGATGTCAAAGAAGGCAGTCCGTCTTCAGACAGTCAAGATGACACAGCCTCTTCAGGAAGCCACCACCTTGCTGCCCCAGGAGCAAGTCTGGGGTCTCATGTTTTCAAAGGTGACAAAAGCGAGGGTTTTGCATTTCTTTTGCGCAGGGTTCGGCGAAATTTCTAGGTTTTTGTGGGGGTTTTGGACTTGGTGCTAATATCCGGGTTTTGAGTTGAATGAATCTCGATTTGTTTTCGGCGGCACTGAGGAAGTTATTGCATTGTTTTTGCAGTGATACCCTCGGGGAGTATTCAGGGCCAGAGTCCTACAATGAGTGGTGCTGATGGTGTTGTGCAATACCGACCTAACCAGGATGGTCAGCAGTTCTTCGTTCCTGGTAATTTTTATCCTCCCGGTCTCCCCCATTCGTTCTTTAATGCAAATCCCATTTGAAGAACTGAATCATTTCCTAACTTTCGAAAAGATTTCAAAAAGTATTCGCCTGTTCGTGTGACGAAAATTGGATGCAGTTGAGCCTCGATAACTCAATCCTCCCTCTGTCGAATTTTAGTTCTGTCTGAATTCCCTTTGAAGCGATACAATAAAACGTCCCTAACACGAAGGTTTTCCTTCTTAAACCTCTCTAATTTGAATTTTCTGGAGGTCTTCTGCCTTTTTTTTCAAGCTCAGCGTCAAGTCAACTGCAATTTAAAGCCCGAAAACCGTAATTATAATTTTTTTATATTATTTCTTCGTTCCCTAACTCGAAATTGGACTTGAAGAGGTTTGTATGAAATGATGATTTTTTTCTTTTGTATTTATGCGTGCCTACTTTCTTCAGTGTCAATGTCGCCTGGAGAGTTACAAAGCTACGCGCTGCAGGGCGGTGGTGTAGTGAGTGGCGGCGGTCTTGGGACGCCGGTAGCAGTCATGACCAGTTCGGGCGTCCCCGCTGCCTCCAGACTCTTGTAACACCTTCTTCGCAGGGCCTTTGCCCTTCAAGCCGACTACTTCTTGGCGCTCCGCCGGGCCCTCACAGCAGCGTTTTTCTTCCTCATGTAGTTCACGGAGCTCAGAGCGCAGCGCCAACTTGAGTCCCAGAACAAGGCCCTCATTGACGAGCTCAAGTCCCTCAAGGAGCTCTATTGTCCTAAGGCCGAGTGATGATTTGTGTTTTGTTTTTATTTCTGAATTTTTTTTTTTTAGTGATCCGAGAGGAAGGTCTACAATCAATCAGCCCGTGAATCTGTTCGTCACTCACTCAATCAATCATTAATTTTAATCGCTATGTCGTGCTGCTCAGTTACTGACTCCAGGCTCATTTCCTTTTTTTTTGAGTTGTTCTTCGTAATTTGGAATGATCAGTTAGCCTTAGTGAAGCTAAATTAATGTATTGAAGGATCAATAATACTGTAACTACTTTGTTTCCATGTTTCTATTCGCGGTCGTTTTTGTTTTAAAGGTGTTGAGATTTATTTTCGAAATTAGGTTTTGGAAGGGAAAAAATGTTTCAGAATTAGAGAGACTTTGTTTTGGTGTTCATTAATGAAAGGGTGCATTGGGTGCCCGAAAAGGTTAATGTGCATTGAATCGATGCGAGGAAAGTTGTTGGTGAACTTCATCGGACAAATCAATCAAAATTTCTCGTAATTAATTAGCCCGTGAATATGTTCTATAGGCGAATCAGTCATTCTTGGTTCTTTTTATCTGTTCCTTTTTGGAGGACTTCATTAGTTACTGACTCAAGACTCACGCTAGATTTTTATAAATTCTTGATGTCTTAAATTGCCAGAATGTCGGAATAACAGAAATTTTCCCCGAATTTGGGTGAGTAAACCGTTGGTTAATTCTCGAATTATTTTCGAGGTTCAGCAGTTCGCACGTTTCATAGCATTTTGAGGATGAGAGAAGTTTGATGTGTGTATTTCCAGCTGAAATTGAAGTAATTTGGTGTTTTTAGAGTATATTTATTGTGAATTGTTATTTTTAAATTGTGCTTGAACTAATCACACAGTTGCATCTGAGTTTTTGTGATTTTATGGGATCAATTTTGCTGTGGGATGAACTTGTTTCATTGAAACTCTATTTCAAATTTAATTTCATCAGGAGCTTTCTGGACACCTGTTACTTCAACTGAGAACATTGTGGAAGAAGCGTCCCGGAAACGGGAAGTTCGGCTGATGAAGAACCGCGAGGCGGCCCGGGAGTGTCGTCGCAAAAAGAAGGAGTACATCAAGTGCCTCGAGTCTCGCGTCGCGGTGCTTGAGTCCCAGAACAAGGCCCTCATTGACGAGCTCAAGTCCCTCAAGGAGCTCTATTGTCCTAAGGCCGAGTGATGATTTGTGTTTTGTTTTTATTTCTGAATTTTTTTTTTTTTAGTGATCCGAGAGGAAGGTCTACAATCAATCAGCCCGTGAATCTGTTCGTCACTCACTCACTCAATCAAGCATTAATTCAATCGCTATGTCGTGCTGCTCAGTTACTGACTCCAGGCTTATTTTCAATTTTTTTTTTCTGAGTTGTTCCTCGTAATTTGGAATGATCAGTTAGCCTTAGTGAAGCTAAATTAATGTACTGAAGGATCAATAATAACTCTTTTGTTTCCATGTTTCTATTCGCGGTCGTTTTTGTTTGAAAGGTGTTGAGATTTATTTTCAAAATTAGGTTTAGGAGGAAAAAAATGTTTCAGAATTGAAGATACACTGTTTTGGTGTTGATTAATGAAGGGATGCATTGGGTGTCCGAAAAGGTTTATGTGCAGTGAATCGATGCGAAGAAAGTTGTTGGTGAACTTCATCGGACAAATCAATCAACATTTCTCGTAATTAATTAGCCCGTAAATAAATCATTCTTGGTGCTTTTTATCTTCTTTCTTTTTGGAGGACTTCATTAGTTGCTGACTCAAGACTCACGCTAGATTTTTATAAATTCTCGATGTCTTAAATTGCCAGAATGTCGGAATAACAGAATTTTCCCCCGAATTTGCGTGAGTCAACCGTTGGGTAATTCTCGAATTATTTTCGACGTTCAGCAGTTCGCACGTTTCATAGCATTTTGAGGATGAGAGAAGTGTGATGTGTGTATTTGAAATTGAAGTAATTTGGTGTTTTTAGAGTATATTTATTGTGAATTGTTATTTTTAAATTGGGCTTGAATTCTAGTGTGTCAACGTAGACTCAAAAACACTAAAATACCCTAGTTAAAACGACACCCTACTTGAACAAAGTAACTTTGAGATAAAGTTTAAATTAAAGTAGTCCTCGAAAGACCTGTGGACAATGAAGTTTTTTGATTAACATTATTTGCTTTTTTCCTGTGGCATTCAGATGCTTTTGCTAATTGATGAGAAGATAGCTGTGACAGAAACTTTCGATATTGTAGATGAGATTGAGTTGGCTGGCAGATTCATGTGGAATTTATTGGAGTAGAGTTTTGGCAACGGCTGGGCATTGAAAAAAAACGAGAAGGGCTCCTGAAATGTTTCCTCTGAGCTGAGCATTTGTGAAACAGAAAAAAAATTTCTGAAGTGCTCTGTATACTTTTGAGGATCCCAAGACAACAGCAAAAGCGTTTGTGGAGAGAAAAAAACGGGGGATATCGATAAAATAATTAACTTTTGGTGTGTTGACTTTTTTTTGTGCCTGGGGGCATTTTTTCCAGGTTTGTACCAGAATTCAAGTTGGTTGTTGTTTCCTGTGGCCATACGGGTTTGGCTGCTTTTTTTTGGTGCGGATCAGTGCTTAGCGCAAAATTTCTTTTGAATGTTGCGGTAAACATTTTTTTTTGTGTTTCGGGAGTAGTGAGAAAAACGAGGGGCGCACATTTTTTTTTTCGAATTTTTGTTTTTCCGAGAAGGAATGAGAATGAATCGACCTACTTGATTCAAATTGGGTTACCAAGGATCATCAGGTTACGTTGAAAATTAAGAGAGATGATGACTGGGTTTCGGTGCTCGATTGGCATAATTTGACCGAGAGTGACATAATTTCCCTGTACAGCGTGTTGTTAATTATCTCTTTGACTCGCAAGGATTTTTGAGGAATTATCGGAAGTTCAATTTGCAACTCGGGGCATTTCTGGTAAATGATTCCGACTTCAGCGTGCGATAATTGTTTCGAAAAATGGTTTCTGTAGAGATTTTTGTTTCTTTACTGAATGAAAAATGGTCAGTTTTCGATTCGTTTCATGATGTGCTATATTTATGGGCCGATTAGTTTCACTAGTTGGAAAGAATGAGGCTCTGGTTCGTTACCATTGTGGGGGAGAAATTTTTTTTTCGTTTGAAGTTTCGGTGCTTTTTTTTTTTGGTTTTTGCAGAAAAAATGTGCGCCCTTTTTTGCGAGAGAATTTCATGATCAGACGGTTTTAATTTTTTTTTTGCGGAGCTTTTGCGATGTGCAATGTAGGGTGTCTGCGGGTTTTGTTTTGTTTCAACTATTCCTCATAACGCGATCGTTTTTATTTTGCGAAAAGTTTTAATTGTCTATGAGAAATTTTTTGAGATCGTTTCGGTGTTGATGCATAGAGAGAGATCGAAGTTGTGTGTCTCTGTGGGGGAGAAAAGGTTGACAGAAGGGCAAATGACCTGTGATTGTGTGGATGCTTTTGTTCAATCACGCCCTACTTTTTTGACTCTTGGAAGCGACTATTTGACCCCGTTTTTTCTTTCTCGCGTGAAAGTGGCTTCTCACTTTGCCGTGGGTCCTGTTGACAAATTTTTGTTAGTGGTGGGAGGATGATGATGATGATGGTTTATTTTCTTTCTTTTTTTTCTTGTGTCAAGAAGCAGGTTTCTATTGGAGTCACTCTCGGAAAGTTTTGCTGTTGACCCCCCGTGTTCCACTTTGGTGTAACCCATGTTCCCTGGCAATGAATTCTTGTGCTAAAAGGTGAAGAAGGGGGTCGGTAATGAATTTCCATGATTCTTACTGCTAATTTTTTGATTATTGCTTCTGTTTGGGGAAATTTGAATTGTTGAGTTGTGGATTGGTGTACTGAAGAATAATGTGCTCTGGTTCAATGTGGCGCACACTGGGATTATATCCAATGTTTTTTTTTTTAGAGGTTCACAACGCAGGTAGACTCTCTCTTTAATGAACTTGTCTACAACAATTTTCTCTGTCGAAGAAATTATTTTTGACCCTTACCTCATGTGCTCTCTACAACAAATATTTTTCTGGTCATGGGAATTTTACTGTGGAGATCGCATAAGTTTTATTCTTGGGATTATTTATGAAACCATGGAATGTGTCTACAGTATGTCATTTTCATGATGTCTTTAATCTCAATAAAATTACTGCTCAAAATGGCGCTCTGCAGTGGTGCATCAAGAAACAATGAGCAATGTAAGCAGAAATTTGCTTGAGCATACTGCCTTCAACAACAACAAAACTGGACTTGAGGGAAAAAAATGTTTGACGTGAAGATACAGTACAGCATAATTATTGCAATGATTTTATGATCATATCCCAAAATTTGAAGACAGTGAAGATCAAAGTACAGTAAAAATGTGGAGTCAAATTATTAGGTATCCTGAATTCATTTTGTGTTTTCAATTTTATATAATGACCAATCATGTGTATGTCTTGAACTTATCAGAATAAAGTTTCTGTTCTCTTCGGTTCTTCAATTTTTCTGTTAATTCTTTCAGTGCATCTTTATTTCATATTGTGCTGGACTAAATTACATCAATTGATTTCTTATGGCAACGTATTGAAAAGTATGCCTTCAAAAACGAAGGCCTTGAGCAGCAAGCAGACCATTTTAACTGATTATAATTTTTTCTCATATGTACATTATCTGCAAATAAATCATGTCTACAACATTGAATACTAATTCAGTAGTATGACAGGGTGGTAGGTTCTGTTCAGAATTTTAGACGAGCATACCTCAAATCCGGAGTCTTGATCATTCAAGCGTTGCCATATTATTTTTATGCCTTTGAATTACTGTATACAGTATACCTAAATGGATTCAGGATGTTGGCAACTTTTGGAAAATCCATCGAAGAACATATACTGTACATCAGAAGATCTGCTTTTATTTTTCTGGAAAATGAATTGTGGCTTATTTTATTACAGTATAACTGCGTCCTGAATAATCCGCATAAGAATATATAAAATGTAGGTGTGAGGATTTTACGTGTGATCTCATGCCTGGCTGAAGGCTGATCTGCTGCTGCTGGCATGAGAACTACTGTATTCAGACAGGGTTCATGTTCAGATTAGTCACACTTATATCCAGAATTAATCTCATGATGGGGCTGAGAATAAGATTCCAGGTTATGTGCAGTATTAATAAAAAATGCATGATGATCATTACTTTCCGGGTCATGTGTTTTTCCGTATGGCCAGCAAGTTCCTAGAAAGCAGACTTTCATGACTTTGGGATCAAATCACATACTGTGAGATACTTTGGAAGATAAAAAGACAACATATTATTTTCCACCAGAATTTTCCTGTCGATGATTGCAGGTATACAGTATATGTGATCATGAGATTGATATATTGTTGAGGCTGAGGATGAACATATAATGCTTCAATATAATGCAATAGGTAAATATGAATTTTTTTAAAGCATTGAAGTTATTTAGGATTACCCAAATTTTTGCCGTTTCACGCGTGACTTTTCAAATGACATGTGTTAGTTCAAAATTCCTGCTACCATTTACTGAAGATGATCCTGAAACATGGTTCATGGTGGGTGTACTCTTTTGATTCACCGAGCTCTATCAATTGTCATTATTAAATTCAAGATGGCGATGTTCTGCAGTTGACACCCAAAGAAAGTTGCCGCGTAAAAACCGGCATCTCACACAGCTCGTGAATCCGAATTTTAATTATCTGTGCCAGCGTTGTTTCAGTGACACCTCTTGGCTCTCAGATTGTTCTCCTGTTAATGAGCATCGCCTATTCCATTTGTGCCATCAGGAATTTGTTGCCCTGATCAGTATTTACCACCGCGAACATGTCAACATCGAACGGGAACGATGAATCCGCCGTACCACGAACGAGAAACCTCACGAAGCGGAGAAGAGAGTCGGAAGGAGGTGTTTTCGAATCTGAGGACAGCGATTTTTTCCTTCACGATTACGAGCTGAGTTTGAAAAGTCTCGATCCGATCCCATGCGACTGTGAAAAGGAGTTCGAGTCTGGATCCCTCCGGTCTATCCCAACGGATTATTGCCAAGCGAAAGACGAAATCGATGACGATGTTTTTGGATGTTCTCGACTGGCGGATGTGAGCAAGCGTTATCGTGTCTCGCCCACCGTGGAGTACTTATACTTATGTGATTATCACATAAAACGATTGAAGAACCACGAATGTTGCCCTCGGTGTGGCAAGTTCTGCACTCAAGGCCAATTTTTCACCTGCGTTCCTATGAAGCCGAATTATCATTTATTTCACGTGCATTGTGCCGTGTCGAGTGACGATAAGGAAGACTTCGGACCATGTCCGCACTGCACGGTATCATGCGAACCAGAGTCTGTGAAAATCGAATTGGTCTCAGATTCAGATTTGCTGCTCATTTTGCCTCCTGACATCGAGAAAAACGATCTTGTAAAATCTGGAATACGATCTGATGCGGCAGTCAAGATATCGCTGTGTTCCACGCCTCTGACTGAGCAAAAAGTGAAATCCGTCGTATCTCCGGAACCCGAAAGCAGAATTTTCGCGCGTGAGAAGTTCCTGAACTCGTTGTTTGAATCCCTCGGGCTGAAAAAGGAAATACCGAATGTGAAATGTGATGATGTTTCACGTGGGCGTGAAAGCATTCCGATTCAGTGCATAGGTCAAACGGAAGTCCTAGCTCCTTTAGATTTCATCTACACTACAAGCGTCGTTCCGATTCCTGGAACGAGATTCGAGCCTAGAAACAAAGAATCAAGTTGTTCTTGCAAAGGTCCGTGTTTGGCGGATTGTTGGTGTCAGAAACTGAGCATGTGCGAAAGGTACGACGACGACGGAAGGTTAGTGGATTTGCACTACGGCATTGCGATGATGATCATGGAATGTGGACCTTTGTGCACTTGTGACCCCGAATTGTGCAAAAACCGTGTCACGCAAAAAGGAATAACTCATCAGCTGGAAGTGTTCGAATCAACTTGTGGCTGGGGTGTCAGAACACTGGAGCCCATCGACAAAGGTGCGTTTGTGTGCGAATATGTTGGCGAGTTGATCACGGATGCAGATGCCGAGCTGAGCAAAGACGATTCCTACTTGTATGAACTTTCGAAACTGGGAGATGGTGGAGCGTATTGCATAGACGCCAAACGCATCGGGAACGTGGCAAGATTCATCAATCATTTCTGCAATCCGAACCTTATTATGTATAATGTGCTTTACGATCACCAAGATCGGAGATTCGCGCATTTGGCTCTGTTCGCGTTGAAAGATATTCCGGAAGGAACTGAACTAGGTTATGATTATGGTCTCGCATTCTGGAAGCACATGGCGAAAAGGTTCTACTGCAAATGCGACTTCGTCAACTGCAAGTACAAGGCTGGGAAAGCGGAAGAGACCCTGAAGGCGCACTGCGAGCTCGAGTGACTTATAGCTTTCAATTATTACTTCCAGGTGGAAGATCGACGGTTAAACTTTTTTTTTTCGTTGATGAAATTCATTGGTGTTTTCGATTTTAGGCATTCTGGCCTTCGTTTTGGTATTTATAAATATGTCTTGAACCAATCCACAAGTTCAGAGCTTGACGTTTTCGCGTGTTGAAAACCCGAAGTCGAGAGATGATTGTGTCCATCGCGAAGGTTTCCTGAAGCACGAAATTAATGAATACAGCTTTGTTTTGATCCCAATTTTGCATACATTGTCAGAAGAAAAGAAAGATTCTTCGAAAAGGCGTTTCATCATGTGTAAGGAAAAATTTCGCAAGAACGTCCTGACATTGAGTTTCTGAAAGAGTCTAGTTTCAGGTGTATTACGTGTGATTTCAAAGCGTGCAATCCGAAGAGGCAATGTGGCATGTTTGAAAAGTTATTTTGCTTTGAGAAATTCGTCATCCCCGAAACGCAACTTCAATGTTGTCCATCGTGAATAAGATGTGCTATTGTTTCATTAGATTTCGCTGGAGGTCGTGTCTTCTCACGCTGAATGGTGCCATGTTCTTCGGGGTTACTGGGTTTCGAATTTGTGTGCAAAAATGTTGAAATAGAAGTTCTGGCGATTCGCAGAGCAGTTTTTGCAGAATGCTTAGACTTCTTTTCAGAAAATTGTCCCCAAACCTTCCTGAAAAGTTCCCTACCAGTAGCCCTGTTTTTCTTCATTCGTGTCCAGCAAGAATTCATTCCAGGGATGGTGAATTTTCATTGCACAGTAACTGTTCTGAAGTCTGGTATTTTGAATGCAGGGGTTCGTGTTCATTGCTGTATTGTACTGCAAAAAGAAAAAGATTTCTGTTATGAAGAAATTATTTACCAATGATTTTTGTTGCTTGAAAAGGATCATGATTAATTGATTTCTTATATTTGCGATTAAAAATTTCAATGTTTGATTTTGTGTAAATTTTCAAGGAAGTGTGTTGAGCAGTTCGTGGTGTTTGAAATGATGGAGAAGCGCGTTCAAGCCGAGTTGCATGGTCGTGCAAAAAGCGCGGTAAATATTTTTGTTTTGTGCAATTTTTATCCAAACCTTTAAAATTTTCGATGATCGTATTTTTTTATTGTGCAGGTTTCGAAGCTTACGTTGGACAGTTGCAAGGTGAAGAAGATTGCGGGTCTTGATGCCCAGTTCGTGAACCTCAAAACCTTGTCGCTCATCAACTGTGGTCTGATTTCCCTCGAAGGACTTCCTGCTCTTCCTAGTCTCAAAAAGGTGAGTTTTGCGTAATTATATTTTGATTGTGATGCACATTTTTTTTTTCGTGTTTGTGATTTAAGTTGGATCTATGCGACAACAAGATCACTGAAGGTTGGGAAAATTTGCTCAAATGCCCTAATCTAGAAGAACTGGCACTTTCAGGGAACGGAGACATCAAGTCAATTGAGTCACTAGAACCACTGGTGAGTGTCCTTGTGTTTCACCAATTGAACTATTGGTCCTTCAGTACCTTTTTGTTTAAACGTCGTAGCTTTCATTGTTGAAGTAAGAAAAATTCTATTTATTAGATGTTTTTCATCAAAGCGATTTTTAAATATTTTCTTGTAATCTATATATCTGATATTTGATTATTGTAAATTGCAATAAGTCCCCGAATAATACGAAATTAATCATTGTCTGGATTTGTTTAGTCAAGTTGAATTTTCGTTATGTGAAACGCGTGTTCCCTCAAAATTACATTATGAATTATATTTATTCCACAAACTCACCGAAAGCCATAAAATTTGTGTATTCAGCATAGAATAGTACACAATTTATTGGGTTGAGGTTGAAGTAATTCTGTAAACGTTGCGGTCTTAAATCTCTGAATCCCTTAAATTTTGAATTCAAAGACTAGCAAAACTCCGCCATGCGTTTCTCATTTCCGTCAAATAAAAAAAATCCTAGTTCGAATTCAAAATTCGATTAAATTTTCGGGTTCCTTGCTTTGAAATTTTCCGGGTTAAGTTTCTTCGGGGAAAAAATTTCTCAAGCTATGATCTAAGTCCAGTAGGTCTACAAACGAAACAAATGAAATTTAGTCATTTTCATTGTTGAAAAAAGTTTATTATGCTGCTATTTGAAAGCGTATTGTGTTATTCGATCATTTAGTCTGAAATGATATTAAGATGGATTTCAACCGAATAAGAGTGACCCATGTAGAATGTTTTTCCAATTTTGGAATGGGAACGCATTAATCTTTGCCCTACCGTACACGATTACGATGAACCCTTCTTTTGAAACTATACAGTATATGCGTCGTAACTGATCGATTTTTCTTCTACTCTTGACGAGTTCAGAAGCAGCTGAAGCAGCTCAGACGCCTGGAGTTGATCTCGTGTCCGATTTCCTTGTCGGACAATTTCCGCAAAAAAGTTTTTCAAGCTCTGCCGCAGTTGGTGTACCTCGACGAAGTAGACGTCAATGGACAAGAAGCACAGAGCGAGGATGACGATGCCAGCGACGATGATGAGGATGACGAGGACGTTGATGATGATGATGAAGACGACGAAGAAGAAGAAGATGATGAGGAAGGTTGGTTGTCTTCCTTTTTTTCCCCCTCCGAGCTGCCAACAACGTATATTTTTGCTTAGCGAAGCTGAGGAAATCACTTGTTGTTCAAAATTTTTTTTTGTGAAGCTTTCGAGGATGTGTGTAGTAGAACAAATTGAATTTGCGAATCAATTTTTCCGTGAAGACAAAAATTAAATGTATTGAACTTGCCCGAAAATTCTGCGAAAGGGAATCGTTTTTTATCGCACAGGTTCGTATTTAATATAAGGAGAAGCTTGTGATCAATTGTTGGAAACTGGAAACAATGTACAGTATATGTCTGTGGTTAAACTTCAAAATCCAATTTATAGGAAACTTCTGCTGATTCTGACGTGAAGCAAGGATGGCATTTTTTTTTTAATCGGCGCTCATGCATTGAAATATTTCAGCGGAAAAGTCCGGCCTAGCTCTCCTGTACCAAGAAAACCTGCAGGACGACACGGAAGACTTCGACGAAGAGGGGGAGGATGAGGATGACGAAGAAGATATGGGCGATGACGAAGATGAAGACGATGATGAAGATGAAGAAGAGGACGACGGACTTCATGGGAAGCTGGCTGCGGATGATGATGAAGAAGAAGAAGAGGAAGAGGAGGAAGGCCGGCGTGGAAAGAAGCGCAAGTTGGAGGACGAAGAAGCGGCGGACAAGGCTTGAAGAAAGAGAAAAGAAAAAAATCTTGCTACCCTCGAAAGGCGGCGGTTTTTTGTACTGGTTTTGATTTTTATTTCGTAAAACTCCAACGAGGTTTCTTACGAACTCTCCTCCGCTTTTTTTTTTGGTTTTGATGCCATGTAATTTGAAGTGGCCCCTGGGAAAGTTCTTTTTGATGAAATGCAGCCACTTCGTCGAGAACGTGTGTAATATTAATTTTCTTTCCTTTCAAGTCTCATAAACAGGGAAATAAATCTTCGTTTTTTTTTTCCTGTTGAAGATATGGAAGAAGCTGATGAAATAATACCGACGGAAAGTTTTAGCATCAGTGATGAATCTAGTTCTGAATCTGATGCTGATGACGCATCGTCGACCCAAGAAGACTTTTCTGAGGCAGATGGCGGGGTTTCAGAGTTGGTGAAACAAGCGCCTGCGAAATATGCAGATGGTGAGTATATTAGTGCTGCCTCGGTTAATGAACCTAATCCGTTTCAGTGGAAAGTCCATTGTCCGGAAATTCTATTTCTAGCTTAAAAAAAAAAAACTGATATGTTTCTAACGCAAAGAAAACCCTCTTTCCTGAACAACGTGAAAATATGAATAATACTTACAAGAATGTTAGCACTTCCATAACGAATGAATTTAACAAAAAGTTTTCTTTACTCTAGGAAAATTATTTTATTTGAAAACGATGCTTTTAATGATGATCATCTCTTTTTTTTAAATGCAGTTTCAGAAGTCGGAGGCAGTCCATTATTCGTGGCATTGTTGTAATTTTCCTGCTCATATATTTTTTGCGTTATTAAAAATCAGAGATGTGAGGGTTCATTCGAATAAATTGTTTCGTTCAGGTGAGATCGACTTTCAGACTTTTGTTTCCCTGCTTGGGAGCAACACTGACGTGGATGGCGAAGCTGGTTCCGACGTGGATTCTGATGGCACGGCTAATTCCGACGTGGACTTGGAAGAAGCAGAATTTTTGCCGAGAAGGAAGGATCAAGACGAACACGGTTTGTTAATCCTTGAAAAAGTTTATAAAAAGTTGTCGATTTAATCGTGAATTCGTTCCCTTTCAAATTATTTATTTGGAATGAACTTTTTAACAAGTTCGGAAACTTTTCAAGAAATTTCGATTTAAAATCGAGTTTTCTGCCGAAAGGTTTCACATGCACCCGATTAAAAAGAAAAACAATTTTTACGAAAAATTATTGCGTATTTTGCGTGCTATTTCCTACAAAATATTCATAACTCCTTCCGTTTTAGCTTTCGGAACTGCATTTTTCATTTTCTCTGATCCGATATCTCATTACCATAAAATAATTTTACGACTTTTTCAGCTCCTCAGTATGAACGAGAGTTGGACAAGACAACGAAAGGGAGAAGAAAGATGCAAAACAGCCAGAAGAGCAAACTTGCTCCAGCTCTACAGGGTCTCGTTGGGGAAGCAAATCTCAGGTTTGCGAGAGGAGAAAGAGACACGGTCATTGACCTGTGCATGCAAGTCATAAGGCAGTGTGAGTTATGATTACGTTCTTTCTCATTCGTCGTCGATACAAATTATGTCGTAATTTAATTGAATGACAGAAAGGTTTAAAAAAAAAAAACAGAGGTATGGTAAAATTGAGACGGACGTCATTCGCTGATTTCAGATCCATATGCTGCAGAACCCTATCAAACCCTGGGCATGGTCTACGAGGACCTGGGATCAGCTGAGAAATCCCTGCAATTTTCACTCATAGCAGCTCATCTTCAGAAGACTGACAGAGAAGAATGGGCCCGTCTTGGGGAACTAGCTTCGGAAACCGGACACACGGATCAAGCCATTACCTGCTTTGGGTAATTTTTTTTTTTTAAAAACCAAGATTTTTTTGGAAAATTCATGTTCTTTTTTTTCAAATATTGACAGAAAAGTCTATGCCTTGGATCGCAACAACATCGAAGCCGGCGTGATTTACGCCGAACTCGCTGGCGAGAAGATGGGCATGAAGAAGAAGCTGAGCTTTTACAAGGCCCTGCTGGCCCGGGCCCGCGACTCGAACCAGCCCGCCAAGAACCTGTTGCAATGCTGCAAGGAAGTGTCCCGACTGTCGCATCAACTGGGCGACGACGCCACTGCCACAACCATCATGATTGACGCTTTCATGACGTACACCAACGAACTCATTCCCGAAGACATCAATTTCCTCTTGGAGCTGATGATTTTGCAGAGTCGTTTCGAGACTTGCATCTGGAAGGACTGATTAATGATACCCTAGCCAAACCTACGGCTCGGCCTAGGCTCTCACTGCCTCAACTGCCTACTCGTTCACAACTTTCTTCCGCATCGAAACGTAAACTTCGGCGTAGAGCGGTTCACATGGACAGTGGTGATCCCAGAGTATACTCCTGTGGACATCAGGACCAAGTTGATTGTTGCCTTTGTGCACTTGGAGGCCTACGCACTCGCTGATGTGAGGGTTTTTTCATCAATAAAATAAATAATGAGAATAATGGGTTCAAAATTTATATTATCGTTGCAACGATTTTTTCTTTCTTTTTTCGATTATTCATGACTTTTTTGCGCAGAAATAGTCTCCTCCATCTGGGTCAGTTCTTCTCACTTCAGTGGTTAAGTCTTACTCCAATTTTAATTCAGCTTGTGTAGATGTCGCTCGAATATAATGTACAGTGCCCGTCATGTCTTGAGACTGGAGTGACACCTGTAATACACTTCGAGAGCGTTCATGGGGAGAGACCAGAAATTCATTTGTAAGCAAGTGTCGTGATTGTGTAGATGTTGCCAGAAGATTATGCGTTTATTATATCCAGTGACGCCTGTCGTAGATTTCAAGAGCGTTCAGGGGAGAAATCAGAATCTGAGTTGATAGAAAGGGTCATGTTCGCTAGATTTCATTATTTTTTTCTTAGTTTCTTTTGTCGAAATTTTAAAATGATGCAACTGATCACTTATTCATTTCATGAATTTTTGTCTCAGATTTGCTTTTGATTATTTAAAAAATTTACTTTGGATTGTCGTTTTAGAAACGCCTGTTGAATGCTTAATACCTCGTTGACGTTTTTCTTTTTGTTTTTTTTTTCAGATTGTTGTTCAGCCATTGATTACAGGAGGTCCTCAGGATGTTGATGACTTGTATGTGGACATTTACGAAGCTTACATGGCGAAGAAAATGTACAAGAACGCCCTGGTATTTTTAGAAAAATTGGCGGCAGATCACAGATATTGTACTGTAAGTTTTTTTTCCCCATTTCAATTTGTTTCCTTTAATTTTGAGACCGAAATGGGGTTTTCATTTGTAGACAAAAGTGCTGCTGAGTTATGCGGAATGTTTGCTACAATGCGGGGACATGAGGGGAGCGGAAACTGCTTACAAACGGGTGCTGGAGCAACTTCCGGATCACGTTGACGCGAGATTGTCGCTGTCGAGAATATTGAATGAGCTCGGAGAGACAGGGGAAGCCTTGGATTTCATCACGCAAGGTTTCTTTTTTTCATTCTTAACTCGAAGTCCAGGATTTTACCTTTTAATGTAAGGATTTCATTAGATATTGATCGATTGAATAATTCGAAAAGATTTTGTGAACCGTTGAGAAGCTTGAAATTAATTTTATTAAATTTTTCCAATTTATTTCACTCATTTGGGTTCTATCCTCGAGTTGTCTCGAAGCCGTGATTTTCCTTTCTTTTGCATAGATGTCGCTGAAACAATACTTCTTGAAGCCCCAAATTTTCCCCTTTGAAATGAAAAGTCGAAATTTAATTCAGTGCCATGAATTGAATCACAAGCACATCTTTATTGCATTTTTAAATTATTTGTTCAATGTATATCTTGAATAGTGGCAGATGCCACCTTCAAAATTATGTTGAAGAGACCACCGGATGGATGAAGAGTTTTCGTGGGCCAGATCTGGCCCATGTGCACTACACTAGGACAACGCTAGGTTAGATGACGGGAGGCGACATCTACATGACTCTTGAGAAATCTTTTGAAAGAGGACTCAATTTTCTAATATAGACGTTTGAATATTCTGTATTTTGCAGATCAAGAAACTGGAGCAGTTGATATTCAACTTCTTAGACAAAAGTGTCTGATTTTGTTGGAGGAGGACAGGACCAGTGAGCTGATACCAACAGCCTCCTTATTTTTCTCCAGACACTTCGCAGATCTACGTTGTCCTGAAGATGTGGTTTGTGAGTGAGCAACATGTTCATGTGAGGGCAAATTTCAAGATTGTCCCTTTTTTGTTATGAAATATATCAGGTGCGACTTTGTCCAAGAGGTTGCAGAGGCTTCAAGGACTGATTGGAACTTCGAAGTACACGTTTTCCGGTGGAGGAGTGACACCTGACGACGAGTGGCATCTGTTTAATGCCATCTTGGAGAGATTGTACGAGAAGCGAAGGTTTGTTGACTTGCATAGACTGAGTTTGTCTGCTTTGGGGTCTAAAGTCTTCCGGCCGAGGACTGAGACACTGAGTCAACTTAGCTTCTTTGAACCGGGCCGAAGTGAGGTGAGGTGTTCGCATTTTTGAGTGAAAGAATTTTATCTGTTAAAGGAAAGTGTTCTTGTTTCAGAGCTTGCTTTTTATTGCGGTGCAGTCGTGTTTCCTGGTGGAGAATTACGAAATTGCTTTCCCGCTCATCAGGTCGATGGTGATTTATAATTGGGAGAATCCGAGGGTTCTGCAATTGTTGAACTTGGTGTTGAATCGGATTCCGCCGTCTGTTCGGCACTGTAGGTTCATCTTGAGGCTCCTTTGCAAGCTTCAGGTATGAGTACGCTTCTGCTGATTCTCTTGAAAATCAATCTCTTTCTTGTTTGAGAAAGAAAAAAAGAATTGTCTGACGTATTCCGGATTTAGATTTCTGGAGTGGAAATGCAGTCGAGGTTGAAAGAAAAATACTTTCCATAGAGTTTCGTGCATGGTCCTAAACTGTGACGTTTCCTGAAATCGGATAGATGTCGCTTGAATTCCAAGATTTTTTGTGGGGCGTAATTTGTGGTTAAATTCGTTATTCAGACGACACCTGAGTGGCATTTTTGAAATCTTCATACCATGCGTTAATTAGAAGAATTCCGTAATGATATTTTGCAATTCCACGATTTAATTATCCCAGTGTATTTTTGGTTGCATTTTTGCATGAAAGGCTTTCTTCTTGTGTTTTTCAAATCCTTGAGTTCTCCTTTTTTTCTTGTATAGGAGAAGAATTTGTCTTGCACCTCTATCAAAGTGCTGAATGCGAACGTTTGTCTGGTCAGCGGCACCTACAGAGTGGCACTGGGGGATTACTTGAGTGTCCTCAGGGAAAATCCCCAGCAGCCATTCTTTGCTTTCATGATTGGAATCTGCTACTGCCATCTGGTGTGCCAGAAGTTCACCGGCTTCAAACACGGATTTGCTTCCCAGGTTAGATTTTGCATTGAATTTGAACCTCAATAAGTCGAATTCCTCCCTATGTCAATTATTTTCAGGCTCTGTTTTGAATGTTCGTTAGAAATTCTGCATTTAAAAAACCTCCCTAGCTTGAAGTGTTTTCCTCCTCAAGCCTCCATAACTCAAATTTTTGGCATGACCGTTTAACAACTATTTTTCCAACGCAGTGAAGATGAAAGCAATTGAAAATGTAACTTTTTTTTTGCTTCGAAAGGAAGTGAAAGACATGTTGGGCAAATTATCCCTTGTCTCTCTTGAGTTCAGCATTCGACTGCAATACTTGGAAAAATTATTGCATATGCAGAATATAATCAATGACAATTTCCTGTAATTATGCTCTTTCCCACGACTAAAATACTTCTTCCCTTACTTTAATTTCTTTTGCTGGTCTCTTGGAAGTTCACCTGTATTCATAAGTTTTTCTGACATTTTATACGTTTTCATGCCAATTTTTGAATAGTCTGTGGCATTCCTGAGTCTGTACGTGAAACTGAGAGGAGAATGTCAAGAGACGCTGTACAACTTGGGCAGAGCGTATCATCAGCTCGGACTGGTTTCTCTGGCGTTGCAGTACTACAAACGAGCTTTGGAACTGCCGCCTGCGGTTGATTATGACAGTGATCCGATTAACGCCCCTAATTATGATTTGTCGCGGGAAATCGCGTATAATATTCATATGATTTACAAAAGCAGCGGTAACCAAAGACTCGCGCGATATTATTTGTTCAAGTTTATACGAGTGTGATTTTATTTTATTTTTTCGTGTTGGAGGAGAAAAACAGTTTATATTTTTGTTTGAGTGAAATTTCTGAACCTGATGGACCCTCAACTAGTTATTTACGAACCGAGATAACGTACAGAAAAGTGTTTTGTCTTTCGATTTGTTTAGATTAAGAAGTGTTGTAGTGAGAGGAAAAAATGCCGGGGTCTGGAGACGTGTCAAACTTTGAAAAGGAGCAGGTGGTTCCTGATGTGATTCTTGTGGCCCCGAAAACTGTTGCTGTTGTGGAATTCTCCAATGGAGCCAAGGTCAGTTGAGTATTATTCAGGAATAGAGTCAACATCTGCAACAGTTTTATTAAAAATCTTTTATTCTGTAAATCTCTTTCTGATGGATTTGAACTGCCGAAAATGTATTATGAATAAATTCAGGGTTACTATTTTGTTTTCCGTTTTATTGCTGCATTAATAATTTTGTATTATCATCTATGTTCCATTTTTTTTTTTTGGAAGGTTGATATGGGTAACATCCTGACGCCGACCCAAGTCAAGGACGAGCCCAGCAAGTTGACCTGGCCCACGACGGAGGGCAAACTCTACACAGTCTGCATGACGGACCCGGATGCCCCGTCCAGGGCAAGTCCCGGGTTCCGCGAATGGCACCACTGGCTCGTCGTCAACGTTCCCGAAAACCGAATCGCCGACGGGAAAACCTTGTCTGCTTACGTCGGCTCTGGTCCCCCTCAGGGCACAGGGTTGCATCGGTACGTGTATCTGGTGTTCGAGCAACCCGGGGAACTGACTCCTGACGAAACCGTGTTGCCGAATACTTCGGGAAATGGCAGAGGGAAATTTAGGATTGCCGCGTTTGCTGAAAAATATGGACTCGGGGATCCCGTGGCTGGGAATTTTTACCAGGCTGAATGGGATGAATACGTGCCAACTTTGTACAAGCAGTTGGGCTGTTGAAAAATTAGAAAATGAAAAAAAAGCTCTTTGATCCTTGAAAATATTTTTTTTTCTGCTAGAATTGCGGTCTTGTGAATCTTCGTCGAGTTCTGTATTTCTTTCTGTGGAAGAAGAATGTTGTGGAGTTTGTGATGTCAGATCTGATGCTGAAAATTAGTCATGATTGAAGCAGTGTCAAACTGACCTTGTTTCAGCGGGATCATGCAATATTTGCTTTTTTTTCTTGATCATTAATCAAGGGGTCGGGTTCATCAATTATACACTGTGTGCGAAAAATGTTTATTCTGCGTGTGAAATCAGTGATTGAGTTGTTTCTTGAAGGATCATTTGGTTCTGTTCTCTTCAGCACCTGCGAGTCCACAGATTTGCGGTTTAGTTTTCTTTGCGTAGGTGTCGCCCGAATCGCAATGGGTCATTGCAGAAGTAGTTACCTACTTCGACCTTTTCTGGTGTGATAGAATTAAATTTTTCGGAAGCGTTTGTTTCGAAGAACAGTTTTCAACGTACCGTGTCCACTTCAGTATCATGTGCCCTCGAGTAAGACACGCACCCGGGTAGTCTTGAATTTTGATTAATTTTATCCACGAGTAAGACGTGCAACTCAGTTTTTAGCGATTCATAGACTGAAATATTTTCAGAATAAGAATCCCCAAATTTGAAATTATTTACAATTTTAAATCTCTGTGAAATAAATCATCTTCTGGGGGAAATAATTTTGCTGACCCGTGATGAATTTGAATATTCTGAAGATAATTTTGAGGAGAAGCATGTACTTTTCATTCTTCCTGGTAAAATCAAACAAACACTTCATGGACCTTTTCGAAAAGTGAACTTGGGTGTTGAGATGAGCAGAACCAGAATTTTTGGCAGATTATTATTTTCAATGTGGGAGTGTTGAATAATCTTGCTTTTTCTACATTTTTTTTTAAAGAAATTAAGAACCGGTCGATGTTGAGTGATGGCTTTGGAAAAGTTGACCGAGTTGCCGCTTATAGCGAAACTTTCCCCGAGTGTGATGCGAATTCTTGGTTGTAACCCAGGAAGAAAGATTCTTCAAGGGAACCAACACTTATCTGGTCGGCACTGGTGCAAAGTGAGCATTTTTTAAAATATTTCCTTTCAATTTTTGATCGTCTTTTTATATTTTCAGGAGGGTTTTAATTGATGTCCGTGAGCCCGAGAAGCCTTCTTACTTGGCCAATGTGAAGCAGGTGTTGAAGGAAGAGTCGGTTACCATCAGTGACATCGTGGTGACTCACTGGCACCCTGACCACCTGGGTGGAGTCAAGCAGTCGTCCCTTTACAGTCATGTTTGAAGGGCATAGAAGATTTTATGTCACCTGCTGCTGCGGAAAACGTGACGGTGCAGCTGAGAAAATTGAAAGCTGATGGAGAAGTGCTACAAGACGGGAGACAGTGGCAATTGAAAATTCGCGTTGTGAGTTTTTATGGACAGCATTTGTTTTCATTATTTAGTTATTCCTTTGTTTGTAGAAAGATATTCTCAGCAGCTTGTGTAAGCCACGGATTTTGCGTCATTTATTGCGAGCGCTGTGAAAGTGTATTTGCAGTTGCTGCTCGACTTGGTGTTGAGTGTGAAAACGTAGTTTGTTTTTGTACCGGAAGTTGTTTTCGTCACCCAGATTTTTTGTCCGTTGCTCAGGCTTGTCTCTGTTGAAGAAACAACACATGATTTAAAATTGTGCGGTATCAACTTTTTTAAAAGACTTTCCCGCGAGTTCTTATGCTGCTTTAGCTTTGAAATATCTTCAATTCTACACGATTAGTGCAGGGGAAATTGGGCAGTTCATGGGTTAATTGTGTTTACACTCATTTTAAAAGTTTTCCTTTTTTATTGTGCTAGAATTTATATACAGTGTTACATTGATAGCTTATTTTCCGTTGATTCAACTTCGATTTCATAGGGTCAAAATAATTTGTCATACTGAGCGTAAATTGTATGCTTGTAGAATATGTACAGTGTTACTCACGTATCAGACAAAGACAGAAATTGGCATCAGTCAAACTGCTGGGGATGTCAAAGACTGGCTTTGAACGTTGAGAACTGCACAAACTTGTGGCACTTGGGTAGTTGACCATTGCGCTGGTCTCAATTTCAAATAATGTCCCTGAAGAGCTTCCGCAGTTCGTGATATTTTGCCACACTTGTGCAGAAAAGGTTATTGCTGTAAATATAAAATGTTTCCAGTTTTAGAGAAATAGAAACGAACTTACAAGGTGTTGGCACCTTGTGGCACTAGTAGTTCGCCCAAAACCATTAGTTTGCCCATTAAGAAAACTTGGTGCACCATTATACAATCACGGGTGACATATATGTGAAAGTAAAGCAAATCAAAGAGTTGAAGGCATTCGAAAATTTCAGTGGACGGAATTGAAAGGAATCTGTTTACCTGTTGTTTGAGCCACTGTACTGGTTGCTTTTACTGTGGTTGTGGTAGCTGCAGAAACGCTTGTGTTCTCAGTACTTGTGGTACCTTTTGTGTTGCCAAGTGTGGATGTAGTTGTATCAGTAGACTCTGCAGCTGTAGAATCAGAAGTACTCTCAATAATTGCAGAGGTTTCAGTCACACTAGGTGTGGAGTCTGTTGCTGTAGAACTGGTAAAAGTTGTTTGTTGGCCATTGACACTAGTTGTCAAATCTGTGCCAGCAGTGGAAGTAGTGATTATCTGAGTGTTGGTGGTTGCACTTATTGTGAAATCTGCTTTGAAAAGAGTTCCTTTACTAGTGGCACTGGTAGTAGTAGTGATGGTTGAGTCTCCATCACTGCTTGTGATGGTTGGAGAGGTTATTGTAGTGGTACTTTGAGGGGTTTCTCTACCCATGGAACTAATGGTTGACTCTCCACTACTGGTACCAGAGTTTGTGATGGCACTGGTTGTAGAATTGGTTGTACCTTCAGTACTTTCTTCACTTATGGCACTAGTTGTAGTTGACCATCCACTCCTGGTGTTGGTACCAGAGTTTGTGGTGGTACTGGAGTACCAGAGTTTGTGATGGCACTGGTTGTAGAATTGGTTGTACCTTCAGTACTTTCCTCACTTATGGCACTAGTAGTAGTTGACCATCCACTCCTGGTGTTGGTACCAGAGTTTGTGGTGGTACTGGTTGTGGAATCAGCTCCACCTTGAGCAATGGCACTAGTGCCAGTTATGTTCCCTCCACTGGTAGTGGTTGCAGAGGTTGTAGTGGTACCTTGAGTGGTTTCTTTATCCATGGAACTAGTGATGGTTGACTCTCCACTACTGGTACCAGAGTTTGTGATGATGCTGGTTGTAGAATCAGCTGCACCTGGAGTACTTTCTCCACTAATGGCACTAGTAGTAGTTGGCCATCCATATCCATGGAACTAGTGATGGTTGACTCTCCACTACTGGTACCAGAGTTTGTGATGGTGCTGGTTGTAGAATCTGCTGCACCTGGAGTACTTTCTCCACTAATGGCACTAGTAGTAGTTGGCCATCCGCTTGTGGCGCTGGTACCAGAATTTGTGATGGAATCAGCTCCACTTTGAGCAATGTCACTAGTGCTAAACACGTTTCCTCCACTAGTGGTGGTTGTAATGGTTCCTTGTGTGGTTTCTTCACCAATGGATCTAGGAATGGTAGACTCTCCACTGCTGCTGATAGTTCCTGAGCTTCTGGTGGCACTTGCAGTAGAATCTGGTGCACCTTGAGTAGTTTTTTCAAGTATGGCAATACTATTAGTTGACTCTCGACTACTGGTGGTAGTTCCAAAGTTTGCGGTGACACTAGTAGTAGAATCTGGTGAACTTTGAGTAGTTTCTTGACTATAGGTACTTGTAATAGTTGAGTCTGAAGTTATAGAAGCAGTGGCAAAAGTTGTTGTAGAGCTTGTGTAAAGGCTGCAATTCCCATAATCATCCGCATCATTACTCTCAAAACTGGTGTGATTATAATTGAAACCACACCAAACCGCTGATTTGTCTTTCAGGACTCTCAAGACAGCCTTGGTCACATTTGTCTGCCTGGGGAACATGAAGTATAAGGACGTTGGACGAAGAAGTAGTTTAAGGTTCAGTGAGTTTTACCGTGGCACTCAGTCAAATAGTTTGTGACGAACCAAGTGAGAGGTTTCTGGACAAACACAAAACGTTTAACAATGGTAGGAACCGTGTTGATTGGGGGTGTTATTACTCTTGCAGTTGGATTGATTCATTGAGAGTCGGGCCAGCTGGCCCACGATTGTAGTTGGAGTTTGCCATGCCTGGAAGTCTTTGGTCCAGCACGCTGTGTCCTGTGTGTTCTCATTTGTCCATCTGGCCTTTAGTTGTGAGGACTCTGTGACTTGGTCAATGAGCAAAGAGAATCTGTAGTTGATTACTGAGTTCTCTGCGGTTTGCAAGAGGAAGTGGATTCCCAGGAGGATTTTTGTCAAGGTTGGAATCATATTTTTTTCTCCTTTTTCTAAAGTAAAATATCACTTTTTTAGGCGGAATATTTCTTGGCTACAGTAGGTGGTTCTGGTGTAAGACTGACTGACTGAGTTGTGCCAGTTGAGAGGCTATGGGATTTGCCCAACTTTTGTTTGGTGGCAAATATTATGCTGGGAGGCTTTCTGAAAGTTTCTGCATTTTCTGTGAATGATGATCTGGTGTAAGACTGACTGACTGAGTTGTGCCAGATGAGAGGCTATGGGATTTGCCCAACTTTTGTTTGGTGGCAAATATTATGCTGGGAGGCTTTCTGAAAGTTTCTGCATTTTCTGTGAATGATGCAAGTATGAGGAAAATATTTACTGTAGATCCAACATTTTGGATTTTTTTCGTTCCTTGGAGTTCAACATTATGTGATGTTCATTCGCGAGTTTAAGATCAGTTTCAGAGGCTTGATCTTTATACCGAGTTCTGCAGTTTCAGGATAGAAAGTATGTACTGTCTGATACATTTTAGATTAAAAATTGTTGATCGTTTTTTAGGTTTAATAGGGTTGTATTTTGCGTAAAATCTTTAATTTAAAACACTTGAGTTTACTCTTAAATAATCTGTTTGAGCAGTAGGTTGTTCTGGTTGTTTTTCTGAATGGATTCATAAATTCCCTTTTGAACTAAATGTTGATGACGCATAAGTTTTTGTGTATATTAAGTTACTAGCACAAATTATTCCTATTATTTTTATAATTTTTTCTTGTGAGATGTTAAATTTTCAGTTGAATTGCTGTCTAATTTTTCAGATTTTTAACTTGAAGGAAAGCCTTTTTCACATGCCTCACGAAAATTATAGTACTGTACCTGTAATAGTTTTTTGAGTATATGTAACGATCATCAATTTTTCAGACTTATCAAAATGTTTCATTAGTTATTTCTTTGCGTCTTTTTTTTTTATTGCTGGAAAATGGCTTTTCAGAGTTTTCCTCTGAAATTTTCAACCGATATTTTCATGTGTAAATATTTTATTTTACAAAATACAGTACCTGTACTGTATATTTTGCAGAAAAAAATCTAGTGCTTTTCATGAGCATTATTAATCGGTTTGCGTATTTTAATAATTTATAATCCAACCTTCAATCCTTGCCTAATTAAATTAAAATAATATGTAAACATTTTCAACATGGTGAGGCAGGATGTGGTTATACTTTCGGAAAAACCCTTGTTCGCAATGGAAAAGAAACTTGGGTAATTCATGTGGATCCGCAAGTTTTAGGCAGTGATTTTCCATTATGATTGTGCTTGTGGAGGTGATTCTAAGGTTTCCAGATTTTCGTTTCCGTGTGGAAGTTTCCCCTCATTGCCTTTGTGCGAGTAATATTGTTGAAGGGAAAGTTTTGCAGGATTGAGTCATTATGCGAATTATAATCCAGAGAGGGCGGGGGGTGGTCGATTTTGTTTCTGCTTGTGGAAGAGTTAAGGGGTTCATTTTATTCTATGGTTGGAACTCTTGGATTCCTGGAAAATATTTCACCGCACAGTAAATTAAAATTTGTTCCCCCCACTTTAATGTGCTGCTAATTCTCATTTTTATTGAAATATGAATAATTTAGATTGAAGAGAAATAATTAGAAAGCGTAATTAAAAGTTGAATTTTTGTGAGTTGGTTTTTGCATGTCATCCCAAATAGGAAGAGGAATTTGTTAGTGTTGGACTCGGGTCATATTTTTTGGTAAATTTGGCTAATAGTGTACTTTAATTGGAATAAGTGAAGAAATTGTGAAAATTCACCAGTTTTTGATTATTTTAAAAATAAATGAAGATTTAAAATATTTTTTAAATGTGTAACATTTTTAAATTATATTCATATATTTTCTAAAATTCGATCTTTATTTTTAAACAGATTTGATTTTGTTCAATTTGCCAGAAGCGCTGATAATCTTGTAATTTGCACACCCTATATTTGTGTAAAAAAAAAACCGAGTTGTACCTTGTGAAGTACTGTTCAGTACTTGCATCAATGAGGTGTTTTAAATCATTTTTTGTTCAAATTTTGGAAAACTTGTATATTTGAGTGGACATGGTACACAGGTGGACTCTCTCTACAACAAAATTCATGGGACCAGAAACAAAATTTGTTGGGACACATTTTTGTATTGTGAAACCAAAAAACTCCCACCTGCGGCAGCGGAAAACGTGACAGTGTTCCTGAGAAAATCGAAAAGTGCTACAAGACGGAGACAGTGGCAATTGAAAATTCGCATGGTGAGTTTTTATGGACAGCGTTTGTTTTTATTTTTTTTAGTCCTTCCTTTGTTTGTAGAAAGATGTTCTCAGCAGCTTGTGTAAGCCACGGTTTTTGTGTCATTAATTGCGAGCGTTGTCAAAGTGTATTTGCAGTTGCTGGTCGACTGATTGTCGAGTGTGAAAACGTAGTTCGTTTTTGTTCCGGATGTTGTTTTCGTCACCCAGATTTTTTGTTTGTTTTTCAGGTTGTTCTCTGTTGACAAGCACGAAACAACACATGATTTTAAATTGCGCGAAATCGACTTTTTGAAAAGACTTTCCCACGAGTTATTATGCTGATTTAGTTTTGAAATAACCTTAACTCTACGCAAGATTATCAAGTGTGATGTTTTCTGAAAATTCCTCGATTGATTTTTCTGTAAAGATTAATGCTTTCCCTGCCGTGGGCCCCATTTGAGACTCCCGCGATTTTTGCCATGTAGAAAAAAAACCAATTATTTCCCAAAAAGTATTTAAACTTCTTTTTTTACTCTACAGAGAAGTTTTCTGCAAGTTGAAATCTTACGAGGCAAAATTTTTCCATTTTTCACTGTATAGAATCAAGTTTTCTGAATCCAACTCCCAAATTCTGATCAAACGTCAAAACATGATTTTTGGATTGTGAGAAATTACTTTCTACTGTAGCTGAATTCAAAAACTTTTTATTTTTTTAACCTTGGTTTGCTCTTGATGCTGAGGCACTTTTTGTTTTGAGGTTTTTAAATTTTTAAAATCACAGCACATACAAATATTGTACCTTCACCCCTGAAAGGGGCTCATGTCAGTTGGCATTTAAAATACCGTATTATTTTCAACAGAATTCGATTTAAATTGGTTTCTTCTCTTATTTTAAAACTAATATTTTGATCTAGAATGCCATCACAATAATATAAATCCATGAAACACTGGAACATTTATTTTCCCAATTTTTGAGCATTTTTTTGACACATTGAAAAATATTTTTGAAAGAACAATTTTTCAGATGCTTCTAAATTTTGACACGCTGAACTTGAATTGTATTCATGCAGAATATGTATAATTCTACTTACCTATCAGACAAATACACAAGTTGGCATCAGTCAAACTGCTGGGGATGTCAAAGACTGGCTTTGAACGTTGAGAATTGCACAAACTTGTGGCACTTGGGTAGTTGACCATTGTGCTGGTCTCAATTTCAAATGATGTCCCTGAAGAGCTTCCGCAGTTGTTGATATTTTGCCACACGTGTGTAGAAAGGGTTATTGCTGTAAATATACATTTTTCCAGTTTCAGAGTAATAGATGTCGACCAAAACCATTAGTTTGTCCATTAAGAAAACTTGGTGCACCATTATACAATCACGGGTGACATATATGTGAAAGTAAAGCAAATCAAATAGTTGAAGGCATTTGAAATATCAGTGGGCAGAATGCAAAAGAATCTGTTTACCTGTTGTTTGAGGCACTGTAGTGGTTTTTGTTACAGTGGTTGTGGTAGCTGCAGAAACGCTTGTGTTCTCAGTACTTGTGGCACCTTTTGAGGTACCAAGTGTGGATGTAGTTGTATCAGTAGATTCTGCAGCTGTAGAAGCAGAACTACTCTCAATGATTGCAGAGGTTTTAGTCACACTAGATGTGGAGTCTGTTGCTGTAGAACTGGTAAAAGTTGTTTGTTGGCTATTGACACTAGTTGTCAAATCTGTGCCAGCAGTGGAAGTAGTGATTATCTGAGGGTTGGTGGTTGCACTTATTGTGGAATCTGCTGTGAAAAGAGTTCCTTTACTAGTGGCACTGGTAGTAGTAGTAGTAGTAGTGGTTGAGTCTCCATCACTGCTGGTGGTAGTTGTGGAGGTTGTAGTGGTACCTTGAGGGGTTTCTCTACCCATGGAACTAGTGATGGTTGACTCTCCACTAATAGTACCAGAGTTTGTGATGGCACTGGTTGTAGAATTGGTTGTACCTTCAGTACTTTCCTCACTTATGGCACTAGTAGTAGTTGACCATCCACTCCTGGTGTTGGTACCAGAGTTTGTGGTGGTACTGGTTGTGGAATCAGCTCCACCTTGAGCAATGGCACTAGTGCCAGTTATGTTCCCTCCACTGGTAGTGGTTGCAGAGGTTGTAGTGGTACCTTGAGTGGTTTCTTTATCCATGGAACTAGTGATGGTTGACTCTCCACTACTGGTACCAGAGTTTGTGATGATGCTGGTTGTAGAATCAGCTGCACCTGGAGTACTTTCTCCACTAATGGCACTAGTAGTAGTTGGCCATCCACTTGTGGCGCTGGTACCAGAATTCGTGGTGGAATCAGCTCCACCTTGAGCAATGGCACTAGTGCCAGTTATGTTCCCTTCACTGGTAGTGGTTGCAGAGGTTGTAGTGGTACCTTGAGTGGTTTCTTTACCTATGGAAATGGCAATGGTTGACTCTCCACTGCTGGTACCAGAGTTTGTGATGGCGCTGGTTGTAGAATTGGCCGCGATTGGAGTACTTTCACCACTAATGGCACTAGTAGTAGTTGGCCATCCACTTGTGGCGGTGGTACCAGAATTTGTGGTGGATTCAGCTCCACTTTGAGCAATGGCGCTAGTGCTAGTCACGTTTCCTCCACTGGTGGTGGTTGCAGAGGTTGTAGTGGTTCCTTGAGTGGTTTCTTCACCAATGGAACTAGGAATGGTAGACTCAATGGAACTAGGAATGGAACTAGGAATGGTTCCTTGAGTGGTTTCTTCACCAATGGAACTAGGAATGGTAGACTCTCCACTGCTGCTGATGGTTCCTGAGCTTATGCTGGCACTTGCAGTAGAATCTGGTGCACTTTGAGTAGTTTCTTGACTATAATTACTAGTAATAGTTGGGTCTGCAGTTATAGAAGCAGTGGCAAAAGTTGTTGTAGAGCTTGTGTAAAGGCTGCAATTCCCATAATCATCCGCATCATTACTCTCAAGACTGGTGTGATTATAATTGAAACCACACCAAACCGCTGATTTGTCTTTCAGGACTCTCAAGACAGCCTTGGTCACATTTGTCTGCCTGGGGAACATGAAGTATGTCCTGCAACCTGCTTCTTCATCAAATTCCAAGTCACTCAAAATGGCACCGTGAGTCAGTTTATCAAACACTGCTTGGTTCACTCTCCAAAGACCTGTTTGTGTTTTGCAAATTGTTACCATCCTTGGATCTGGTGTAAGACTGACTGACTGAGTTGTGCCAGTTGAGAGGCTATGGGATTTGCCCAACTTTTGTTTGGTGGCAAATATTATGCTGGGAGGCTTTCTGAAAGTTTCTGCATTTTCTGTGAATGATGGAAAAATATATTTACTGTAGATTGGACACTTCAGATTTTTTTCGTTTTTTTGAGTGCAACATTATGTGATGTTTAATTTTTTGATTGCAATTTGTTGCATGCCTCGCAAAAATTATGGTACAGTACCTGTAATAGTTATTTTGTTTTTTTCAGTAACAATCTTCAGTGTTTCATTAGTTATTTATTTGCGAATATTTTGGCGTTATTGCTGGAAAATGGTTTTTTCAGATTTTCATTCGATAAATTTTCTACCGATATTTTCATTTGTCATTATTTTAGTTTTCAAAATATAGTACTGTAAGATTTTCAGAAACAATTTACCAGTGCTTTTAATGAGCATTATTAATCGGTTTGCGTATTTTAATAATTTATAATTCAAGCTTCAATCCTTGCTTAATTAAATTAAAATAATATTTAAACATTTTCAACATGGTGAGGCAGGATTTGGTTAAACTTTCGGGAAAGCCCTCGTTCGCAATGGAAAAGAAACTTGGGTAATTCATGTGGATCCGCAAGTTCTAGGCAGTGATTTTTCATTGTGATTTATGGGCTTGTGGAGGTGATTCTAAGGTTTCCAGATTTCCGTTTCCGTGAGGAAGTTTCCCCTCATTGCCTTCGTATTATTGTTGATGGGAAGGTTTTGCAGGATTGAGTCATTATGGTCATTATAGTCCAGAGAAGGCGGGGGGTAATCGATTTTGTTTCTGCATGTGGTATAGTTCAGGGGGTTCCTTTTTTATGGTCGGAACTTTTAGATTCCTGGAAAATATTTCTTCGCACAGTAAATTAAAATGTGTTTCTCCGACTTTAATGTTCTGCTTATTCTCATTTTTATTGAAATATGAATTATTTAGATTCAAAAAAAAGAACTAGAAGGCGTAATTCAAAATTAAATTTTTGTGAGTTGGATTTTTCATGTCTTTTCTAACGGGAAGAAGGTTTTCACCATCATAAATGTCCCCCGGTTTTTTTTTCATTTTGGCAGAAGTGGCGTGTTAATGAAAATTTTTTTTTTTATGTGAAAGTAGCACGACTTTTTTAGTGTTAGACTTGGGGCACATTTTTTGGTAATGTTGGCTACTACAGTAATTGGAAAAAGGGGAGAAATTTGCAAGATTTTTAAAATGTCTTAACAGTTTCTAATTATTTTCACATATTTTCTGTTATTTCATTTTTTCATTCTACCTGATAAATTGAGCAAAGTTGGATTTTCGTAATTTTCCAAAAGCGCTGATAATCTTCCACTGTGCCCACCCCGTACAGTATTTGTGTTAAAAAATCGAATTTGTACAAGGTAAAATACTTTACTTGCATGAATATGGTGCTTTTAATAATTTTTGTTCAAATTGTTGAAAAAATTTTTGCATGAAATTTCAGTAGATATGGTACACAGGTCGACAACTAAATTCAGGGGACATTATCTTTAGGGAGAATTTTTTGCATTGTGAAACCCTGAGGGATGAACGGATAATTTGTTGTTCAGATGAATTGTTCGTTGATTAGGATTTTTTTTAGGAAGAATCCACCTGAATCAGCTGGATTGTGCTTAAAAAAAAAAACTTATCTCTTCCTGGATGTGGTTCATTCTGTTTAATTATTTTAATGCAGAACCCAATTTCCTTCGAAGCTACATGGAATAAATTTTGGTTAAAATCAATGAACTTCACTTTTAATGGACTGGAATAAAGATGGAGTTCGTGAATCGGCGAACCCCGGAATTATTATTCTGTGGCCCGTTACTTTTCTCGGCAGGTTAACGCGTGTAAAATCCTGACGCCGACCCAAGTCAAGGACGGGCCCAGCAAGTTGACCTGGCCCACTCACGACGGAGGGCAAACTCAGTCTGCATGACGGACCCGGATGCTGAAAGTGGGCCGTGATTGAAGCAGTGTGAACCTTGTTTCAAGGAGATGATGCAATATTTCGTTTGTTTTTCCTGAATATTCATTCAAGGGGTCCGGTTCATCAATTATACACTGTGTGCGAAACATGCTTACTTTTTGTGCGTGTGAAATCAGTGATTGAGTTGTTTCTTGAAGGATTATTTGGTTCGGTTCTCTTCAGCACGTGCAAGTCCACGAACCTGCAATTTTTCTTTCTCTGCGTAGGTGTCGCCCGAATCGCAATTTGTCCTTACATAACTAGTGCCTATCCTGAAATTTTAAAAATTATAAGTTTGGGCAAGATTTACCAAATAAAAAACGGTGATACCTTGATCACTTCTGTATCAAGTGCCGTCAAGAAACGTTTTTGTTCACCTGTAATGAATTAAAATATTTGCGAGATGCTTTTGAGGAGAAGCCTGCTTTGCAGAACAAACCTTTGTGCAAGGACATCTTCCAATTAATTATTTCTTCCAGATGAAATCATACACTTCGTGGACTTGAAAAAAAAAAGAAGTTGGGTGTTGAAATGAGCAAATCCAGAATCTTTGAAACTCTTTTTTTTTCAATGTGGGAATTTTGAATAATCCTTTTGCTTTTTCTACATTTTTTTTAGAGAAATAAAGAACCGATCGATGTTGTGTGATGGCTTTGGGAAAGTTGACCGAGTTGCCGCAAATAGCGAAACTTTCCCCGAGTGTGATGCGAATTCTTGGTTGTAACCCAGGAATAAAGACTCTTCAAGGAACCAACACTTATCTGGTCGGCACTGGTGCAAAGTGAGCATTTTTTAAAAAGATATTGTGTGTATTTTCAATATTTTATCGTCTTTTTATTTTTTTCAGGAGGGTCTTAATTGATGCCAGTGAGCCCGAGAAACCTTCGTACATGGCCAATGTGAAGCAGGTCTTGAAGGAAGAGTCGGTTACCATTAGCGACATTGTGGTGACCCACTGGCACCCTGACCACCTCGGTGGAGTCCAGCAGTTGTTGTCAACTTTGCCATCTGCACCAAATGTCAGGAAGCTGCCTTTGGAAGGAGAAACTTTTGAATATGAAATTCAGAAATTGGTTGATGGTCAGGAGATACGAGTTGAAGGCGCTTCCCTTAGGTAAGTTGATCATCGAATGGGTGCATCAATTGATTCTGAGGCAAGATGTGAAGGTTTTTTTTCTGCCTGTTGCTTTCTGGAGTCTCTAATATGTGTCGCCTGAATCACTAGCCTGGTCAGAATAAATCTAAAATGAATAATGATGTACACATGTGACATCCATTCAACTGCAATGCAAATCACTGGAACTTTCTGAGTGACTCTGCATTAGAATAAGGAAAACATTATTCAATCAATTTTTGCTTTTTTACTGATGTATTAAAATCTTGACAATTTTAGCGGGGAAATTCCCTTTGAAGTTAGGTTTGCTGATTGTTGTCAATGAATTCACTCAACTGATGAAGATTCTTGGAGATGTCGCGAGGTATAGAGCAGTATTCTGATTAAATGGGTTAGTGCTTTGGAGCGACATCTACCCGCCGGAAAACACTGTCACCTCTCTATGGACAGGGAGTAGCTATTTCAAGTATGGATTTCTTTCATTCTACTCAACCACCAGGAGTGGCTGCTGATTCTTTTAATGGCTTTTGATTTTTTTTGTGGATTATGTTCAAATAAATTGATGAATTTTGAAGCTTCTTGCTGTTAAATTTGAAATTTGTTTTTCTTGTCTATTTATTTTAGAGTAATCCATACTCCAGGGCATACCAAGGACCACGTGGTCTTGCTGGACACCGACAGAGGCGCTCTGTTTTCTGGCGACTGCATCCTTGGAGAAACGACTGCAGTTTTCGAAGACTATGTCTCTTACATGGCGAGTTTGAAGAAGATTCTCGATTTGGAACCCAAGGTGATTTACCCGGGTCACGGGCCGGTTGTTGACCAGCCCTGCGACAAAATCCGGATGTACATCAAACACCGGGAACAACGAGAGAAACAATATCTTGACGTTTTGACGAAGCAGAGTGATTTCGTGTCTGCTTCGTTCATTGCCAAGGACGTTTATGTGGTGAGTTCTTTTTTATTTGGTCATTGATGTTTTTTTTTAGTCTTACAACTGACTAAGTTTGTGAGAAAGATTTTTACTGTGCGTATGTAACTCATCTCCATTATTTGTAATTAACGATTGGTGAAGGGATTAATTGTGAGACGAATTATCGATTTTTCAAAGTTTTCTCAGAGAAAAGTTGAGAAGGTTTTACTGTACCCTGATGTGATTATTAATGAAAGTTCGAAGGCATTTTATTAATTTTTGTGTTTAAAATCATTTTCATTTTTGATTAATTCATGTATGTGAAATTTTAGGTAACTTGTCGAGAAAATGTATTCCCTGAATCTGATGGGAATTTATTTGACTTCTCTTATCAAAGTAAATGGAGATTGGTTCAATTTTTGAGGAGTCTTTTTTATGTTGATTTTTTAGGTGAATTGCTTAATAATTATAGTTGATTCTTCATTCAGTCAGAAGTGGGGGTAATTTTTCTCTTTTTAAGGCCTAGTGTCGCCTACTTTTCTTGTTGTTTTTTTTATCAATATTTTGTGATGCAAATTTGATTCCAGAAGGAATTATATACTGTATATATATAATGTTTTTTGAAGGGCCTGGAAGATTTCATGTTACCTGCTGCAGCGGAAAACGTGACAGTGCAACTGAGGAAATTGAAAGCTGAAGGAAAAGTGCTACAAGACGGGGACAGTGACAAGTGGAAACTCGCATAGTGAGTGTTTATGCACAACCATTTTTTTTCGTTACTCTAGTCATTTCTGTGTTAGTAGAAACATATTTTCACCAGCTTGTGTAAGCTGCTGTTTTTGTGTCAGTAATTGGGAGTGTTGCGGAAGTGTATTTGCAATTGCTGCTCGACTTGGTGTTGAGTGCAAAAACGTAGTTTGTTTTTGTTGCGGGTGTTGTTCTCGTCACCCTGATTTTTTTTCCGTTGGTCAGGCTTGTCTTTGTTAAAAGAATTTAAAAAAAAAACCACGCAGGATTTGAAATTGTGCGAAGAAGTACAGTATCTTAAAGAATCTTCCCCCGAGTTATTATGCTGATTTGCAGTAGTTTTGAACTACAGTAGTTGAAAACATTTTGCATAAATTTTTTTTTTCTGTGTAATTCAACATTTTTCTAGTTGTAGAAGTGCTGCCCAATCCTTCAGATTTTTTTTTTCACTGGGAAGAATTCGTTGCATGCCTTGAAAAAATTATAACCAGTAATGATCAAATTTTCAGTCTTTTCCTGTGAGTTTTTCAGTTAGTTTTTTTATTACTGTGCGTATTATTTTCCTTTTATAGAATTATTTAGATTCTTGAAAAGTAGCTGGACAGCATAATCTAAAAATATGCTGTTGAAATTTCTTGAAAAGGAACAAAAAAGCAAGTAAAAAAATGGCTATCAGTTTTCTATTTTCTTTTATAGCCTGAAACTATGTATTCAATTTATAAATTCATCTTTTTGCAAGTTGAAAAAAATGTCAGTTTTCTGTTTTTTACATAGCTTAAAACGATTCAATTTAAAAATTTTGCCTCTTATTTTCACCAGGAAGAGAATATTTCAACTATCAAAAATGAATTCCCCGATTTTTTTGGGAGAAGCGGCTTCGCGATGAAAATGTGTTTTTATGGGGATGTAACACAAATTTTTTAGTGTTGGACTTAGGACGTTTTTTTAATGGTTTTTCGCCGAAATATGGTAAAAAGGAATAAAAAAGCGAATTTTTTGTGAAATTTTTATAATATTTTAATTATATATTAATTTTTTCCAAATTTAAAAAAATGTTTTCAAGCTCATTTTTTCAGTTGATCGGTTAGAATTGAACCATTATTTGAAATATCTCGAATTTCGTTTTGGACTTTGTCTTCAGTTTTTGACACAGGTGTCATTTCTTGAACTGTGTAATAATTTGATACATCAGTTTCTTTATATAGTATCTTAGTAGTAGTATCTTAGTAGTAGTAGTAGTAGTAGTAGATATAGTTTCTTTATTTTCAGTGCCAATTCACAATAATATTTCATAATTCTACATCACACACTGATTGAAAGCAATGAAATTCAATGAACATAAGACCAATGATCAAACAGAAGACAGTGCCAAAATCGCATAATTGTGTTCTCCAGGATTTTCTTCGATGAATTTCTTGCATGCCTTGGCAGCATCCTGGACGAAAGTTTCTGCAGAAGTTGTTCCATGTGCTTTGGGTCCAATCTTAGTTCCATCCAATTCATACATGGTCCCCTGGTGTTGCACAATGGCGACGTAGTGGTAAGGCGTTGGTTCGGTGGTAGGCGGTTGAGATTCGGATTTTGCCTGAATTTCCATCAGTTCCTTGTAATCCTTGAGCGCAGTGCCACGGGCTTCCGGGGTTTGGTCCTTGGTTGCAGCCAGGAACTTGGCGAGAATAGCATCACTGGGCAACTGGATCTGTTGAGTGGGAAAAGTAAACGAACAGTTGATTCAGAAACCTTTAGTCAGGAATCATTGTAGATGGCAGCAGGGGCTCATGAGTAAGATAACTCAATTCTCTCATTGGTAAATATCTGACATCTTGCTCTCCGCGGAACAATGAATTAGTGCTAGTTATAAGGAATGTAAAACGTTTAGGAAATTGACGAGTGAGCTTAACCGAATTGAAATTACATTCGTTGGATATCGGACATCTTGTTCGACGTGACACGTGCAAAAGCAAAAATTAGTGCATTTGAAATGGTCAATATTACGAGAAAGTATGAATCACAGGGCTACAACAAAATTTTCGGGGTGAATTGAATAAATTCAGATTCATCAGTTACACTGTACCTCGATCATGGGGTACATTTCGGGATTTGTAAATTTCAAGAGTTGAAGAACGAGAAATTGAGAAAATAAATAGCCTCAAACCTTATTCTGAACACTAGCCACAGCATGAATCAGTGCAATCGGTCCGCTTGCATTCGGGAAATTCTCCTTGACGAAGTAAATATCTTTCGGCTCCTCGCTTCCCTTGTCCTGAAACATTCCAGGGAACATGTATAAACACGGTAATGATCAAACTTGAAAGGTGCGACTCACAGTGGCTTGAATGCTTTTCGGAAACAGCAAGAGGAACGCTTGAATGTTGGTCGGTTCGGAGATGGTCTCGCAAATGCGATCCACGTCGAGATCCGGAAAATCCACCATCTTGACATTCTCGGGCACTCCAGCTTCCTTCAAGAACTTGTTGATCACAGCCGGGTTGGCTTCCATCGGCATCCAATGACAATCTCCCATTGTGTTGTGATTAAAAAGGCTGTTTTTTCAATTCAAATTAAAACCGTGGACAATATGGCTTTCTCCTGTGAAAATGATTGACGGCGGGATGAATAACCTCTTAAAATATTACCAAGACCAAGAAGGGATTGCGCAATACATTATTTTGTTTTACACGCCACTCATTGAAGGGACTAATTTAAAAGTTGACGAATTCTTCCAGGTATTCTTCGTAAACATGTCTTTCCATTACCATTTAGTTTCTTCATTCGACTATCTTCTAGGAATTGAAAGTGGATTTAAAATTGAGATTAACCTTGACACCACATTTTCATTTTCTGTACGCGGAGAAAATCAGATGCTTCCTCGGTCTTTCTTCGTGAACTAATCACTTGAAATCATTACATATTTTTCAAATCTAGTCCTAGAATTGAGCATTAGTGTAATTGAGTTCATATCTAATTGAGTAACTGGAATAAGAACTAACGCCGCCGAAGTTCCGGAAACTTAGAATCGCCCGCCACGAAAATCTATCATAACCGCGATATTCGTGACGTTGACCCGCACGTATTTAGCAAGAGATAATTACAGTTGAAATGATTCCTTGTAGACGTCACCTAATTCAGATGGAACTCGATGCAAAATAGCTGCAGGCTTTTGGACGAAACTTTTCGCGCGGAAAAATGCTTCATTCTTCCGAAATTAAATTTCTAATAAATACATTACAGTATGACTATAGGAGCTGTATACAAGGGATGAATACTGCACAGTCGGGATGATTCCTTGCAGAAGTTATCTATTTCTGATGGAATTTGATGCAAAATCGCTGCAGAATTGTGGAAGAAACCATTCTCTCAAGAGAAACGCTACGTTCTTTCGAAATGACTTATACAAGTTCATCAGTACTACTTCAAAGCTTTATAGAGCGTACAAACGAATGCATGTCACGAAGCGTAACCTCGGAATCCACTGAGCGAACTTCGGTAACCGACTCGACACATCAGGAATTTGCTAGAGGAAAAGTTAGTTGTTGATTGATGTAAAGTTAAGTATTCAGATCTGATGAGTTATAGACTATTCTGGGAGTGACTTGCGTCAACACATCCACGATAAGTATCCCTCTGCGAAAATTCACCGATGAATGCTACTCGCACAAGAAGTTCGCGCATAGCGATCCACTTAAGCACTGAGCGAACGTCTCCGACTAGCTCGCCTTTTTAAAACATTCATGAGACCCCGTCAGTTCGTGGGATCTGCGATCCACACCCTCGTATCGATCGTCCGGTTTCTATGTGCGAAACTCGTTTGGCACGGGGTCGGGCGAAGAAAGGAATCAGGATTATCAACTAGGTTGGGAATTATATGCGCACTCGCTTCCAGGTTTTGTCACGATAGCAGTGGAACAGGTTCTGCAAATTTCACGAAATTGCGCCACGAGTATATAAAAGCGAATAATTTAATTCACAGACGAATTGAAAAACATGAGGCAATCATTAATTGTACTGTAGCTGACGGGCTCCACTATACCGAATTCGATCTTTCCTTCAGGCATTACATCCTTTCTCGAATTGTTCGTAGGACTTCTAGAATACTCACGGATGATTAAATTGGCTTCGAAAGTTCGGCTTTCGTTGCAGCCATTTTGTCGTGACTCGGCGAGTTGCTTCGCACTCGGAACCAGTTCAGCAAGCTTCAATGGAAACACGTGGAAAAGGACCAGAAACTTCTAGAAACTACGATCGATTCGTTAAAAATAGGACACGAGTGGAATTGTACTCGGCTTGCGTGACTGAAGGAAAGTCCGACTGGTTTTTATTTAGAACTTACATTCTCTCATATGGTTCATACATAGTGTCTGTGTGGATTTAGCCTACGATTCGTGGACTTCGGAAAGAAGGGCAAATTTTAGAACTGACACTGCACTTGAATTCATCGGTTCTCCGCAGAAATTCGTTTGTCATTCTCAGCAATATGTAGATCATTAGAGTTCAGGGATAAACCATTGATATCGAAGCAAAGATAGTCGCCTGTATGATGATCTCGAACGCTACCTAAGAAAATTACGCCTGCATCAAAATAAAAATAGGACAGGTAAGTATAGAATAATAAAAATATTGCTAATTGGATTCATTCTGCGATTGCTAAATATTTACCCGTAATCCAAATTATCCACGTCATCTAGTCGAAGCTATTGCTCAACAGAACATTCAAGCATTCCTCCATTTAAAACTCGACAATTCACCTAATAAACTACTAAAATACCCTGGAATGAGAACCGTTTGCCTTAATGAGGAAGAAGTCAAAATGAAAGGAGATTTTCGCGAACGTGGACGTGAAATAATTTACTCAATGAGATGAAGAAAGCTGGCTCACTTTTAGAGATCGAGAGGCCACTTCGTTCAATTTTTTAAAATTGAAACTTGGGCAAACAGGAGTTGATTCATACGATCGTGCAATATTTTAAGTTGAACAATTCCGACTTATGTTCTTGATTAATTTACAATTAAATACGCCCCCATGTGAACCATATTCGCATGTCCAAAAAAAACCAACATTTTGATTTAAAAAAAAGTATTCTACACGAGCAGGATCTTGGTCAGTAGTACTGCTGTGTGGTCAATAAAGAAAGGAAGAGAAACAAATCACTCGGAAGTTGGCTTTTATTGGACTTTGAAACAGGTCCTGCCAAAAACAAATCCCCGCAAATAAACGGTAGGCAGTTCAGTCTGGCAACCTCACTTGCGTCCCTTTTTCTTCAGGGCTGCCAACGACTTCTCCTTGGACTTGGCATAGGATTCCGGATCTTCTGCAGCTTCCTTTGCTCGCTTCTGCCTGATGCCCCACAACTTTTGGTTGGAACGCGCCTGCAGGAATACAAATAAAGGGAAATGCAGTTAAAGTATCATGTTCACATGAATGTATACAGTAACTAGACTCTCTGTACAAAACAAATTTAGGGGACCAGAAAATCATTCTTTGCAGAGATAATCCTCGTACAAAATTGTGTCATAACTACAGTGTAGTTCCCTTGTTCGGAGAGATGAGGAATTAAAAATTATTTACTGGATAAATGTTTTATTATTTTTTCAACTACTGTTCCAAATTTTCCCCACACGGGTTGGAATGAAAAAAAGCAGAGGATTCAAATTGATAAGCATTGAAGAAACGAGATTTCTGGGCCAGTTATATCCATGTTTCATGAATTAATAAAAAAATTGAAGTAACGTACACAAAAAATGCGTTCACAAAATTTTTACTTTTCAGGTCCCTGTCCCATAGTCACAATGTTACTTGAAAATTTTCACAATACTTATCACAGAAATGATCTTTCTTGGTCCCCGATACTTTTCACAAGATTATATCACAGAAATGATCTTTCTTGGTCCCCGATACTTTTCACAAGATTTCACTTCAATTGAAGCATCTCAGAGAGAATGTATGACATCTGAAATATCAAGTTTTAATCACAGAGAAGTCTGATGATGCTGATATCATCGCAATAAATACTTGCTGTTTCAATAAAATTGAAACTTGATGGGAGTATACTATAGTCCTACACCAAGAGGGATTTTCAAAAAATTTATCAAGAGATGGGAAAAGAGTGAAAATCGAAGACACCATCATCTCCGAAACAAACAAAAAACCAAATACTGCACAATAAAAGAAGATAAAAAAACGGCAAACTAATATTCAAAAATTCAACAATCCAACCCAAGAGACTTAATTTCAGGCGGGGCACACAAACATCCAAAGTATCTCGACTAAAAAAACCATATTTGTGAGAAAAACCAAATGGTTGATGGAACTCACCTTGCGAAGAGCGATGTAGGCAGAGAATTTCTTCTCTTCTTCAGTCGGCACTCGGGCTGCCTCGGGCACAAACTTATTCGATGGCGCCAAAAGAACCCCTTGGGCTTGAACCACCAACTTCATCTCTTCCGGCTGCATGGGGAAAAATGGAAACATAAATCAGTCCTTCGGTTTCATCTCTAAAATCATCATTACAACTCATATTCAAAAATTATTTATAAAAAGATAGTTATAGATAGTCAAGTTATTTTAGACAGTACTGCATATTTCTGGTCATTTGCGCTTGATCATCGAACCTGGTCTAAGAATAAGAATTATACATTTTGTATTTCGTACATCGGACTCACTTCGTTCATTTATTTAAAAAAAAAATTTAAAGATTCAATCTATTACAGTAGTTCCACAATAAATTAAGACATGAAAACGTGCCAGGGTTTTCAATATTTTCAGCTTCTTCAGCGCTCATGATTTCGAAGAGATTCATCGAAAGATAATCAAAAAAATTTCCTTCTTCGAGGGTGGAGTCAAGATAACAGATTGTGACTGGGGGAATACCGGGCATATATTATTATGAATTCAAGTTGAAATTCAAAATAAAAACAATAATCGTCGAATACTGCGGTTAAAAAAAAAAGAAGAAGAAAAAGTTCACTAACCGTAGCATCACCCTTCTTCGGCTTGGACATCTTCTTCGGGAACAAGATCAATTTCGACCTGTATTCCTTCAATCGTCTTACATTCAATTGCAGTCCCTCGACGTTCTTGTTCTTCCTGCGATGATCGACAGCAATGCCGATGGTCTTGGCTTCATTGCGGTTAATTCCGGCAGTCTTTTTTTAAAAAAAAAAAGAGGGAAACATAAATAAACTTATCATTTTACTCAAGAGAATAAAACGAGATCTAAAAAAAAAGTCGTAACACGTGGCGAAACTTTTCTTCAGCCATAAAACAGAATTTTTCAATTCTTTTCTAATAAAAAAATTTTGGAAATGACAAACGCGAGAAAATCAACATTAATCGCAGAAACAATTATTCCCCCGTAAAAGTCGCAAGAAATAATTGTAAATTTAAAAAAATAAAGCCTCTGCGTCTAGTATTAGTACCTTGAGTTCCTCAAGCGTGAAACCACGGCCCATGCGCAGTTTGCGATGGTAACGCTGCGTGGGACACCTCACGACGGGACGCAGACGCTGCACGGGCCTCGGGGCCATCTTGCGGGCCTTCTCCATCCTGGCCTTGCGACGGCGCTCCTTCCGGGCCGGCTGCGTGAACCACGTGCTCACGCGCTTCTGCCAGTCCTTATGCAAGTGCGCGTTCGGCACCATCGTGGCTCCCTTCGACGGCATCTTGGCACTTTTTCTTTTATATTTCCACTATATTTCACTTCAGAAAAAAAAAAGACCGACATTAGTACATCATCTCGGCATTCAAATTATTCTGGGAGGATTCTTTGCCCAGTGAACTCGTCGATAGCATTCCTGGCATTTCCAACACATCTCGCAGGAAATTGATCATCAAATGAACTCAAGGACATATTCGACGATTAAAATGTATGCTGGGAAGAAAAGATGTCGCCTCTGAAACTAATCAGACCGAAAACATTTTTTGTAGACTCAACCGAACCCTATTTCAATAAATACCCCATTTGATCTAACTTTAACAATAAAGTAACCACTTTAGGCTGTTGCCTAAAATTAACTTCTTTTGTTAAAAAGGAACGTAACTCATAAAAGTCGATACACTGTAGCGTCCAAGGAAATTTTTGTTGGAGGAAATCACGCTTTCAACCGAAATTATGACAATTAAGAATTCTTCTTAATTAAAGCCCACTAAAACAAAAATTCTGAAAATTTCAGAATTTCACCGTTTTAAGCAGCCTTTTGCAAGATGATTGCAATCCCAGAATTAAAAAACGAAACACGAATTTTCCTCAGGAGAAAAAAAAAAGGCAACAGTAGCAAGAACCTCAGGAATGCATCGACAAGCTTCGCACGGGATCGATTCTCCAAATAAATCGAAACAAAAAGGGGAAACTCGAAGAGTCACTCAGATGCGTGAACGACTTCAATGTTGTTTTCACACAAACGCGTCACGAGCGCAGCGAAGAATTTGTCAAGGATTTTCACTTCCTCTTGGACTTCTTCAGGGCCAGGGACTTCTCCTTGGACTTGGCGTAGGATTCCGGATCTTCTGCGGCTTCCTTGGCTCGCTTCTGCCTGATGCCCCACAGCTTCTGGTTTGAACGGGCCTGTGTTGGCATCAAAGCGAAAAAAATTGCATGAGTAATGGACACAAACCAAAATAATTTATAAACCATGTCAAAATAATGAATGAATCTATCGTCTCTCGAAAATTCACTTAAAATGTAATAATGCATGTAACATACCTTCATAGAAAAGAAAACTAAAATTGAAACAAAATGGTAGCTGAATCTTACCTTGCGAAGAGCGATGTAGGCAGAGAATTTCTTCTCTTCTTCAGTCGGCACTCGGGCTGCCTCGGGCACAAACTTATTCGATGGCGCCAGAAGAACCCCTTGGGCTTGAACCACCAACTTCATTTCCTCCGGCTGAACAGGGAAAAGTAAGAACAGAAATCAAATCAGTCCTTCGTTTTCATCTCCAACACTCTTAACATCATCCATACAACTCTTCCTTAATAATAACAAATGTGCGTCTAGAAAAGACTGCTAACGCTGTACTGTACTGTGTTACATATTTTTGGTTTGTCTACAGCTCTACACTCTGCATTAAAGAAATTAGCAATATCCCGTGCATCAGACTCATTTCGTTTATTTGAAAAAATAATAGAAAGATTCAATCGTGAAGTATTACAAGAAATTGAGGCATGAAAACGTGCCAGGTTGTTCAGACTTCGAAGAGATTCATTGAAAGATAATCAAAAACAGATTTTTTCTTCATCGAGGTTGGAGTAAACATGACAGATAGTGACTGAGGGAATACCCCGCATAAAATGAATTTCAGTTGAAATTAAAAATGAAAAAAACTCGTCAAATAGTGCAATTTAAAAAAATAAAAGTTAACCAACCGTAGCGTCACCCTTCTTCGGCTTGGACATCTTCTTCGGGAACAAGATCAATTTCGACCTATATTCCTTCAATCGCCGAACATTCAATTGAAGACCCTCGACGTTCTTGTTCTTCCTGCGATGATCGACAGCAATGCCGATGGTCTTGGCTTCATTGCGGTTGATTCCGGCAGCCTGAAAAAATTGTTTCAACTTCGCTGTAGCTTAACATAGACAAACATAGTTTAACCACTGGGTTCACAGAATCAGTTTATGTAACAGTAGGCGAAGATTTCACGTGTACGACACCTAATTTTGATAATACAATTTAAAGGTTATTCATCAATTAAGCGCCACATTTCGCTCGTTTGGAAAGTCGGGATCTCCTGACATCTTCGATATTGACCGTGATCTCCTCGATGATGACTTGAAAAAATAGTACATATGCTTTTAAAATCATGCAAGAAATATAGAAGGAATACATTATTCGACAACATGCTTGAACATGATGAATGGAAGAATTTTCTTCTGAAATGACGAAGGGAGTACGCGAGAAAATTAACATGACACGTAAAAACGAATATTCCTGTGTAAAAATCGCAAAACATTATTGAAATTTTGAAAAAAACAATGAGCCTTGGCGTATATTATCGATACCTTGAGTTCCTCAAGCGTGAAACCACGGCCCATGCGCAGTTTGCGATGGTAACGCTGCGTGGGACACCTCACGACGGGACGAAGACGCTGCACAGGTCTCGGGGCCATCTTGCGGGCCTTCTCCATCCTGGCCTTGCGACGGCGCTCCTTCCGGGCCGGCTGCGTGAACCACGTGCTCACGCGCTTCTGCCAGTCCTTGTGCAAGTGCGCGTTCGGCACCATCGTGGCTCCCTTCGACGGCATCTTGACTCCTCACAGTTATCACTGCACCTACGACACAACTTTTCGCGACGGAGGGGAAATACATTTTTTTTGCGTTTAGATCTTGTAAAGCACGTCCCACGTTCTAGTCACTTCAACAAGCCTCGCCTTCATTTATTTCTTTCTATTGTTGTTATTGTTACGTAGGTGTGTGTCACCTAAATTTCATTTCACTTCGGTTGATACATTTTCGGTCATGTTAACTTCTTAAGATGGTTCATTTTAAATCAATTTTCTACTTTTCGTCTCAGTATCACAAGGTGACGATTGTATCACATAGATGTAACCCGAATTCGTAAAAAACTAACGTTAGACCAAGACCGGTGTTCTACTAGAAGCTTATTTCACGAAATTAGGATCTTTCCGAATGAATTTGTAAATGTTGGTCAGAAGAAACAGAAGAAAACCAGAAACGACATCTGTCTTCGCATGAAAAAAATGAGCATTGGTTTCCTTCGTGTGAATTTAAATTCGGTTCTAGTATTCTCAATGTGATCATCGATACTTCAGGCGACATCTTCCAGACATTTCCACAAGAAGAGTTTGCTCGTTGAGTGGAAAGAACGAAGTCCAGTAGCATTACGCGGAAAGAAATACACACACGTTCTACACTTTCAGGTCACTCAGTCGCAAAATCTGTATGAAAAAATAGAAATGAATAAAAATTATAATATCAGGCCATCACAGGTCCCAGTTCATGAAAGAAATAATACACACACACAAAATAAGCAAGACGCTTTCACGTCGCAGCAACAATCACGATGATGCATTCGACACTTGAAAAACTCCCGAAGACGTGAGAACCGATTCCGTCTCCAACTCCAAAATGGGGGAAGCAATTCGACTACTGTCTTGGGACACAGTGTCTTCACCAAAGGCAGAGTTGGCTCTCGACACCGTCGTCTCGTCATCCTCGACATCTTCGCCTTCTTCCAACACAACGGCTTCGTCTTCCAGAGGCTCATCATACATGTTATTCTCGTCTTCCTGTTTCCAACCGGGCGGTGGAACGAAATATGGAAGCTTTCCTGAAATTAAACGAGGAAACAAGATTTTGATTTTATTCCGGCGTTCAAATTTTTATAAATATACTGAACCCCCTTAGAAATTCCTCCTCATCGACAGACCGAGAGTAGCAACAATTATAAATTTCATCAGATGAATTCTGATCAAAATGGTGATACAACATTTACAATGCGTGATCTTAATGCTCGCAAAATCATACAATCGAGATCATTCTTAAAAAAGTTGCGCAGGAAGTCAACTAACCTCGTTGCCAATCGTTCAACACCATCTTGGCGACTGTGTTCATGTCTGGTTCTCCCTTCTTCAACAGCTTTCCAGATTTCCTTGCCAGCTGCTCTAGAAAGTCGTCCGCATCTACAAAGTCTTCCAGCTCATATGTTCTCGCCACGTGCTCTTTCTTAACCCTGAAATTAAGAAGAAAAATACTGTAAATTGGGCAAAGATTTCATTTCCTTTCCATCTTCACTCTGTTATTTTGACCAGTAAATAAATTTGAAACGATTGATATACTCAAAATAAGCAGTAAAAATGCCGAACTAATTCCTATTAATCAGTATTGAAGAATGGATTATAATACAAAAATATAGTAGACGTTCGAAAAATACAGTCAACACACAAGAAAATTGTACACATTCCTGACCAATTCGACCGCGTTTGGGTTGCTTTCTCTGATCTTATTTGAAGGATTCTTGAGGAAACTTCGGTAATATATTTCCATACACGGGAAAAATTACGATCAGAAACAGGAATTTGTTTTTTTACACAGATGTCGCCTGAAACTCTCTACATTTTCATGGTGCTGCATCGCAAGCTTGGGAAGATGATTAAATGTAAAACGGCAATTGATTCATCAGTGTCACAAGGATAATCGGTTTTCCGCGAAGCAAGTGCGTCCCAAAATAACAAAGAAATCGGAATACAATCGAATTTTTTAAAGAAGAAAAAACAAAAACCAACCGATCAAGTACGTCGACAATGTACTGCTCCGGCGTGTCCACCAACTCAACCCTAACGACTCCCTTCAGTACTTTCTCAGTATCAGATTCATTGTGGGGATGAACGACTCCGGGACAGTCAATCAAGTAGATTTGCTTCATGAGCGTCACATACTGCCAAACTTTCGTCTCGCCGGCAATCGGCGCAGTTTTGCACACCTTTTTCGCACGGAGGGTATTGATGAGCGAGCTCTTACCCGTATTCGGGTAACCCACAAACCCAATGCTGATCTGCTTCTTGTCCTCGTGCAATTTTTTCAGCTGTCGCAGCAGGTTTATCAGTGCTCCTTTCCCGTAGGAATTTCTGCAAAAATGAATGCATAAAAATCACAGACTGGGAGGAATAAGGAAAAAGAAGGATTCACCATTCGAAGCATGTCTATGCTCGACTAAATTCGAAGCCGATGTCTAATGAACAACATAGGACACAGGAAGGAAAGCGAGGCATAATTACGTCTCTTCAAAAATTCTTTCATCAAATCGCATCTTACTTTCGGAAATTTCAGACAGGTGTCGCCCTAATTTTGTAACGATGCCTTCGGTATTAATCACAACACCGAGTTATGCGACATCTCACGACATTCAAGAGCAAAATAGGACATGGGAAAATTTTAATCAACAGGAACAACTTTCAAAATGGGACATGGCCTGTATTTTTTTTTTTTTTTGCAAGTACCCACTGAGGTTACACCTAGGTAATATCGAACGAAATGTAGGGTACGTCAGGCGTTAAACTCTTAGGAAAAATAATATTCACTTCGTGAAATCTATTACCTGAGAGAGGAATGGAAAGCCAAAGTGGGATATTCTTCACTCAGGATCTTGACCCATTTCCGGGTCACAGAGGTGGGGATCAAGTCACACTTGTTCAACACCAGGACAAGATGTTTGTGCGGCTTCTCTTCTTTGAGAAATTTCTCAATGGCAGGACTTCTTGTTCCCAGAGGATCTCGCGCATCCAGCACCTGTACAAAATTATTATTTCACTAAATTAACACATCATATTTTAAAGCTTTTTTGTTCAGTTCGCGTATGCTTCAATTTTGATCCAGCTCAGGTTCGTTCAGATTCAGTTCAAATGTAGTTGATCAAAATTGAAAATTCCGGCCAAAATCTTCCTCGAGTTGATCAAGTTTGCCGATTACTCGGACATGGTCGCAATATTGTACGTGTCACTTTTACCTTCTCGACAGAATTCAGAGAACAAACTAAAAATTTCGACATAATTATACAATTGAAATTTAGCCAAGTTTATGTTGAATGTCGATGATTATAGACTTCTCACTCATTTCTGCGTACGATATCAAAAAATCCTTTTACAGCCCATTGCCCCAAAAAAATAGACAGGAAATTGTTCTTCATATTTTTTTCGGTATCCAGTCAACTTCAAATTGCAAGTTTTTTAAACAGCTAAAACGAACGTGACGACGATTGCTAAAACGCGGAAAATTGATGCAGAATTTCATTTTAATGTCTCAAACTTTCGAGAGGTACGAGAATCTCACCTGAATAACGACGTCCGACGAATCAATCACCTTGTACAACTCGTTCCAAATTCGCTTGCTTTGCCCAGCTCTCATGATGGGTTCCCGGGTCAAGTCCTTGACCAGGTTCGGGTCATTGTTGATCCGATCCCGGTCCTTGTCTTCGTCATAGCGATCCGACAATTCTTCGGCACGTGACACAATGTCTTCCAGACTAGATGCAGAAAGCGTGGGTCGTTTCCGCAACTTTTTGGGCCCAAACACAGTCTCGTAGCTCTCGGTTTCTAGAATATGCGATCGCTTCTTTTTGGGCTTTTCCGTCAGCAGAGACACTGGCAGTTTCGTAGGCCGCAAAACAACCTATTTTCAAAGACAAAAAAAATTAGACATGGAGTATTTCTTGGGTACAAAAAATAGTTTGAGCCCTAGAAGTATTCAAAAAAATTTTGAATATTTCTCTCACTACTTTCAAGTACTGTACAAAGGTGTTGTTCTGAGTCGAGTAAAGCTGACGGCAACAATAGAAGAAGTAAGATAGAAATTCATGAGACCAAAACAAAATTCGTTATACAGAGATAATCGCTGTGGACAAGATCGTTGTAGAGAGAGTTCACCTGTATTTAATTAAAAAGATTTGGAAATGATTATTCTTCTTAAATATGTTGTGGAAGCAAGCAAATATTTCCTGTTTCCCACAAAATTTCAGATTTAAATTATCCAAGAACCACAAACCTCTTAATAATACAGTACATTTTTCGCAATAACATTTTCTCCTACAGGTTCCTAAGAGTTTGCTGTAGCGCGATTTCACCGTATTCAATGATAACAAATTTTATTTTGTAACATTTTAGATTGTACATTCTCACTGGTGGGACAATGAATGCAAAAAAACAAACAAACCTGATAGCTGTCTTTCTGGACTTTGCCCAGCTCCTGCTGAAACTTCTGCAATGCACTCTGCGTGACAACACGCGTATTGGAGAACCATTTCGGATTGGGTTCCACTCGAGCCACAGAACCCGAAGGCAGGACATTCTGGAACGGTGCTGGGCACACAATTTTGCCAGCAGAATCCCTCTTGGGCTTCCCAGACTTGTACATCTTCAGACGCTTGATAGTAGCCCTGTCTCGAGGGTTCGCTATGCCCTTCTTCTCGTCGCTCACTTTTCTATGAGGGTTCAAACTGTGCTTGGCCCTGTTCAGGGGTTTGTCCACGGGTTTCAACCGCTTCCCCATCTTCCAACCCGCTGGTTTCCCCATGGTTCTCTGTCTTTACAAGAAACTCACACACACACACAAAGAACCTGTAACAAGCAAGGAAAAAACACTTATTCACGAAGTTCTCTATTGAAATATGCGTAATTTAAGGGAAAAAAACACGATTGCTTCGGATTTTTCATTGTCACTTCTCGCAGAAAAAATAAACAAAACTCAGGTCCTCCCAGTCGTTTTCAATTTGTGAGCAAGGCGGTAATGGAAGACTATTCCACAACCCAGTTACTTCTTTCCCCTTCACCCAACAGCAGGTTTTTCAATCAATGCAACGTTCTTTTTTCCAATGATCAGAAGATTTACTCGATTTTTTAAAGAAAGAAAAAACAATTTTCTTGAAGGGACAATCGAGACTTCACACAACATAAAACATTGTACACCGATTTCAACATTCGTGTTGTGAAGTCATTTAGGAGAAATCAACTCGTCGTTTTGAAACTGAAAATGGCACAAGAGTCAGCAAGTTTTGCTACAACAAAAGAAAAGTAACTTACAAAATGCCACTAGAATAAAAAAAAGCACATTCCTGCTTTTTCTACACAAGCTCGAAAAATCAAGGACATAAAAACGTTCTCAGTAGCAATTCGAACACAAGCCTTATTTCGACACATAGTTGCTCACATTTTTTTGCACAAAAAAAAAGCAAAACTTCGTCCAGTTAGCGAAACGCGGGTTAGTTTGGCACATAGACACAATACTTCAAAGCCACCGTCAATTCTCAAATTTTTCTTTCTCTCTTTCGGTGAATTAAAAAAGATGAAAGCATTTTATCCCAAGTGAAATACAGTACTCGGATATGAGCAACTGCTCTGTAAAGTGGAGTTCAGCACATAGGAAGAGACAAAAAAGAGGGAATTTTCAGCAATTACGAGAAGAAAGGCCTCCGTTTCCTTATTCCTCTGTACATCTCTCAATCCAGATTTCTTTCCTTTTTTTCTTTTCGCCTCTTATTTATACCAAACGAACCCCAGAGTCGTTGTCAATGTGTCGATGGTGGGCAGAACGAATGTTCTCCTCAGATTCACGCTGCAGCTTTTCTCGCAATCGCTTCATGTCAATGTCTTCAGCAGCCTCGTCAAATCGCGACATAGCCGGATCAACTTCCTTCAGTTTCGCCAAAGTTTTTTTTATTCTCAGCGCAGTCAGGCGGGCAAATGGGTTCTCTTTCCAGCATTCTTGCGTGATTTGCGACATCGCCATGAGCAGCTTGAAATGGAAACAATAGCGAGGAAAATGTTAAATCTCAAACATCTGAAAAAATTATTAATGTCATGAATCAATCGTCCACAAAGTTTCAATATGGTTTTAAAAAAAGGGTCACTTATCCGAATTTTTTTTCGAATCATGCAGGAAACGCAAACTCGTGACTTAACTCGCACTGAAAAAATTCTTATTCGTAGCGTAAAATTAATCACATTATCAACGAATTATCTCACAACAGATATAGATGGATTTTTTATAATTTTAATTACTAAACTCGGAAAATGAAAGTTGCGAAAAAAATCATGCAGAATTTCCAGGAAAAACTCAAGTTTCAATAAAATATATCTCAGGAAAGAGCTTGTACCTTATCGCCATTCCAGCGAGGAGAAATCGACGGGCGAATCTGCTTCACGCAAACCACATCCAACATTTCCTCAATCGAAGGATCAGATTGAGTGTATTCAAAGTACGGGGGTTGGTACTCTTCAACCTGAAAGATCAAGCAAAAAATGAAAAGCAAGAATAAAGTTGTTGATCTCGTCTCTGGACCAGTTTTTCACCTACGATTTACTCTGAACCAGTTTTTCAACATCTACTACTCGGAGAGTTCTTTCGAATACAGTTGAACCTCGATAACTCCAATACCTCCCAATGCCAATTTTTTTCAAGTCCCCGTTTGAATTCGCTTGAAAACAAACCATTAAAAGCCATCTCAACTCCAAGACTGGCCTCCTCAAACCTCCATTACTCGAATTTTCTAGAGGACCTTCCGACTATTTCTTTTCAAAACAGGAAAGAGAAAAGCAATAAAAAAAATACAATTTGCTTGGAAAGGAAGTGAAAGGCTAATTAGGGAAATTAACCCTTGCCTCCAACTTCAGCATCCTGTCAACTCACTTGAAAAGGAATTTAAGGCCCAGAGTATTACAAATCATGATTTTCCAGCATTTGTAAAGCAATGCTTCATTTTAATTTTTTTGTGGTTGAATTTACTCAGAAAATTATCAAAATTTACATCAATGTAATGCTCGTTTCCCCAACTCAAAACCTTGCAAATTTTGTTCTCCCTTGACGTATTAGAGGTTCAACCGCAAAATAAATAATAAATTAATCGGCAGAAGCCTTTCCAAAATGTACCGTACACGGAGAGAGATTTTTTACCTGAGAATCCTGACCAGTCAAGCATCGCCGACACAATTCCCACAACACGAGCCCAAGTGCATAAATGTCCGCCATGACAAACGCTGGAAACTGGTTGCTGTTCAGAGAATCTGTCAGCAATTCGGGCGCCATGTAGCGCCTCGTGCCGACTCTTGCGTTGATGGGAATGTCCACCTCGTTCTTCTCGCTGTCGTACTTCACCGCCAGACCGAAGTCCGCAATGCAACAGATCCCGTTACGTTTCACCAAGATGTTTCTCGATTTGAGGTCTCGGTGGGCTATTGCAGGCTTACTTCTAGTTCCAATGATTTCAGTGTGCAGGTGGGTCAGTCCAGCTGCGATGCTGTGGCCCATCACAACCGCCTACATGAGGAAAATAAAAATGTGTCTCGTTTAAAGTGAGTTTCAAACACCCTAAAAAGTCGTGTAACTGTATCTTGTAAACGTCTCCACAGTTCAACTTCGGTCATGAAATTACAAAATGATCGTTTGTTTTTCCTAGAAAATAAAGATCCGACTATTTCAAAAAAAAGGCAGAAGACATCAGTTCAAAGCGTTCCCAGATTCCATCATTCCTTTGCCATCACGCAGATGTCGCTAAAAGATTTAATTTTCAAATTAAAGAAATTCCCCACACAGCGAAATACCCAGACAACGAAAAATCCGCGAAACGAAAATATCTAGGACAAAGAAAGTGGTTCAAATAACGACATTGCTACCCACAAAAAGTTTTACTTTCATCAATTTTAACCCCAAACTTTGAAGTTTTTCAACAACAAAAAAGGTTCACTTTTTACATATTCTTCTTTATAATTAGGAAATTTCATATATTCAAGAGCAAGAACAGAAAACAGCTGTATGTTTTAAGGCATCTCACAATTCTGATATCTTGTATCGTCACTATTTCGAACGGAGAAGTTGAACAAAAAACGGTCCCAAAAAATGGCAAGAAAAAAAAAACCCAGTGAACTCACCTGGCGAACCGTGATTGTGTTTTCTTGCAAATAATCGTACAAAGATCCCCTCGGATGGTATTCAGTAATGAGGATCATTTGCGTCCAGGATCCGTCTCCTCTGATGTCAGACGCAATGAAACCCAGGACATTTTCGTGACGGATCAGCGGGGTTTCGTAAATTTCATTCTCTCGTCTCCAAGAAGCTTCTTCCGTCGTATTGAACATCTTCAGGGCCACTGGTTCACCTCTCCAATGTCCCAACCACACCTGAAAAAGGATAAATGCATAGGAGGTTCTTAAAAAATACAATTTCCAAATTTGAGCTATTCTTCAGAAATAAATCTTTCTTAAATCACTAAAAAGAATCCTAGATGAACAGTACCTTTCCGTAGCGACCCTGTCCGATAATTCTGTCCTTCTGAACCTGACGGGAAACAGTTTGCTGAACCAGTTTTGCCATTCCGGAACCACTTCCGGAAGTCTCGTCCACATCACTTGCAAACAGGTCGGCTTTCACGATTTTTCCGGATTGGCCTCCGATCAAAAATGGCTCATTCAACGTCCCAGGAATTCCTCTTTTCCTATTCTTCTTAGCAACCTTGGAAAATCAGTTGGCGAAATTAATGCCTTGCGAAATTCCCTCTTGAAATTTACGCGAAAGAACATACAGTACTCGGAAGATTCGTTTTCTGAACAATACACAAAAAAATTTCTACTTCTTTTTTGGCGGAAATTTCTTGTTGAAACAAACTCATGAGAACTTCACAGACAGTTTGTTATACAGTACTGATATTGGGAAGTTTGTTGTCATGAGATTGCTTCAACGTGTAATCTATAGGACTTGGGGGGGGGGGGGGGGGAAAGCTTTTCAAACTGAATAATTGGTTGTATCGTAACGGTATTTTTTGTCATGAGATTTTACTGCATTTACTGAACAGTTCGCGAACAGAAACTGATTTTGAAATTTCTCATTCGTATGCCGGTTTTTTTTTTAAATACAATTTCTGGACCGTGTTTCTACACACTGCATTGTGACACATGAAAAAAGGAAACATACAGCATTTGATGCTACATCAGGTTATCGACTAATGGCTAGAATAAATGCCACAAATCTGCGATTTTGCAATCTCGAAAGACGTTTTTTCAACGTTTTCTACCTTTGAGAAAATCAAGGCGACGACGGCAAGAACAAGGAAGGTGGTCAAGGCGAGAATGGCATAAACGACGGCTTCGTGGCCGCGGATCCACGACACCACAGGCATGTCGTCAGAGGCGTCGTAAGCAGGCGTCAGAAACTGGTTGCACATGTCGCCAGATTTGCAGCACTCGATCGACTGTGGCACCAAATGCGGCACCAAATTTCCACGACACTGTGAGAAAAACGTAAAAAAAAAGGCGATCATTATCTCATCTTCAGATTCCTTCAATCAAAAGTAGGATGCAGGCGCAATTGGACCTTGTTTACATGTCGGGACACGTTTTCCTATAGACTTGAATTGAAACAGGTTTAATTAATCCTCCTGGACAAAAATTTGGAAAAAGTACCCGAAAAATTCAATAATATTTTCCCCCAAACTTCAAGATGCAGAAAACCACACAATCTCCCATTTTAGAATGAAAAGGAGCTCAAAAAACAAAGAAAAAGCACAGGTCTCGCTATACTGGATAAATATGATGGAAACACCCTAAAAAGAGAAACAAATAACCTTTTTTTGATAATGAATCAAAATAAATTTTAAAGGATATGTATTTTAAATTACTGTATTAAGAATAGTTGAATTCGTTCCGGAGGTATACAATTTCGAAAAATAAAAATTTAAATTTTCCTTGAAATGTTGGTTGTTCAGATGTGGGGTCAGATTTTCGGAGTATTGAGTGTCTCTAAGGCGAATCGTCCTTATTTCGGGGTTTGCGTATCTCAAGTTTCCCACTGTACCAAAACAGACTTGAGAGCCGAATAATCCGGGAATAGCCACAAAAAAAACATTTTTTGGAGTCCGGGAAATTCCAATTCTTTTCAATTTTTTTTCATCTGTTTTGATTAGCGGAAAAATCATTCGATCGTCAAATTCTTGAAAGAAATTAGTCCAGGAAACAGACATTCAAATTATGAACCCCTTTTCGAATCAATGCCCTTCTCGAAAAATTGCAATTGATATGTTGGCTCCAAGACTTTGAAAGTCTCAGTCTCATTCGTACAGGTATTGAATTTTCTGACCAAATTTTTTTTTTTTTTTTTACAGAATCTCACCTGCATGAGTCCAGTTTCGTCAGGAGGAAGACATCCGTAGGAATATTCGGGTTCATAAGTGCCAGAGTCTTCGTTGTAGACTTGTTCCACTGCTGCAAAACACACGCTGTTGGGCCTTGCGCGACACGTTCCATTGAAGCTGCCATCGGGGCAATGCATGGAACAAAAACACAACAAACCCTCGCTTTCTTCCATCGTCGGGTCAAATTTCACCTCATTTGTAATCGCGATCAATTGATTCCCTGAAAAACCAAAGAATAGCAAACTCAAGATCGAGTCTGAGACGATTTGTCGAATTCCGAGGAGAGTTTGATTCGAAGAAGCCAAATCCTTTTGCGTTTTATTTTCACGTCGAACGAACACGAAACAAGAAAACAATTTTATGCCCTTCTCGAGATTCAGTTTCTTTCCCTTTTTCTTCGTAAGAAACAAAGGGTATGTTTTACGATACAAACTAGAACACGTCACTTTCCGCAACTGAATCACATAAATTCTGTTGGAGACGAAAACGGGATTTTCTACGAGGCAGACAAATGTTTACAAATTATGTAGTTGCTGAAAGCTAAAATTTGAAACGAAAGGAGTTTTCGTGCGAAGCGTAGAGACGTTTCAGATTTTTTTTTTAAATGTGAATCGAAATTTCAGTTCCAAAAAAAATAAGCCACGGAAAAAGTATTTCAAGGATCACGTTCTCAATTTTTTAATTGAAAAACAAATTTTTTTTAAATGATTCTCACGTCTGCCTCCAGAAATCCCACATCGCACAACAACGACCCACAAAAAAATTGACTAGCTCAAAGAAACAAATATACACTGATTGCACTGACCATATTGAGTACGAATTATGATAACTTTCTTTCACTCCCCTGAGCAAATACAACTCAGATCTGCCCATGCGTAAAATTTTGCTGAATACCAAAGACTAGCTGACAAGCTGCCAAAAATTTCGTTGTTGCACTCAATGAAAGAGAGCAACGGATCGGGTAAACAAAAATGCTTACACACTCTCGAGATATGTTTTTTTTCGAGTGGAACAAAATGTTTCCACCTGCTTCAAGCGACACATGCAGCAGAAGCAGTCAATAATTTTCCCTCAATCGTCATAGAATGAAATGAACACAAGGAACGTAACATCACAAAAGGTGGAAGATTCCTCTTTTGGAATCACGTTTTCCTGGATCTTGCTGTTGAATAAAATGTTCAACTATCAAGTTTTCTTTTTTTTCACAAAAAGGACCATCTACAGTAAACTGAAACTCACGAAGAAATAAATCTATTCTTCTAGAGACTGCTATCATAATTATTTCGTTCTTCATCTAATCAAAAAAGTGGTCCATCATCCAAAACCTTTGAAGTCAGCATTTTGGTTTACAATATAAACTACACTTATGAATGAAACTCTTGCAGAAGTGCATTAAACCGGTGGGTTGAAATGATCGAAAGAAGTTTATTTTTCTAAATCTGTAAGCTTCCCCTTTCGTATGACGCATTTTTGAGCGAAGAAAAAAACAACAAAATAAAATGAAGTTCACCTCAGGAGAAATTTCGAGAAAAAACCTCATCAGAGCCCAAATAAATCAGCATATTAATGTCACATTATTATTTTGTTGATTTTACGGAAAAATAATATAGTATCAATGAAAATTCATCTTTCAACTCGCAAATCTACCGATCCAGGAAAACGCAGCGCCAGCAGTTTCGAAGTATTAAAAAAACACAATTTCAGACATGCGACATAGGCGCCTGTTTCACTACGCTGGGCGCCTTGGCGACGCTTCCGCGCCCGCACAACGCCCCGTAGAACCGCCGCCAAGACGCCACCGTCTTACCCGACCAAACCCAGACTCCCGACGAGATCCCCACAGCTACAGTCATGAAATGCCGACACATGATCACGGCAAAACTTGGACCCGTACCACCACCACCGCCAGGTCCGCCACAAGAGCAGGCCTTGGCCCGCACCCACGTGTCCCAGCCGCCCAGCTCGTAGCCCCAGCAAGTCAGCATCACGGCCGCCGGAACAAAGTACAAGACGCCAAACACGCCCACCTGTTGAAAAAAAAAAAATCCGATTTGGATTGATGAACATAACAGTGAGTCCTCGCATGAAGAAACCCCACGAAAGGAAAACTCTTGAGGGGAGAAACGCGACTGGGGTACAAAGAAATTGTTTCAGTCAACATTTTGTTTAAGAAACGCTCGAATTTCGAAAAATTCAGGGCTAAAACTCTAGCAATAAATTTATAAAAGAAAAAGCAAACTTTTGCCTCTGCTCGTCTTTGAAATTAGTGAAATTCAGAAAGTTGAGAGCATAAACTGGCCAGGATTACTTGAATTTAACAATAATGTACTAATAAATTCTCAAATTGATGCTGAAAACTAGGAAAAAAGAAGAGTTTTCAAGAGTTACAGTATTGTAGTCTTTTGGTGAGTGTCTGGAACGAATTAAATAACTCGTCATAAATCTTCAAGATAAATCGCGGTTCGCATCACGAAAATTCCACATAACGCATTATGATGTGTTTGAAATACAGACAATTTCTTCAACAAGTATTTTGCAAACTTCAGCAAAAGCGATCTTTTTTCAAGCTAAGAAAATTTTCGAAAATTAAGAATAACTCGTTACAAATTACGAAAATGCAACATACAGCACTGTAACGTATTTTAAATACAGACAATTTTTCTATTAATTGTTCAAACAAAGTATTCCGCAAACTTCAGCAAGCTACGAAAAAGCAGCGTGTTTCCAAGCTCGGTACATTTTAATAACTTTTTTTTTTAAATAAACTCGTCACTCACCCGAACCATCAGCGTCTCCAACTTGCACGCCTTCACGGCCGCGTCACCCGAGCGAAGAATCACCCTCCGGATCCGCCACAGCGCCACACTGCCAGCCAACAAAAACGCCATGCCGAGCGATAAATACACCGCCAGAGGCACCACGACCAGATACCGGACCCAGGCTGCACTCACGACGCACAGCCCGGAAACGCCGTCTCCTTCAACAGCGTCCACAAACAGGGCCACGACGGTTTGGCAACCCGGCACGAGCCAGGCACACACGTGGAAATACGCAGAGCAGGCCGAGATGGCCTCCGTGCCCCACTTGAGGCCAGCAGCGAGGAACCAGGTGACGGACAACACGACCCACCAGACGGCTGCAGCCATGGTGAAAAAGTAGACGAGGACGAAGACGACGGCGCAGTGAGCGTGGCCCGATGCAGATGCACCGCCACGAACTGCCCCGCCTACACAGGCCACCTCTTCCTTGCCCAGGGCCAGTCGCAACACGTAGCCCGCGCTCACCTGCAAATTACACATACAAAATAGGATAACTCGAACGTTTCCATGTCGAGCTTTCTTCAAGTCCCTGTCGGAATTCCCCTAGAAATAATGCATTTGAAAGCTACCCAGGCCCTTGAAAGTTGAAACTCCACAACTCGAATAGTCTGGAGGCCTTTTTGGCTGTTATTTTATTGACGCAGGAGAAAGGCAATACAAATGCTCCTTGATGTGTTTTGAAGGGAAGTGAATGACTTATTGTGCGTATGAACCCTTCACACCAAGTAAGCAGTTCAAGAAGCAATGTACGGCGCAAAATATTCCCAACAATTTTCTGTCATTCTTCTTTCTTTCCCGCAACAAAAACTCTCCTTTCCTTAATTCGAAACCTACCCAAGTCAAATTATTTTGATGGTCACTTGAGGTTTGGCTGCACATCGAAAATTGGCAATTTATTCAAATGACCGTCATTGCCACAATTGAGGACTTCTGTTGAGAATATACAGTACCATCAACCTTATTTCCAAATTGGATAAATACTTTTTGATATTCTTGATTACGTTGATGAATCTCTGCATGTTTTTCTTTTTTTTTACATTCAAGTTTGAACACCAAATCGTTCAGTTATTTCTCAAATTCATGATCATTTCCCAGGATAAAGATCTCTCAAGTATCAGCTTATTCCATGTAGGACATCATTATCCAGTCGACGGACTTTTGGTGCGCCTGGGATTGAGAAAATATGTGTGGCATCGTATTATTACACTAGCTTATGTGGAGTTTCGGGAGAACGGACTTCCCACCAGAACGAATCAGATCCATCAACAATTTTTCGACTTAAAATAAGATCACAATTTTCTATCCTCTCTCTCTCTCGTTTTGGGCCAGGTAGTGGCAACAACAACGTACCATCAAATAGCAGCCGCTAAGCACGATCGTCGCGCGTTCCGGATACCGGAACCGGTCCGGGTCAATGGCAAAAGTCGTCACCGTCACCAGACACGACACGCCGCACAGCAACGCCCAAAACGGGATCCAGGCATCGGCAAAGGCCAGCTCGTCTCTGGTAAACAACGCAGAGCCATTGCACGGGAGTCCACAGTCCACGACGCCAGCCACAACCGCCACTCCCGAGTTCCGTCGCAGTTTCACAAACGGCGGTCGACACTGACAACTGCTACATTCCTCCTCGTTTCCTCCTCCTCCTCCCGTTGACGACGGCGGCAGCGGCTGTGGTGGCGGCAACGGCATCACCACTCCTGTTCCGGCGGCGTCCTTGACAGACGGCACGAGAGTGGGCACAGCGGCGCCGGCGGCGGCAACGACATTATTCGACGACGCGGATGACGACGAAGACACCGGCAAAGTTCCATTTTCATAGTCCATGCAAAGGTTCTTGGGGTCGCCGAAATTCGGCAGAGAGTCGCAGTTCATTCGTTCGGGCCAAACAAACCCGTATTTCTTCATCAACGGAGCGCAGCCAGCTTTTGCGCGCAGACACACTGACCTGCACGCAGGCAGACTGTGGTCATAGTCTTCCATGCAGATCGGAGTGTAAATGGAGCAGAGAAAGAATTGCAGGTCGCTGGAACACTTGACCAGGGAGACCAGGGGCCAAAACTGCTGCACTTCCATGGCGGCCTCGTTTTGGGTTTCGTGGTTGAAAGCGTTGGGCATTCGAGTCAGGTTGTACTTGATTCCGCGGCACATGGGGATCGTGATCTCCTCGCATTTTCCCGGGTTCAGACCCAAGATGTCCTTGGAAAACTCGGCGTCGGTGGAATCCACGGCGAACGACAGCGAGGCCAAGACTGTCACGCTCAACTTGAGCCCCATGTTTACCTGCACATAAAATTTGCAGCGATGCACACGAGAATAAAAACTCTCAAAAGAGCCAGTGAACAAAAGAACATGCATGTAGGACAGAAATAGAAGGTAAATGTGAGCTAGTGCTAGAATATTGTGTGTCATTTTAATACTAGCCGACTCCTACAATAACTATTTTGCGATGTTCGATTGATTTTTCGGTAATCGCTTTTTAAACATAAAAATTTAGAGGAAAGCGAGGAGTAAAAAAAATAGACATAAATGAAACGATCAAAAGATTTACATCAAATAATCAATATGCAGAACATGGTTTCTAAACTTCGTAAATAAAAGATTTAATGTACAGTATATGCAAAAAATAACCCCGTGCAAAGTAAAGCCTATGCTTCTACACACGAAACATTTTCCATCATACAGTATTTCGAAATTACAGTATATCCAATTCTTCGAGGATTCAAAATCATGAAACGAAAGGTTTAAAACATTTCGGAACGAGCCATAGGTACTCACCATCACCAGAACGGCTGGAAATTTGCACACGCCATCGCAGAAACGTCACATTTACAAATAAATATTCACAGATAACCTGAAATCAGTTTGTTGATCGATGAAAGCGTGAAAAGAAATGAACGAAAGTAATACAATTTTTTCCGCGGAATGAAAGAAGCGAACAGTAATAAAAACATTAATCACACGTGACGCTCGTCACGAATTTGCCAGGTCATCGGCGGTCATCACGCTGTGGAAGAATAAAATCAACAATCATCAGTGGATCGTTAAACAAAGTGAATTGTCAAATTCGAAGCTCACCTGAATGGAGACAGATTCAGATTGTACTTTAACCTCCCGCACATTTTCACTCCGTGATCACGTTCTTCGTGCTCCCTCAGGTCTCTCAAAGCAGGGAATCGTCTGTCACAAATGTCGCACAAAGTACCAGGCAATCCCCGCATACACTGCCATTTCAAAAGTTTCTTTCAAACTCATCTCGAACAATTCATTTCCATCAACAACAAAAAACACTCACCAAAAACTCGTGATTGTACTTGTCAATCCGTTTTACAAATTCTCTGTTGCATATGATGCAGAAGAACAGCGGCTCTTTAGGTTCTTTGTGCGCTTTCAAGTGCGCCACGAGTTCGTCTGAAATATAGTAAGGACTTCGTCTACAACTTTCACTAGATACAGTTTTATTCAAAATTAACGTGTGTGAATTCCTGATTCACTGCAGTTCTCACATAGATGTCCCCTCCATTTTAGTCAGTATGAGTTTAGTTATTCGTACGACACCTATCAGACATTTAAAATGACAACGAGGCCCGTTTTTGGAAACTGAAATCTTTCGAGTAGTGGCTTGCAAGGTTATTCTTGAATTTTCTAGTGATAGCATTAATCGAAAAATTAATGCATTACACGTCAAAAACGTCTTGAGAGAAATAATTTTTCTAAATGTGCCCCAAAAGAGAAGAACAAAGCGGAAACCCTCACCGCGATTAGGAAATGGTCTGTCGCACCACCGACAAGCAGGAAGCTTCGAGTCTTTCTGATGAGTGACTTCCTTGTGCGCAAAAAGGCCGGTTGTCTTGAGGAACTTTCTGGGACACTTGTCACACAAGAAGTAAACTTCATCCCTGGGCTTCTCGGCTCTCAACTCGTGTCTCTTGAGGTGATTCATCAATGAAGTCATCTTTCCACCATAACAAATCGACAAAAGACACGTAAATAGCCATTCATACACATATGATATGAAACCGCATTCCAACGCCACTCACATCCGCAAAATCCTCGTCGCAAATGTCGCACGACAAAACGAAACTGCGTGTGTGCAGCAGCAGGTGTTTACAAATCTTGTGCCTCGCTTGAAACGTTCGTTTGCCTGCGCAACACAATCAATCTATCAAATAAACACACACACGATCGAAACACGGCTGTCCAAAAAGTTGACCAGAATAAAAAAAAAGTGTCTAGTTCATCCAAATATTTAAAAATATTTCGTAGATAAGTGTCACAGGCAGTCCATATTGCACTTCATTTATGTCACATAACAATGCCATTCCTCACAGAACATTGCATCATTAGTTTTACAAGAAATCTACCATGTCCACACAAATTTAAATACTGTACTTTTTTGTGTACACCGTATTTATTCAAGTATCCGAATCACTTTTTTCCTAAAATCGAGACTGAAAAGCGCGAATTTTCTAAAAATAATTATGCGAGCATCATTTTCGGATCACATAACAGATAAATATTAACAAGCAAATTAATGCAATTCAAATCGTCTTTCATTTATTTATCAATTCAAAATTTTAGCTACTGTTAATCCTCAACTGTAACATTTTTCGCTGAGAGCTGAGATGTGCATCTTATGCGGGGATGCTTTCTTAATTAATTTGCTCATATATTAAGGGGCTCTACAATTATCGCGAGGAATCCGATGTTACGCATAATTTCAACGTCCATTGATTTGACGTAATTGAAACTAATTTTTCAACGCGAGAACTTACTGCAGAATCCCTAAGTAAATTCAACAATTAAAATACATCACAGATTTGCATGTGAAGTTCCTTCAAAAATTATAAAGACAAATGGATTTTCAGCAAGGTGAAGAGCGAAAAAATGGTGAAATGCAACATTATTTCAAAAATTCCGCCACGAAAATGAATCCGGAAGCCATTCGTGAATAAAATACGGAAACCTAAATTATAATCCGCAGCAGAAAACTCTGCAAATCTAAACCATTCAAATCGCTTTCTTATTTTCAATGCCAAAAAAAAAACTGCGAGACTTCCGTCAGCATCATGATTGAAACTCGACAAGGACTCACATATGGAGCACATGTAAAGGACTTCAGTCATTCTTTCCACTCGTCCAACAATCACTGGCCGTTTAAAGCAGTAATGAGTGAGTTGAAACGGATTTTCAACCCACTCAATCTCCGTCACCGAATGCTTTTCCTCTTGTTCCAAAATCCACGATTTTTCTTTCTGAGAAAATTAATTACCATGTTTCGGTAAAAATTTACAAATCTGGAAGTTGTTCCCACTTACTTCTTCGTAACGGACATTGGGAAGAAATCGGTTCACAAAATCCATGAGTTTCATGTGATGAGGAGCATTTCCTGGCTGAGGAATTGAGGAAGTGGTGGAGATAATTTTTTAGGATAAGCCAGGAGTAGACAATGGAAAGAGAAGATGAAACGGTTTACTAATCGCCAACAAGATAACCATCGAAATTCAAAAAAGGTGTTTCTTTGCAGGGTCATCTTTCACTCTTTACTGGCTTCATGGAATAAAAACAGTTTTGAATGAATTTTGAAAAATGATTGACACACAAAAACGTCAAGTGCAAAATAAATCAAGGGCTATTAGATGCGAAATAACGCAACTATTTCGGGGAGTTCTGGACATAGAATTTGAAAATGTCCTTTAAAAGGAGTGTAAGACTATTGAAAAAAATTAAATGGAAATATCATGAAAGGGTTCAACGTTTGGATATGTCAAGAACTAATATATCACATTTCCGATGCAATCATGGCCTTCTTTCACATTTTCGGCGGCTTTTTCCTTTTAGACGCATTTTACAATTATACGGTATCGATACACTGAAATAAAAAATCTTCACGTTTTAAAAATAAGAATTCAGATGACTTACATATCTTGAAGGAATATCCTGAACTCTGAGATCCTGAACCTGCAAAAGGACGTCGAAAGCTCGTCCTTTCGCCCCATTTACGTCAATTTCTGTCCCCGATTTCAACCGAGTTGACAAGGGCTGATTTTCTTCCAGAGGTTCTTCCACAACAGGTTTCTCGTCCTCAAGTTCCGGCAGAATTTCGCTCCCTTCCGACTTTTCGGCTTGTTTAACCTGTAGATGGTTGTGGTTTGCAGATTCTTCTTCTTTCGTGAGGAGATTGGAAATTGGCGAACATTCCATGAGGCTCGCTAAAATATTTGCAGCATCGGAGAGATTAAAGTGACCTGCATCTGGATTCTGCTGCTCTTCCAAATGCTTCGTTTCCGGATCAATTTGCGGAATTTTATTGGCCGGTTCTTGAAAATCTGAACTGGAATCCGCCTCCATTTTTCACCCTCGAAGCACCTCTTTTTGCAGAGCCTCGAACAAAAAATTCCACGAAAATTAATAAGGCGGGCTCATAGAAATGCTTCACCGTTTCCTGCAAAGATAAAAACAGCACGTGAAAAATCGCTAAAATCCCGTCAAAATTTCTAGAAAAAAAAAATATGCAAGAATAAAACTTTATAATCCCATTCTTGGATATCCAATCGTGCAAAAAACACCGTTCAACGTCAGACATAACGTGCAATGAACATTATGAAAGCAAATATTCCTTCTTCAATCCGTAACCACAGACTTCGAGACTTGAATTGTGATTCAAAGCATGTGCTTTGTATAATGACCGGAAAATCTCCGAATTCCAGTCAAAAATTCAGGTTATAGCAAATGAACAAATTTAAACTACCATTGAAAACTTGGGTCCGCAGAAACTTGAACATGTTTTTATCAAGTACATCTTTTCAACTGTTCAATAATTTTCCGATTTGAATGTTAACAGCGGTTCTGGATATTCGAACCCAATTCTTCCCTCTCTGATTTTTTCATGCAAGAAAGATTACGGAGTGTCACCTGTTTATTGATGCTGGACCTAATTTTTGAAAATAAATAGAGCTCTAGACTAATTCGAATTATTTAAAATAAGATGACGCAAATTACTGATGAAGTACTTCAGATTTTTTTCTTTAGACAGGTGAGTGCAATACCTGGTGATTAATTCCAATGAAAATGTCGGGCTTTGCAGCGAGAACCATTTTTTTCATCTCACTTTCGTTTGAGAATATTAGTTATGGTTCATTTAAAGGAAAACGCATGAAAAAGGCATAATTTCTTCAGAAAAAAAGTTTACAAGTTAACATACGTAAATTTTCAAGAACGGATTGTTTACGAACGGCCAAAATACGAAGCACTCGCTGAAAATCGCTGCCATGACCCCACCAAAAAAAAAAAAGAAAAAAAAAAGGACAAGGACGCCAGAATCACGCGGTGCTGGCCCAGGCCCGGGCCATGAGTAGGTACAGCACGAAAAGGAAGCCCAGGACAAACAGGACGACGTAGCACGTAAATCTCCGGTTTTGCCGCCCATTCCGAACCATGTAGTTGACCCGATTCATGGTACCGTCCAGGAAACCCCGGACTCCGTCCATGTCATTGCCCACATCGTCCAGAAGTCCCTGGGCCTGTGCTTTTGACTCGTCTTCAATGTCCAAAGCGAGGGACTTGAGACGGTTCACTTTGGATGAGAGCCATTCTGTTCGTTGCTGGTTCTGTCGGTCGACCATCGATGCTTCGCGGTCCATTATTATTACGTCTCTTGCACTACACTCTCTTTGAACAAACAATACACAGTTTCAACAACGACATCCCTGCGAAAATACGGGAGAACATCATCAAGAGCAGCGCCTCTTCAAACGAAGAGAACATCACGCGCGAATAAAACGGCATCTCCAAAAACGGTCATAGGAATTACGGGTATCCTAAATGTTACAGAGTAGAGGTCCTCAACCATCTTGAAAGCCAAACTTCTTCAGCCGATTATATTAGGTCTTCATCTCAAGTTGAAAGCTGAAGCAGCATCAGACAATTTTTTTTCAGCTTATTACACGTACAAACGCTCTTTCTCATGCCTTCAATTAAAGTTTTCGTATGTTTTTCTTTAAGCATTTCAGAATACCTCGAAAGCCTCTGCTTAAAAACATCCCATACAGTAGAGGTCAGCCCAGAGTTTTCATGAAACAAATTTCGAAGTCCCGTGAATATTCATCACCCGAAAAGCGAGGGATAGAAAAGGACTAAATTGACGAAATCCTCACAGGACTTCTGAGAAACCCTTTTTACAATATCGCAATTCCTTCAAGAAAACGCAAAATATTTTCTTCAACAAAACCTTTGGACACTCATGTACGATATTTTATGCTGGGCATTATGGTCATAACAAATTTCCACGGCAAAGTAACTTTAAATTCATTACATTCACAACAGCTGGGAACTGAATTTGAAGATTTTGAAATATCAATTTCAAGTTGTTTTCTTTTTTTAATTGAAACTGTTGACAGCACAGCGATCGAGTCATCGCAGGAACTGTGAAACCGTTCGCTGGAACATTTTTCAGCAGAGAATTTCTCCATGCAAAACAAATCGCGTAACTTATTTCACAGCAAAAATAAAAGCCACATACGGGTTTAGTTCCAAAGAAACGAATCAATAGACTCAAATCCTGTAGCCAAAATTTTTTCAAATAAAAAGCAATCACAATTATTTTGTAGGATTCGCAGTCAGCTGGTGCAAAATCACGTCAGCATCCTTCGCACCGGCTTCGGCGACACATAGACCAATACTTCGTCGCTAATGTCGACAATCTGCGCTTCCCTTCGTCGAAGCAATTCTCGCTGCAACGCGGCCTGCAACGGGGACATGTGCTCCGACTTGCCAGTCAACACGGGCTTGGACATTTCCAGAGACTTGGACACGTCCAAACAAATGCTGAGCTTCACGTGACAAGCTTCTGTCCACGCAGTGTGGGATATCGGAACCGTGGTCAGGATCCTGTGAACTCTGGTTTCGGACGAAGAGGCCAAAGATGAGGTTGAGCTGGATGACGAGGAAGTTGACGAACTTCCGATTGAAGACACGTCTGCTCGAACGTCGGATTTTCGCGGAGCGATCAGGTGGAAAGTTTGGTCCGGATACTTGACCTAATCAGGGAAGATGCAAAACCGGAAACGAATGTCACAGAAAATTAAAATTCAGCTAAGAAAAGTTTTCTCACGGCACACAAAGCGACAATGAGAATGCGAATAAAATACAGGTGGACTCTCTACAACGATTTTCCCTGTATAATGAATTTGATCGGGTCCCATAGGGTTCTCTCCACATGTTAAAGTATAGGGGTTCTCTACAACAAAATTCTCTCCACAACGAAATTTTTTTTCTGATCCCTTGAATTTCGTCGTGGAGAGAGTTCACCCGTAATTCATTTTTGAATGCATTCTCAAAATAAATCATAAGAATGATTGAAGGTATTTTTTCTTGAAGGAAAATATGTCATTCTACTTCGACGTCAAATGGTCCCATTTCTACCTTGATCTTTCAAATGTGACGCCTAAATTTTGATACTTTTTTTCTACTGGAGTTCGATATTCACAAATATTCATCATGAATTAATTCAAGGTACAATTCAAAAAAGGGAATGAAAGAGATTCTAACAAAAAAAATTAAGTTCGGATGGATTGTTTCTACAAAGATTCACGATTCAAGCGACACTTGTCCAACACTTCATAAAGCAAGGCCAAGCAAAAATAAATAAAAGATATGTATTGAAACCATTCAGTAATAATACAGTAAATAAAACCATTCAGACGAAGGATACAAACCTTGATTCTGACGCAGTTCAAATCCACAACGTCGTTCATTTCGCAGTCCAAATGAACCCCCAAAATCAGTGTGGCAGTGAATCTCATGGGTTTATCCGATTCGGCGCCACCAGACGGTTCGTAAATCGTGGCCCTGGCCATTCTTACATTCGTGTCAGCCGACACGTCCAGGGTGGGCTTCACGTGACGTGGCAAAATACCTGCGAAAGCTTTCGCCACGTCATCAGCCCTGTGCTGGTCCACCAAGGCCAGCTTCTGCTTGAGTTCCGCGCGGAAATCATCGGGTGGTTTATCATTCGTGCTGCAGTACCTAAAGAAAATTATCAATGGAAAAATGATAAGATACTTTTTTCCCTGAGGCATTAAGAAAAAAAATCGCTAATATTTAATGAAGTACTACAGTATTATAATCTCACGCAATTCAATTTGATGGTAAATTTGCGCGTGATTTCTCACTATATTTGTTTTTTTAATGTCCAACCTTTGTCATGAAATAAGAGAACTCACGTGCGAAAGAAAAGGACTTTCGAATCAAGAACTCTTTTTTTTTTTAATAGCTAGAAGATGATTAAAAATGACATGTTCCAAACATATTGGAAAAATTAGGTCAGATTGTTAGCTTTCTCGCCTGATATCGAATGCTATCATCAAGAGATATTTTTTTAGAAATCGCAAAGCTTTTCTTCCTCACGTTTCCAGTTGCTTCAGACAAGCCAAGAACTCGGCATGAACCAGGGCCAAAAGGGCGTCTTGCAGCCCGCGGTCAGCACTGTCCACCCCTGATGCAACCTTCCAGGCAGCCACCAGCTGCAGCCCGACCGCCTGCAGTCGAACTCGTCGCACAGCAACGCCGCCTTCCACACCGAAACCCGAAAATGCCGCCGCGAGTGTCCTCGACAACTTGACCGCCGCCTCAGCCTGACTCGTAAGCAATCGGGAGTCGCAAAATCGTGACCCGTTGCCAGACAAGGCCAGGCAGGCATTGGACAAGTTTCGACAACATTCCACGTAGGTGGCCGAGAAGGCGGCTAATGGACGCGCTGGCCCAGAGTCCATTTCCTCCACCTGTCCAAATCAAGGAAATTCGAAATTTTTCATATCAGTTCCAGAGTTTTCAATTAAAAATGAAAACTGCCGGAAATCGTTTACACCAGAAATGTTTGGCCATTAAAACAAAAAACGAACCGATGCTTATCCCGCGGCTTTTTCTCGAACATTTAATCCCATCTCATCAAATAAGTCGAATGTAAATGCAATTTTTATACTGAGGGTCAATATCGACATCATTTTTGAAACTAATACGTACATTGTTAAATCAAGTTTGATTCGCATTACGAAGAGCGACACATATTTTGATGCAATTTTAAATTGTAGTGAGGTCATATTAAAATTACAGTATTCGTTTGCTACTCGAATCGTTCGTGTTGAGTTGGATTTATTTTCAAGCACATCACTTCACTCATGTTCAGATGACTGAACTTCAAGTTCTTCTGCAAATTCGCAGGATTTCACGAGCATTGATCAAATAAATGTTGGACAATTTCACCTTGCGCAAGTCTCGAACAGCCGTTTCCAGTCGCTTCGGGTCTCCGGCGCAACGTTCCAGCATTCCACCAGGAGAAACAACTTGGATGATAAATGCCACAGACGCAGCAGTGGCATCAGCCCTGGACCTCGACGATAAGCACGACCTCGACGGCAGCATCTTCAAACTCGCTTCCAACTCCAACTACAATCAAAAATAATGTACAGTATATGAATTTTATGCACCAAAATAATTATACATTACAGTACGATAGTTATCAAGATAATGAGCCGATCAATTTTGGTTTCAGATAGTAGCCTCCATAACGAAAGATCACTTTGACAAAACAAAAAATCCGCTGTTTCAGTAAATTCGGCTGTCAGCATAATTTTTCAAACAGAGAAAAGCTTTTTCTTCGACTCTCAATTTAATAGAAAATTGTTTTTGTCAAGTTGTTTCAAGTTCAGCATCCAACCATTTCTCAAATTATTTAACCATTACGTATTTTACGAGGCTTTTCGGGAGTCGGAGCAGAGTTCTTTAGAAATTGTCCTACTTCCTGAATTCTTGCATAAAGTAATTTTGTCTGCCAATAACACAGGAAATGGAAGTAAAAACTAGTATTTCCTCCCGTTATTCCTGCAGAAAATTACATGGTAATGATACTACAGTACTTGATATTTCTCAGCATAAAATCTCGAGTTGACCAATGAACCTCACTGAAGCGTCAATCCTTCAAAAATAGATCAAGGCCAAAGATTTTAGCTCAGGCAAAAAATTACTGAACAACTGAACTAATCGCAATTACGAGAAATCCTCCGTCAATTAAACGCCAAACATTCTAGGAATGCTGCGGTAGCTTTCATCAAGGATAGATTACCTGAACTTCAGGGATCAAATGCGGCAGCGAACCCCTGAGAAACCGGTAGTGGTTGATCACATTGTTCTCCAACATGGAGAAAATCATCGGACATTCGGCAGCAGCGTTGAAAATCATGATCAGCACACAAACGTCTGCAAAACACACACACACACACACACACAATAAGCAACGACAAGAACAGAAAAAATAAACTTAAGTCACTCTTCAGACTCACAATTATTGTCGTTCAAACTGCTTTCCGGTGTGTCCAAGAATGGATGCATTTGCAACAGCTCATAAAGATACAGGTTGACGAGATTCGCGTGATTGGCTCCCAGATTTTTGAAACACCGACGCAACGACCTCCGGTCCTGTAACAGTAACCCATCGCGTTAAGATCATCAAAACACAGTTAAAAATCTCATTCTCACTCCACAGATGATCTACTCAACCGAAATAAAAAGTGGACATACCTGTGGGTATCTCACGAGATTATCAAGCAAAGCTTCCACACACATCTTCAAACAAGTTTTGGATGATAGTCGACACTGAGAAAGCATCTCGTGCAGGGCTTCACGAATATCCAGCGAGAAATCCTGTGAAAATCATTACTTCTTTTTTCAATCATTGCTTTCTTTCAAAAAATTCCAATAATGACCTCAAGAGCGCTGAGAATCGTATCCAATTGGTCTTCACGAATGACTACCAAATTTCCAATCCGCGTGATGCTGTGCACGGCCTTCAGTCTCACATCTTCGATTTCATCGTTGAACATGTCAACGAGAAAATCTATCGCTGCTCTAGCAAACGAGGCGCAACTTCGAGTTGCCAGCGAAGCTATGGAAAATATATTAACATAAATTATAAAAAAAAATTATATTTCGCAATAAGCATCAATACAGATCGAATCGCTTGAGGCTTACTACTAAAATATATATATATATATATATATACACACAGGTGGACTCTCTAAAACGACATTGAGAGGACCAGAATAAAACCTTTGGGACCGAAATAAAATTTGTAAGAACAGGGAAAATGGTTGTAGACAAGATTGTTCTCGAGGGGGTCTACCAGCATATTTTAAGTACATTTATATCCACCGTTATTGTGCGAACAGACTCACAAAGATAAACAGTGAGAACAACGTTCAAGGAAGTCGCGAAAAGTTCCCTTCAACTCACCGATAGACTCAATGCTGTTGGCACGAACAGCCATGCACTGGTCCTCCAAACCGTGCACAAAGGCGCCACAGGCACCAAGGTCCACCAATCGCACAGCTTGTCCATCTACAAACTCTCTCGGGGTGTCTTCGGCACCCCAGTGGCGTCCACTCGGACGCCCACCACCAGCTACGTATTCCCTGTTTCTTTCGTGAGCAGACCGCTTCTTCTATACTCAGGAAAACAGAAAAAAAATTATTTGATGAATTTTTTTATGAAAAGCGTAAGAAAATGGTGATGCAATCGTACCCGCATATTTGACATCAAGTTCTTGTCCAGAGTTTGATCCACGAACACTTGGGAAACTTTGTCGATCGTGCCCAACAAACCCGCCGAAAGTGTTCTGACCTTCAGACTTAAATCAGACATCGCAGAGCAAACCTGGCCAAAAACTTCGTCCGACAATCGGTTTGTTTCAGAATTTGAATTCTGAAGAAGTACCGGACTGAAAAGTATGAAAAAAAACGATATTACAATACTCTGGACAGGTTTCTACGATTTATCTTTCATTCTGTACGTAATTTTGAGTTGCTGCTGGTTAACGCTTATTTATAGATCCTAGGAAACATTTTCTTGGTGGATATTTCCTTGATCTTAAAATTTATCAATGAGAATAATCAAAAATCTCACTGTGGGAAACACACAAAAAAGCTTCACTGTTCGATAGAAAGTTCACACAAGATTTTTTTTTTCGTGAAATCTTTCAGTTTTTGTCGACTACACATGCTCAACATTTCGGATTCGAGTTCACTCAGTTCACGTAGCTTATGTAAAGAAATCAAAAGGCAAAAGTGAAGACTGACCATAAGTTTTAATTTAAAATAAAAGGAAAAAACCGGAAACTCACAAATCCGGAAAATCGCGACCAAGAGCAACGACAGCTTGCAACGCCATCTCTCGGACGCCCTCATAGTTGTCAGTCAACCCCGTTTTCAGAACATCATACATCGTAGGATGCAACACAGCTTTTCGATCACGAAGCTTCAACTACAATAACCAAAAGTCACGTCAATCACATCAAAAACCGGTTTCAAACCGCAAGAAACTCACGAAGGCTTTATAAGCAGCAATCCGGACCCTGGGATCTTGATCCATAATGTGGTCCAAGGCAATCTTCAGAGAACCTCGTTCTCCGTCTTCAACAGAGAGAATAGACAGCAGCTCCAAACACTCGCATTTCACCAAGTGTTTTCCTCGTGATGCAATCTGAAAATCGCCAAAATATAACATACTGAATACGCGACATAAAAAGTATGAAAAGTGAAATCATCAACAACTGAACCCGCACAAACCTAAATTAGTGTAAATTGAACACAATTTTAAAACATCAGGAGCGACATCTATGCGAAAGGGAGTAAACGCGCGGGCTCAGGAAAAAATAAGTACTGTAATGTGGAAAACAAAGCAATCCAAAACATGAAATACCTCTTTCGCTAAACTGAAAAAGCTTCGCCTCGCTGTTCTGGCCAATGATGAACGTGGATCTTCGCAAATCAATCGTAAATTCAACAGCGCCCTCGCCTGAATCTTTTCCGACGAATTGGACTTTAAAACTTCTACTATCTTCTCGCAGACAATCTACAAGGGACAAAGACGCCCATTTATAAAAGAAAATCGAAACGCGTTAAGCAGGCATGATCTCACAGGAGCAAATCCGGCACATCTGTCAGACAAACACAGCCTCGGCAGCAACGCGAAAATTGCCACCTTCACGAGAGAATCCGACTGGGCTTCGATCGCTACCATCAGCATATCCAGCAATCCGGGAGCTTCAGCAGGCTAGAACCACATACAAAAATTAAAATACGGAATAATTATTACTGAACAATCAAATAGAAGTCCAGGAAAAATGACCTACATTTTCAAGAAATAAATCTTCCGGAGGTAATCTTTTTTCCGACATAAAAGATATGGGGATCTGTAAATTTTTTTGACCGAAGAGAAACTACGAAAAAAAAAATCCAATTTTGCACTAAATTAAATGTCAATTCTATTCCTTTCGGGTAGAGCTCCTTTGACATCACTATCTTTCAAATTATAATTTGAAAAATCATTATAAATCAATTGTCTGAGTATGGAGAAAAGGGATTTGAAACTGACGTGCCAAAAATACCTGAATGATCTACCTCCGGATTCAAACTTTTAAAAAGAGTTCAACTTCACATTATTTCAAATTCGTCATTTTTCGTAATAATGATTTTGAAGTGGCGACAAAATTGAGGAATGCAGTGTTTCGATGTGAGATAAATTAAAAAAACAACTCTAAAAAAATAAGACACGGAATAGGATTCCACGGATCAATGCCAAGATTTATTTTATTAAAAATTACTAATTTAAAAATGAAATTTAAAAGTGATGCACCATAAAAAAAATTCTGCGATTCATTTAAATTATTGTTACAGCCATAATTCGACCGACGAAAGTATGAAACACATACAATTCAGGAATTGATTTTCCAAGTTCCAATCGAATTCGGGGTTACAGCAGTAAATCTCTTTTCCTTCAAGCATATTTTAATAAAAACAGTATTTAATCTCCCAAGCTTCCTCACAATTATCCCCAACTTTCCATCAAACAATCAAAACTTTAAATAAAAGAGAGAGAATAAAACTCCCTATCACCTGCACGCTTTCCAGTTCTTCCTCGACGACGATCATGGCCCGAACCACGTCCCCGCTGCTGGCCTTTGTCCCGCAACTCCGTAGCAATTCCGCAGGCTTACGCACTCCGATGGCCAGCTTTGTGCTCAAAGAAAGTCTGTCTTGCGCAGTGACGGCCACCGACGACAGGAACCGTTTTGTGGTCATTTTCAGGGCCTTCGGGCCAGGTGGTGGCCCAACGTCCGTCGTCGACGAACCCGCGGTTTCCTGGCGCTGGAACTCCGCCAGCGCCCTTTTCTTCAACACCGCCGCCATTTTCACGGCGAAACAAAAAAATTATCTAACTAACGCACAATATTTTTTCACTTGCTTTCTGAGAAACACAACCACAATGATCTGCAATCGAAATAAAAACAAATTACCGGGAAATTTTTCTTTAAACCTTGAACACTCTCAAGGACGGAAACGTGAAGAAAAGCAATGTAATCTATTTAATCACACTTCAAATCCCTTCGCTAATCTCGTTCAAAGCCAAAGGATTATATGCAGAAACAAAGGCTAATTCTTTGCGTCCAATCGGCGTTTTCGCCGCGGGTTTCACGAGCCACTTTTTGTTTATGTAAAAATCCATACAGCTTTCAAACTCCTGCTCCGAGTAATTGTCAACCCGCACAGGGAGAAAAGGATCCAATTTCTCGAACCCGTCTCTCCCGAGGAGATAACGCGGATAATGGCTTTCTCGGTGGTTCAGAGAATTTGAAGAAACACACAGTGAACTGACGATTGCTCCACCATTCTGGGAGAAGAGAAAAAAAAAGATCAGAAATAAATGAATAACTCATTCATTTCTAATTGAATGTGATGACCACTGCAAACTCACCCAATCGCTCTGGACCATTGAAAACAGAGACCTGGCAAGCGAGAAATCCCACACATCGTACAAAGAACGATCCGGCTTTCTGTGATTAGTTCCTTGAAAAAAGAAGTTGACGCCGCCGATGAGGACCATAACTTTGCACTCGCCCTTCGTTGCCAGCGTTTTTAACTCGCCCAACAGGGTATTCACGACGACATTCGAGTGCTTCACTCTTTGTATTCCGAGATCAACTAGTTCCATCAGCGGGGCACCTTCGGGAATAACTTGCCGTTTCGTGATTTCGTGCGGCTTCGTGGTTCGGAGAGTTGAAAAATGCGAAAGGTTCTGGGATTTGAAGTGGGCCAGGAGTTTGGCGCCAATGAAAGGTATGTCGAGCAGGGTTTCGTCCGACGCCGACGGGTTGAATTCCATCCGGTACTTGAACCAATGACGAGCTGCTCAAGTAAGAAAACCATGCAGTGCATTATTGCTACAACAAAATCAAGTACTACTTGGTATATTGTACTTCTTTCCACTTTACACGTTGGGCGAAAATATTCTGAACCAGTTTTCAACAATAACACTCCAAATCTTCGAACAAAATTATTACACTCAAATCAATTGCTCTGTTTTCACATTTTACGCACCGTAACATTGAAGGGAAAAAATGGGGAGAAAAAAGGTATTCCAAATTGATGCTAAATTAAGTTCAAAATAAATGTAAACTTTTGGGGATTTTAAATGGTCCTGCTCTTTTTATTTTTACCTTGAATATCAGGACAATCGTGGTTACCTGAAATCTTCGCAATTGCGGGTGTTTCTTTTTCGTACAATAAATTATTGAATGTCCAAAAACTCTCTTCTTTGGATTTAAAAAGAAAAGAGAAACAAATCTCTCCCAATTTTGAATTGCATTTTAAACTGACTCAAGTCTTACGCTTGACGCAAAAGTTTCTTCGATGTAAGCAGACTTTTTTAAAAGCCTGAATACGATATTCTCGGAACAGTTATATCCTATGAACTGCGTAATTTTTACACAAAAAAGTATTCAACTCACGATGAGGTACATTCACAACGACCCAGTTGCTCGTATAAGCATAATGCAGAACATGCGTCATTGTCAACTTCTTCCCGGCTCCATAACGACCATCTAAGAACACAAAATCAGGTTTTATAGAGACACTAAAACATGATATGAAAATAAAAACTGGCGAAGAAATAAATACTGTACAGTACTGTACTGTGAAACTCACACAACATGTATCGAATTGCTGGACGAGAAAGGTCAGTTTTTTCCAGTCGCTGAATAATTTCAACAGCTGGTCGTCGCACCATGACAAAAGTACCACCCAGAGCCTTGGACTGCTCCAAGTACCTCGGCATGCACATTTGATAAACTGAAAACAACCTCTCGAAATCTTGATCCGGCATCCGATAGAACATTCCCAAGTGATTATCTCCATGTTTCACCTGCAACAGTTGACAATGCGGTAATACCGAAATCTGTACGAACAGTTGAATTTATTGGGGGGAAAACCTTCCTTGTCATTCCGTTTTGTTTGTTTTTGTTTCACACTTTTGGAAACATGAATTCCAAGTTCACGGACTTTTGGGCTTCCCCAGCCACTAAGGCGATTTTCCTATGTACATGAGACTGAAAAAAGCTTGTGTGTTTGCAATTGAATCCCTAATCCTCCGGGGTTCCCTACCTTTATCTTCAACTGTGCATTTCATCAATCCTTCTACCTTCTGAGAAAAAGACACAGACATGGGAGACTTTTGACGAGTAATTTTCCGAAATGAATTAGAATTTTCAAACATTTTTGCATCCGGAACTCAGAATACATTAATATTTTGTAATTTTGTTACACAAAAGCCATTGGAAACAGTAATATAGCATTGCTCCGATGAAAAATTTTCTTACAAATTAATTCTCTCTTTTGTCTAACACGATGTTCACTATACAGTATAACGATTTTTTCCAAAGGTTTCTTTCCTTGTATTTTAGGGGTTCTCTACACCGGAATTTTGTTCTACAGCGGTTTTTTTTCGGTTCCTTGAATTTCGTTGTAGTCCACCAGCATAAAATGCAATATTGTGTTTACTCATGTATGTTTTAGGATAGACCCCAATCCTAAAAATTGAGAGGAAAAAAATGGTCTGTGTATCATATGCGGGTTTCAAGTCTTCAAAAAGTTTTAAAAGTTCAGGTGTGCACTCCATGTGATTCCAATGGAAAATTACGGTGAATTCAGCTTAAACTAATGTCTAAATTCGAATTTGGATGTTCTTCTTTATGAAATGAACATCAATTTTAGAGTCACTAAGGTGTCTTACTTGAGGGCACATGTTGTGGGCACAAGTAAATACAGCAAATCATTTAACATAATGCCCATCAGGCTTGGACCTAAAAAAACTAATTCTTAGTAAGAAAGTATTCATTATAATGAGATTCTACTGTATTCGCTTCCAATAAACGAAATATAAATGGAAAAATAATTGAAATATTGATCTTTTAAAGAATGATACAGCCTGAAAGACATTTAGATTTTTCGTGCGATTACCATGTTATCGACTATATTATTCAAAGTTGAGTCCACTATCCGAGGCACGGCGTCGGGCCGAACCTATTACGCAAAGAATCAATCGACGAGAGTTGTCTATTATCCAGGACAACTAACTGTTCTAGATCTGATGCACTGAGGGCAACCTTCCAGAGAAAGGATAAGTCTAGATTTCAGTAACTTAATCATCAGACAAGCTGGGGGTGCCCAGCCACACCTGGGCATTGGACACATTTTACTTGGATGTACTACAGAAATTAATACTGTATGTGGAAGAGGGGGTGCCCACATGCAACTGTTTATCATGTTACAAATTACATAGAGAACTTTAAAAAAAAAAGATGATTAAAGTTGGTTAACTGGTGAATTAAGGACCACTGGTAATCTTGTACTTGTGCTCAATGTGCCAGTTGTGGCCTGGTGGGCCACAACTGGCACATGAGCAGGGGGATCTTATTACTTGTTACAATCCCAACTTGGAGTGCCCAGCCAAATATGAATGTATGATTGCTACATGATGTAAATGAATTTTAAAAAATTGAATGCTGATAGCTGGTAACATGCCAAGAAGCATCAGTTTTATGCATATTGCCAGGTGTGGCTGGGTACCCTATTTGTCTAATTTGATGAAGTTGCTACCACTTCTCAAGGTTATTGTGGTGCTCAATTCCCTTCCATCCCCTAACCCCCCCCCCCCCCCCAGTGAGGAGCAGCAGGGAAGGACCCAAGTCCAAAAAAACAGTGTGTGGTAGCAGGAGCAATAGGATGTTGTAGCTGAAGAGAGTGGGGAACATGCAAAATAACAAAGTTCTGCATTTTTCATTATAATCCACTCAATTTTGAATATTTTTTCATAAAAAAATTGAAAATTTAGAAAACATCTTTGCGCATGCAACATTGGAAATAATTTGAAAATGGCTTGGAAATTCATTTTTTGACAAATTTGTTAATTTGTCAAAATGGGAAAAGAAGCATGTATGGGAATTCAACCTTTTCCATTGAGCTAATTGTAACTTTTCATATTTTGATGCAGTTTCAAAATAGTTTCAGGGGTTGAATGGACACAGATGTTTTACAATATTACAAATTTTTTATCTGAAAAATGTTGAAAATTGATTGAGTCTAAATTCAAAACATAAAATCTTTTTTCCCAATTTTCATATGATATTTAAAATAGATGTTGTGTTTTTCATTTTAATTCAGTAAATTTTCAATTTTTTTTTCAAAATGAAAGGGAAGAAAAATGTGGCAAATATCAAAGCGCTCTTCATAAAGATTTAAAAAGTTAGTTTGATTCAGAATTCTATTTTTGTCTAATTTGTAAAGTTGGCAAAAAAGGAAACAGAATTTTCACAAAATTCTGTTTTTTTAGTTTAGCTCATGATAACTTTTTTTTAATCAGTGGAATTTAAATCATAATTTACGGGTATATGCGCATAGATGTTTTCCAAGTTTAGGCATTTTTTAAATGAGCAATATTGAAATTTTGAAATTTTAAAATGACAAATGTAGAAGTATTTTTTCCAAATTTATTCCCGTTTTTTGAAAAATGTTTTGCGTTTTTGATTGAAACTTAGTCAATTTTGATAATTTTTTAAATTTAAAAAAACATAAACTTAGCAAACATCTGACTATCTGTAACATTTGAAGAAATTTGAAAATTAAGTCAAAATTGAATTTGTGACAAATTTTCAAAGTTTGACAAATGGGAAGAAAAGCATATATGGAATTGAACCTTTTCAGTTTAGCTCACTGTAACTTTTTAGATTTTGATGCAATTTCAAAAATTTTTGCAGGGTTGTATGCTCACAGATGTTCTACGATTTTACATATTTTTGTATCTGAAAAATGTTGACAATTGAATGAGTAAAAATTCAAAATATAAAACCAATTTTTCCCGATTTTCATACAATTTTCAAATATGTTTTAACGTTTTTCATTGTATCTCCTGCAATTTTGAAGTTATTTAAGAATTTCAAAAAAAGAAATGTAGGAAACTTCGTTGCGCATGTAACGCTTGAAAAAAATTGGAAATTGCTCAAAAATTGAAATTGTGAGAAATTTTCAAACATAAGAAAACGGGATACATAACCCTCCTGCAGGCCTCTCTGGGGGCTCTGTGAGAGGGAGGTAAGGGGCAGGAAGGAAGGGAGAGCTGGAAAATTAAAAAAATGCTGCGAACACCGGACGGCAAGCAACTTTATTATAGTAGATGTTGTGTAACACATGTCTGTGGCACCAACTTTTAGCAGGTTTTCCTTGGCATGAAAAAAAAATTAGGGTGCAGTGAAAGGGTTGCGGAGGTACCCTGTTCAATCCCACCCCTTGGCACATTTTTTTTTAGAAAACGTTTCCTATTTTGATTTGAACTTCCTCCAGCCAAAAAATTCCAAATTTGTAGAAATGCATTGTGCATCCAAGAAAAATTTTTAAATTGAAATTGCTCCAAAAATATTATTAGTTAAACTTGAAAGTCCAAAAATTTTTTGTTTTCCAACCTTCTCAATATAAAAATTCACCATATGATTTCTGCTCAACAAAACTCTACCTTTTTTATAGATGGATGCAGAATGAAGTTCTGCACATTTCCCCATTTCCAACTTTGAAAAATTCCAAAAATTGACAGATATAAAAAAATGCGGACCTTTTTCAAAAAATTGAGTAAAAAATTCCTTTTTAGATCTCAATTTTTAACTGATCAAATTGAAAACCCCATGTCATTGCAAATACAGCTGCACAAAATTTTTTAATTCANATATTGAGGAAACCGTTTGGGGGGAAAAAAGAGGGTGGAAGTATATGGAACATGTTGACCCACTGGTGCCGGGAGATTTTTCCGAGGAACCGAGTTCTGGAAGACGGAAGGAAGTAAGGTTGTATTTCTGACTAGTTTCTACATTTTTCTTGAAAGGGGGGAAAATTAAAAAAAGTGCGAACCGATGACGGCAAGCAACTTTATTATAGTAGATTACCCCTGAATGGCTCTGCAAGCCAAAAATCTCCCCCAAACGCCCACAAAAGAAACCGCAAGAGTTTACTCACAGGATTCGTTTCGTCGGTGAGGAATTGCACGGGTTTGTACACCGGCTGGGATTCCGTCGGCACGGCGAGAGACGCGACACATCGCGCGGAATTTCGATTGGCACACAACCACTTGCCGACACTCCAGGTCCTCAACATATTTTATTTTTCCCCCCTTTCAAGAAAAATGTAGAAACTAGTCAGAAATACAACCTTACTTCCTTCCGTCTTCCAGAACTCGGTTCCTCGGAAAAATCTCCCGGCACCAGTGGGTCAACATGTTCCATATACTTCCACCCTCTTTTTTCCCCCCAAACGGTTTCCTCAATATTTGCAATCGACGCGGGATGAAACTTAACCTCAAAGCGGGGGGATTCGGAAAGTTAACTTTCCTGAACGCGAAATTCCTGGCAAACAAAAACAACTTTGTTTCGACGATTTCCAATGAGCCAAAAAAATAATAATCAATGGAATTCCAGGACGAAAGAGAAAAATCTCACGGTTCCTGGACGCAACGAAAGACAGCTGTAAACCGGTTCGATTGTAGAAAAAGAAACTTTCCAGAGAGCCCTCGTGGACACTTCACCAAAGGTTTCTTGGCGCCGGAAAAAAAATTTAACAAATAAACTTGAAATGTTTTTACTTCACGTGGGGAAAAGACGCTTTTTATCCCCATCATTTTTGGGAGTTGTCAAGTCCCTTGTTCATCATTTGCTCAAAGCATCCTTGATTTCCTTCAACAAAATAGAGCCAATGACCATTTTATCGCAGTTTACGGTGAGATTGGCTTCGCGGGCTGCAGAACCAGCAACTGGAACGACGCTGACGAGAACCAACACGTTCGACGACAACGTCTGCCCTGCGAAGCTTTACAACAAACAAAATCTGTCAGTTTCGCAAAAAATGAAGTTCACAAAAGGAAAGAAGTGCAGAACTATGAACAGATCGACTATCGAAAATACTACAAGCCTCAACATAATGATGAATAGCGATATCTGAGAAGGATAAAAAACAGGCCTTCGAAAATTGGGAGAACTTTGGAGGGAGACCAAATATTGACCATAAAAATCCATTACTGTGCTGTATGAGTTTATTTTTGGCTAACACATTCTAACACAGACGGATGTTTTCGCTTTTGAATATCAGTCTGAAGTTTGCCAATTACGACGGAGCTCGCATTTTTCATGCTTCGAAATTTCCGGAAATTGCTTGTTCCATACCTAAAATTAAAGTCAGCAAAAATTTGACAATTTACCGTGAATAAACGTCGCATTCGAATCAGCTCTCATTAGGAACTCACTTCTGCATGAATTTTTGTACAATACTTGAAAACTCATGTCAATCGAAACGGGTGAAATCGTTTGCAGGAATTTCGTGATGCTTCATCGGATTCACAACAGGCCTGGTTGAGTTAACATACATTTTTTTGACACGACTCAGCTCAGATCAGTTCAAAATCAGGTAATTTTCAATCTAACAATTTGGACAAAACGTGCTTTTACATTTACAAAGCACGATTTGATTAAAAATGTTTATGTTTGAAGCATCAAAAAGAAAACATTTTCACGAATCGGAAACATGTCAAAGTTGGCCTCACCGAAGATTGGAGACCTCGAAACTGGGAATCTGAAGCACATTTGCGACGGAGTAAACAGCTTTCGCAATACTGCCCGGATCATTCAAATGATCTTTCAATGTGAATTTCGCAGTGTGTTCGTTCATTCCTCTAAGCTTCGCTCGTTCCTTGGCAAATGCTCCTTCGCCCATTGTCACGGCTCGGCACATTTCTCCAACGGGAACCTTGAAAAAAAGAAGCAACATACATACTTTCAAACGTGCCTAGGGGAAATTTGAAACTCAATAACTCGAACTCCCTCAGTCAAATACCTGAAGACTCATGTACATGTTTTTTCATCAAGTTCTTGTCTGAATTCCCTTATAAACACATGAAAAACCTCGCGAACTCCACGGTTTCCATCTCAAACTTTCATAACTCGAATTTTGGAGGCCTTATGGCCATCATTTTATTGACACACGAAAATGAATTATAAAATGATGTGCTCTAAAAAGAAGTGAAAGATTATTTCGGCAAATGAACCCTTGCCTCCAAGCTCAGAATTTTGCCAACTCATTTAGGAAGCAATTTAAGGTACAGAATACAGTATCAATTAAAATATCCCCCCCCCCTCAAAACTTATTTTGAGGAAGTGTAAATTTTACCTTCAGAGTAGCGGGAAACTTCCGCCCGGAAATGCAAATGTCCAAAGCAACGGGTTGCGTGGTATCTCCAGTGTCGAGACCGACACCCGCAGTGTGCGCCATTCCTGTTGCCACGGAATGAAGCGTAGGGAATCCGTGCCAAGTGACGCCTTTCGGCGCAGAATTGCTCAACTCGACCTTGACGTCAGTCATCTCGGCTTCGGACTTGTTCTCCAGCCGCAATTCCATGGCGATCATTTTCGGGGAATAAATGGAAGGGACTCTTCGGTATCGAAGCGCAACTTCGAGCCCAGCAGCGGTTTTGTAATCCACCAAGACACTGAAGTCTTCCTGCACCCACGCTGAACTTGCCAACTAGAAAAATAAACTCGTATTCAGAACGTAGAAATTCAGCTTTTTTCGATAACATTACCTACATAATCGATGCCATGAATCTGGCATAATTTTTTAGTCTTTCATTAGTTTGTTGAACCAACGTCGGACTGGTAAAAATATGGGCTTTCCAAGAATTATTGAGCAGTTGAAAAAAATAAGCATTCAGATTCGGATTTTTAAAAAAATCAGAAATTTTCAACTTACAGTTTTAAAAAGAGCAAAAGAATGAAAAAGTACATTTAGAATAAAAAACTGACGCCAAATACATTACATCCGTTCGTACTTTTTCCATAACCGTGAAAATTTATTTTAAACAATGTCACTGGGAGCCATAAAAATCTCCGAACGTTTTATTCCAAGATTCCAAACCAATTTAAAAGTTAAAACTACCAATTTTTCAACTGATATGTGTTTGTTTTCATTTAAATAGTTCGCTCATCACATTAAGCGCCTGATTTCGCAAAAAATTTCAATAAAAACTTTTCAAAAATACCTGAATATCAGCATCAGCAGCAAAATTCGTTGAGCTCGGTTTCATAGCTTCCAGTGGGGCGGAAAATGTAACAGGAGCTAATGTGGGTCCAATTGGATCAACTGCCGATTGAAATTCAGCATTGAAAATTGTCACATCCATCACAGAACAAAGCGGATAGAAATCCTTCTTGAAATCAACTCACAAGAGTCGAGGTCCAGCAAAAGATCCACATTTTTCTGCGACGTCTTCTTAATTTCGGGATCTCTCTTCACGATCTTGGGCTCTTCCTTTTGCTTCGGTTTAGTCTTCACTACAATTTCTTCTTCAGATGATTCACTGACCGACTCAGACTCGGAATCGGAAGTTTCAGACTCACTGGAAGACTCGTTTGCAGTTGCCTTCGTGTCTATCAATACTGGTGCTTTCGCGGGTTTAACTGCAACAGATTTGACAGGCTTTTGTTTCACGGGTTCTCGAGTTTCAGAGGCTTTTGATGACGAGCTTTCATCCGTGTCTTCGCCAGAGGAACTTCCATCAGACGATTCATCAGTGCTCGTGTCAGCTTGAAAAATAAACAAATACATAAATGTAAACCTTGGAACTCGGTTCGTTGAAATTGTCATTTTTTTTCCCTCGACGCACATTTTTTTTAGGTAATTCACCAAGAAAATGAAAACATCATACTTGTGTTTAGATTCAGAAAAATGCGGAAATTAAGTTTTCAATGCACAAAATTTCTGAGAAATCTTTAACAAAGAATATTCTCTGAAGTTCAATGAGCTGATCATATCCAAGCTTATGAACTTGAGTTAATCTTACTACTACAAACGGATTACTACAATATCAATTAATAGTTCTGCCTTTTTCCCGAAGGGTTCGTATCATGGTGATTTAGCCGAAATTAAAATTAGTACATCATTAAATTCCACTGATTTCTGTTCAATAATAATAATTTCTGTTCAATAATTTAGGTTTCGCCAAAATTTCGCCTGCTTATAGTAAGCATAATTTAGGCAGAATCATGTTTGATCGAAAACATATTCCTATTATGTCTTCCCAATGTCCAATACATACCAAAATAAATTATCAATAATTGGTTAGGCTAGTTCTGGCATGATTATTTAGTTCCACGTTAGATTAGTTATGAAGGCGACATCTTCCGGACAATTCAAAAAGCACAAACTTGGAACTAAAATTCAGCGAACAAAAACGTTCGACCCCGTTTAACTGAATAAACTCACTTTCTTCATCAGACTCTTCCTCGTCCTCTTCAGCTTCCACATCTGAATAAAACGAAGGCTCAATTTTCTCCTTCTTCGTGCCACTTTTCTTGGTCTTCGAGCTCGACAAGAAAGCGTTGATTTTCGGTTCCGGTTCCGAGAGCTTCACAGCCCGTAGGGTAGAATCAGTCGGCTTCTCAGAGAACGGCGGCAATTCGTGGTAACCTTCCGCGGGGGCATTCAGGTAATGGGACAAGGAACCCATTCTGTAATTTTCCCGTGCTTTGAACCTTTCGGAGTACAAAAACAAATACGTCATTATTATTCCACGAAGAAGCTTCCACAGATCTTTTTGTCGAATATGTGACAAATGAGCGCGTCCCAATACACAGGAGTTCAAATTGACAAACTTTTGTAATTTGAGACAAGCGTTGACCCAATCAAACAGCACATGATCTTTATCGAAATTAAGCTAGACAAAATTCATTGAACGGATGAGTTGGCCCTTCAAAGCTATCAAAAGAGGAATCTTCATGAATGACATGACCAGAATACCGTTATCTATTTTCAGCGATTTCCCATCATTGCCAAGATGAAACTTTGATTGAAACCAACCTTTCTAAAAATCAGGGTTTTTTCTGGTTAACGACTTGTTGACTTCCGCAGTTTAAAACAGCCTGGCGTTTAAAAGCGTGTGCGAAATACTTGGAAGGACTCACGCCGAGGATATACGGATAAAATAATGGATAATTTAGTTTACACGCAAGACTCAAAAAACGGTTACCCGAAGTCCGTTACAATAAATGAGGAGCTCAAATATTTACTGCAGTTGATATACAGTAATTTTATGATGTTGTTTAAGCTACCTAATGTCAAAAAAAAAATTTTCAACTTGTGAAGTACATGCTATTTTGGGACGAATTCAAATGTGCGGACAAAATTTTTTGCATTCTTACCTTGACTCAAGCAAAGGAGCAGGCTTGGCCGCGAGAAAGATCTTCCGGGCCTGCTTCACAAAAGGATTACCTTCTGTCCCGGGTTCTGGGAACACAAATGCCCGCAAAAACCTGGCCCTGTCTCTGATATCGTAACTAATATCATATTTCGCCATGTTCAGCACATATTGTGCCAACAGGGCAGTTTGCGAGGGATTCGTCAGCAACAGCTTCACTGCCAAATTCATCGTTTGCAATTTGACCCCATTGTCCAAATCCGGGAACTGTTTGGCCATTTTTCTAAGAACGTCGGGAGCAATAAGAGGCACTTGTTCGGAGTATTCTCCCAGAAGCCAGAGGATCGAAGCAGTCGCATTTGGCACAGTGATCGTGTCGACTAATTTTGCGAGCTGGACAACGATGTCTTTCACGTGAGAAGGCTGTAGTTGGAGCAACTTCCGTATCACCACCACACTTTCAGCGACCACAGACTCTGTAAAAATTAAAATTGCTTTCTGTACCTGCTTCTCACTTTTTCGAAGTTTGAGTGTCCACCATCATAGACCTCGATTTTCTACATATATTGTACAATCAAATCCTGTTCGCGTCGAACTTCAAAGGACTTCAATGAGAATCTAACACTGAAATTAAGATTCATCACTGAACAGCACAGAGGACAGAAATTCGCTCACCATCCCGATTGGACAACAAGATAACGAGTCCATGAAGACATGAATCCGTCACTTCCTTGATATTTGAAGCACACCTCCCAATCGCTTGAATTGTTGCTGTGACGAACTCTTTGTTCGGACTTGAAATATACGTCTGAAACTCCCTTAGGATCACAGATATGTTCCCAGAATTCGCAACATTGGTCATCACTTCCAACTTGAGCATCTTCACCAGCGTCGGGTCGTTCGCGTGGACAAAGAAGTTTTTCAAGTAAGGCTCGAAAAGTTCTTTCCGTTCAGTGGACAAAGCTGCCAAAGTGTTTAAAATCAAGGCTTGAACTTCTCGGTGCGACCGCAAGAGTCGAACCAAGGCCCTAGACACTGACACCATTTCGGATCTCGGACCACAGTGATGGTACAACTGCGCCACCGCCATCACCACCGCGGCGTTCCGACTCTGGAGCAAAGGGCGGCAGTTTCGCAAGAGCAGAGTCAGGTCTGGGTCCACTTCCTTCGTTTTTGGCTTCCGGATTTTCTTCTGTACTTCTTCAGGGTCCGAGGAATCCGATTCGGAGTCTTCGTAGAATGATCGCGATTCATTTTGTCCGCCGAAATCCTACGAATACGATTTGATATTGACATAGATCGACTTATTCAGCAAGGGAATTAAACTTCAACAACGAATGAACTTGGTTTACACTGCAGTTACCATCTCAGAATACTCCAGTTAAACCTTCATAACTCGAACCGACGAATTTTTCGGAAGTCCCCTAGAAATAACGCAATTGAAACCTAACTAACTTGAAGAGTTTGCCCCCTCAAATCGCCGTACTTCAGATTTTCTGGAGACCTTTCGCCTATTATTTTATTGACACAGGAAAGATAAATCTAAGCAAAGATAACTTGATGCGTTCTGAAAGGAAGTGAAAGAGAAATTCAGAAAATCTACCTCTACCTCCAAGTTCAGCATCCTGTCAACTCATTCAAGAAGCAATTTAGGGCCTAAAATATCACCGCTTACAAATTCTGTATTTCTTTTTCCTTTCCCCAACACAGACGCTCGTTTTTCCGAATCGAAATTATGTTATAGTGATATTACATTGAAGTTCGATTTAAAGAGGTATGAATGCATGAACAAGTTCCTCAGGTTTGTCCCACACTCGCGAACTGTCGGTCACACTTTAAAGTAATCATTAACGTAATATATCATCTTGACTTGATCACTTCAACTGTTCAAAAAAAATAAAACTTACAGGATGATTCGGATCTTCGAACTGTGTTCTGGCGTAGCGAACGAGCATGTTCAAAATTATGACCTGACCCCATTCCTCGACATCGGTTATGAGGGTGCAAAATTTCCTGTAATTCTTATGAATCAAGTCGATCCTTTCCGGGCAAACTTCTTCGAAGGCCATCACAGCGGATCCGAGCACAAGAGTAGCTTTGTCCGAAAGTAGTTTCTCGATCACCGACACAAGCTCTTCTTTTTGCTCTGGGTCCAAGCTGTACAACTTGGGAATAGCATGTGCAGCTGTTTTCCGCACGTAAGCGGACATGTCATTCGCAGCTTCCTTGATGGCTAACATCACGATTGGAATTATCACTGGAACTCTGATTGAAGAGAGAACTCGGAGAGCTGACGCTCGAATGAGTTGGTTCGGGTCTTTTAATGCGCGCTGGAATGTCGAGATGGATAGTAATGCCAAGTCTTGTTGTTCTTCTGCGTACCGGACAAGGTACACGTAAACGAGCTTCTTAACTTCCACGTTCTTCGAAACGACGTTCTTAACAACGGCGGGAAAAAGGTCACTGGCGTCTCTGCCTTTGGCGACCATTGCGATTATTCTCTTCATCGCCTCCAATTTCAAACTGTCCTTGCTATTGTCCAGCATAATTTTCAAATCTTCATTCCTGTGAATCATCAACTTGGTACTCATTACCTTTCAAAAACGGACCGATGAAATCACGACTCACTTTTTGAAGTCCGAATTGAAGAAGCTGGCACCGGCAACTAAATCTTGTCCCGTTTCCACGTCACCCGCGGACGAGAGGCTGCCTTGAAAGACAGCCTCACTTGTGTAAGGATTGTACATGGTCATGGTCTCCTCCACAATACCTTTCTCGCGAAATGAGATATCGTTCAGAGAAACCTGAAGGAAACGCAAATTTGCAAACCTAGGGCCGATTATTGATGCATATTTTGGCACTCGGGCACTTTTACACGTGACAGTATTTTAACCAACTAACATGAGATCACGAACTAAGGTTCTAAAATCAAAGTGAAAATGCTTCACTGCAAAACAATGCAGAACAATCTTGCAATCCTTTTTCACGCGAGACAATTTATTTCGACGAGAGGATATTCCGATAAACCGGTAGGAGCAAATCCTTTCAATAAGATATGCGTGGGACACAAGGACCTCACTTCAACGAATTACTTAAATCCTGATCAGGGCGGCTGTGAAAATGATGTTCACATCCAAATCAGCGCATCCACGTACAAGAGATGAAGTCGAAAACTTCCCCTCGCTGACGCGAAATCGGACTGCCATTACCGTGAGACAGGCAAGTTCGCATTACAGCTAACGATGTCGCTAGCGTCGCCGAACCCCTTTTTAACATACCTAACAATTCGACAGCTGTCGTACATCTGTTGCACTCTGTTCCATCAAGCTGCGCAAGCCATGCTTCAACTCTTTGAAATTATGGTAATGCTGCTCATTTTACAACGATTTTCTTAGTTCAATAACTATAGCTCCCTCTGGAATTACTTAACATAGGCACAGAATTTTAGAGAGAAGGTTAACTTATTAATGATTACCAAGCATATTTCCCGCTGGATTCACTGTAGATATTTTATAAATACTATACTGACATTAATTTATCATGCCTATATGTGCCAAAAAATGAAATACAGTGCCAAGTTTTCATCTCAAGTACATTCAGTACAATTAAAAGATCGAACCACGTCCTCTTCTGTGAACCTACATCACTGCTGCATGCGCTCATGTGGATCTTATCAACACAAACTCGAAAATAATAACAGCCAAAACACAGGATTGTATGTGATGTAATACCACAAATGGTAAACCAAATTTAGCTCTTAAAAACCAATAAGGAATAAAATCTCTCAAGTGGCGGCAGGATGAAGAGAAAAGAAAATTCGAGTGGCTTATCTTTTGCAATGACACAAACGCTTGGAAACAAGTTATCTTAGTTCATGTGTATTATCTTGTCAATTTGAAGGCTCAAAGGAAGCTTTGAAAACCACTGGATAGACCTCTTGAAGAGGAAGGTCTGCAGGAAGCAGACTACAATAAGTTATTCTGTAAGCTAGAGTCATACATCTCACAGGTATTCAAACGCTTGTATATAGTGATTATGGAAAACCTCAAAGAAGAGATTCTGAAATCTGACCACAGCAGTGACACTGATTCTGCAACCTCATCTGACTTTGCTGGTGACTTGATTCATCTCTTTTTGGCCAATGGTGGTGAAGTCAATGACTGGAATTGCCAAAACTGTTTGCCTTTGCACATTGATTTACATAGTGAGGAAGAAAACTTGATTTGTGAAATGGAATCCAGCAGTCATCTTCAAAAAGAGTGCTGGGACTGCAGACAAGTACTCAAAATATAATTCCTAAATATATACACCAGAATCTCAATCTTGTAAAATGTGTCAATTCTTGCAGCTTGTTCAAATGTTGGTTTCTTACGGTGCAAAAGTAAATGCCAACAATGCAAGCAGAAAAAGGCTTCTTGTGCGGAATTCCACCATTATTTGTGAAGGTGCCAAGGAACAGTTTTTGCACAAATTTAAGGCCAGGCGGAAAATGAGATCACATCATCGTCAAGAAGATAAAATGCCACAGGTATATTTTCTTGATTGGCATGGGCCATTGCGATCTATTTGGCATTAATTATTCCTAATCATGAAAATCAGGGAAAGCGTTTGGATGCATTAGAAAACATGTGCACTCAACTCAAGCATGATCAAACGGAGGTAAGTCATTTTGTTTCCATTAATTTTTTATTTAGGATGTCTAACATGTTATTGATGATATGCGCATGCCATTATAAAAGTGAAGCAAATTTCTCCCAATCGAGAATAAAATTGGAAAACGGTATTAGATTTTTCAAGAGTACAATTATGTACATAAAATAGATCATTCCTGGATTCCAAAATGTGCTGTGCAATAAAACATACAGGGTGGCTGACTGTAAACTTCAAAACCCATTTACATCCTACCTTGTACTGTATATTGAAACAAAATTAGAATTAATGCAAACTTATTTTAAAGGTTATTGTGCAGCTAATGTTTCTTTTAGTTTCAATATAAACATTTCAATCAGAAAAATATTCTTCCAGATTCCAAAAAATAATTTGAACATAAAAATTTTGATTTAAAAAATCTCCCAGCAGATACCAAAAAATAAATTTTCATCATTCAGGGGATGCGACTGCTGTATTTTTAGAATGCTGAACAGCCAAAAATTGAAATAAAACGCTGACTGAAATTTAATTAGACTTCAATTGAGTGGCTAATTTTTGTTGGTTAAAAAAGCTTTTTTTTACTTGCATAAATACAGCAGTAATAATAATACAGCCAAAAATATGTCAGTAAAATAAGTATCCAATTAATTGCTCAATAACTACATTTTGTATTTAAAAAGCAACAACTGAAACAGCAGCACCAGACATCAACAGATTCATAGTCCTGAACAGATTTAAAAAATATTTTTCAACGCTCTCTATTATTAAGCGTAAGGATTTTCAGCCATTTGTGAACATTTCGTGGGTTTTCTCCAGGAATATCAAAATACTTGGTCAATTGCTCAACGTAATACAGTGAGACCCCCACATGCGGACACCTCAACCTGCGGACAATTTGACCTAGGGACACTTATATTACCATTAAAAAATTACAAAAATGTCCCAACATGAGGACATTGACTTGACATAGGGACATTTTGCAATAAAATTGCAAATAAATTTCAGGCAAAATTACAAGAAACAGATGTTTCCAACCCTAAAATAGATGTAAGAAAAGTTCTTGGGCATTTCTCTCCCCAATTTATGCAAATAAATTTCAGGAAAAATTACAAGAAACAGATGTTTCCAACCCTAAAATAGATGTAAGAAAAGTTCTTGGGCATTTCTCTCCCCAATTTACCATCTATTTAGCTAATTCAAAATAATTACCTCCAGCATAGAGGGACTTCCTTCTCTCTTTCTCACTTGAATTTTATTTTTACAGAAAATGCCAACACTTCTATGCATACTGTACAGATGAGGTATCAGTATTCAATTCCCCAAATGTTCATATTGTGTTGAAATACATTGATTGAATCAGTTTAAATTGGGAGACAATTTTTATTTTCATGGAATTAGAGTGAGTATTTTGTACATGAAACACCAATTAAAAATTATATAATGTAAGTCTAAGGGAAAATGTGACTCAACTTGGGGACATTTCAACTTAGGGACACTCTTGATGCACCAATTATGTCAGCATCTTGGGGTCTCACTGTATACAGTTTTCACAATTATGCAGGAAGCTTGTTTGACTATTTACTTTATTATTGAGGCATGCCATTGCCAACACAAATGTTACTTCAAAAATTGCTGATTTATGTGTTTTTCTGTCTTTTTCGCTCAGCTTGTTGAAAATAGTACTGATTGTCTCATTTCAGATGATATTTAAATGAAATTATGAGAATTTTTTTTTTGCTTCTGTATATTTATGATCTTCTGAGTTGAATTACTGGAATATAAAAAGCAATTTGGTGGCCTTTTTTGGCTTACCCTGTACTTGAACAGCTAAATATGATGGAACAAGAATTTAAACTATACGAAGTATGAAAAATGTTTCTAAAGATATTTTATACATCTGTAGGAAATGTTGCCACGAATGCACCTTGATTGAAGTTATGTTATTTCTTGTACACAAAAAAAACTTCAAAAATTTGTAGATACACAGGGGGCTTTGTATTTTTTCCCAAAATTTTTAAATACATGCGGACATGATTCTGTGAAACCCATTTTTATGATCCAAAGGAATATTGCGATATTAGTCTTCATAGAACGAAAATCGGCAAATTTCATGATTGAAAAAATCTGTCAGAATAATATATTTATAGATGGAATATTCAATATTGTAAGAAACATTTTTTCCGGCCTTTTTATAAATGAAAAAATATAATTTCAGGATAATATACAGCAGTACTGTACATAAATAAGGAATATTTAATATTGCAAAAAAATTGTTTTTCGGGTTCGAAACGAACACGCTGTTTATAATTAACTCGCCCCATATTTTTTTCTATTCTGATGCAAAAAAACAGAATACGATTTGCGCAAAATGTCCGAAAAGGGACGAAGAAACTGAATCATGACCTTAATATTGCAGAATATGTGTTTAATTTACTTTGAATCCCCGATTCAATTCCTGAAATATTGTCCTTCTTCGATGTAGTCCAAGTTCTCGAAAGCACTTCTAGAAGTACAGTACGTGATGGGTTTGGAATTTTTGAAATAAGTGCAAGAATTTTCTTTGCGTCGATTTTTTCCCCATACAACTGCTGGAGCATTATTTGTTTATGGAAGTACGTCACGATTCTCGGGATTGACAATTCTTATTCCCAGCACGCAATAGGATCGCATATCATGACATTGAATTTTCTGCCTGGAATTATTTTTATTGCAGAGAGAAACGTACCGCAAAATTTCAGAAAATGTCATTCGTCTAAAACTCTTAAATGAGACGAGGAAAAACTCGCGTAAATGATACACATTTTTACCCGTGGGAAATCTGCTTTTTTTTTGTGAATGTTTTTAAAGAAACCCGATGAGACGAAAAGTTGAAATTAAGATTGGAAAATTTTTCGACTTTGTAAGCGCCTTAATAATACCGAAACCGTTCAAAATTTTTCCACAAAATTCAAAGTGACATTTATTTACATTTATATATACTCCACGAGGATATTTTGTATTTGAAAAAATAAATCAAAACTTTGATGGAAGTATAAATAACGTCACAAGTATATAGGCCACTGAAACTAAACGTTAGCCATTTATTATTTGTCATCTCGAAAATAAATTTGCATTTCTGAAAAGAATTCATGTGCTCTTCAAAATCCTCGTGGGAAATTTGTTCTTCTGTGTATGGTTTTAAAGAAACCTGATGAGACGAAAAGTTGAAATTAAGACTGGAACATTTTTCGACTTTGTAAGCGCCTTAATAATACTGAAACCGTTCAAAATTTTTCAACAAAATTTAAAGTGACATTTATTTATATTTATATACTCCACGAGGATATTTTGTATTTGAAAAAATAAATCAAAGCTGTGATAAAAAGTATAAATAACGTCACAAGTATATAGGTAACTGAAACTATACGTCAGCCATTTATTATTTGTCATCTCGAAAATAAATTTGCATTTCTGAAGAGCATTCATTTGCTCTTCAAAATCTCATAAATGGCATCATGTGATACTGTACATCGCAAATGCAGCGGATTATTTAGGAGTAAGTTTACTAACTTATCTTTCTTTAAATTGTGGTACAGTATAAGCAATCTCAGTGCTGAAATTTTAATCCTCTTTCGTGTTATTTCAACTGCTGCTTAGTTCCAAACAATAATCGTTTCTATAGGTGTAGAGAATAAATTCAGATGAATTTTCAATCAGTTCATGGTAAAAACATGGAGTGTGAATGAATGACAGGTGGACTCTTACTCTGAAAATAACAGTTTTCAGGCACATTCCAAAATTCCCCTCAATAAATCTTTTTTTTCATAAATAATGACTCACACACTAAAACCAGTAAGGCCCATAAATGACCATTTCTTGGTAATAACACAGAATGGCACTGTAAAGCAAGGGTTGCCAGCATGTTCAAGTGATGAGGACACTCATGCAAATTTATTTTTCATAATTAAATAAAATGTATATATGCACACCAGTACAGATGGACAATAATACTGTGGGAAGACATATATTTATTTGTTACTATATGTGGTCATTTGGTCAAGCTCACAATCACCCACTATATATGAGGTGGGGAAGTTACATACACTGTAAATTATCTTGGAATAATACACTGTACATAGACCATCAGCAGGATATCTTACCCAAAATAAAAAATCTTTACCACTCCCAAAAAGGCATTTTTCTCTGCATGCAACCTCAGATATGTAGAGTACCAAAAACACCAATGCTACACCACATCTGTGTATGACATTGAAAGTGTTGAGCAGTCAAGCTGACTTAATATAGTACCATACATTTTACCTGAACAAATATTCCTCCAACTGCATTAATTCAGATGCATGTCTCATGTGCTGTATGTAATATTTACAATACATATTTACTTATATTGCACCAAGAAATGGCCATGGATGGATGGTGGCACTAAATTTAGGCTGTATACAGTTAATAAAAATTCTCACTGTCTTCACATTATATTTTTGAAATTTTTCACATTGAACTTCAAGTGTCTTCATATCATATTTCCATTTCAGACCAGTTTACTGCACTTGTTCTCTGATGAAAAATTTTACTTTGGCACCAAACGCATCTAGCATACCACCCATGCATGCTGCCGTACGCGTGTACTATACATAGTCGCTATGCACTTGAACAGGGCCTTTTTTCTGTCAGAAAAAGAAGCAATAATAGAAAGAGTGGCCCCGAAGAAGAAGAAAAAAATCTAGGTGAGAGTATATTATAGCAAGCTGTGGGAAATCTTCCATTAGGTATTTGGCAAAACAATTATTCCTTGGCGGCTTGTAATACTGTATATAGTATACAACTGCATGCTGGGTATATATGTGTGATATATCGGAAACACAAACACTTCCCGCGACCGCGTCTTGCCGTAGGAAAAAAGGCCGCCTGTCAAACACGAAGCCTGGCCCTTCCATGATATCACGTACGTTCCGCACACACGAAAGGATATATATAGTGAACTTCTTTTTCTTCCTTTTCGAAATTTTATAAATAAAATAAAATAAACTTGGTGCCTATAATAATTCACAATGCGGAGGATTCCGATCATTCCCGGGGCTGGGTTTCTGGAAATCCTTTTTCCTGTTTTATCTCACGACAGCGCGGTTGATCACTTCTTCGTATTTGAAATGACAGGCAATCTGAAGACGAATGCGCGTATGTATGCTGTAAGCGTCTCTGAAGTCATAAGCATCATGTTTTTGAACGGGTCTGTGAGTCATGAGCGGATCTTGCGATATCAAGGAAGATTTCAGAGTTTATCTCTCGGATTCCGAGCAATCTGCTGCTGCATGCTTGACTTGAAGAAAACTCGATTTTCCGCTATGTATATACGCCGGCGTGAAATTGCTGGGACTCAATGGCATTGGATTCTCCTGGCGGCGGAAGTCGGAGATAAAAGGAAGTTATATAGTGACGGGGAAAAACCGCGTTCATGATGGAATTAAGACAGAGTATCCAACGCGCGATTATAAAAGCGCTCCAGATGAGGTACGTGAGATGAGCATCCCATGCGAAAAGAACCCCGGGCGAAAAGCGCTCATAGTATGAATCATCAAGCATTACCCCGTTGTCTTCAATGATGACCATGCTGGAGTAAGAATTGGTGCCTATTTTTAACTTATTCACCTCTTATAAATGCTTTCTTATTTTTAAGCTGTAGTGCATGCATGTGCTGGTAATTACTGTGCATATATGTAAAAAAAACTGCTTATACACCAGAAATACCTGTACCATATATATATTTTTAAAACAGGTGGACTCATCTTTTTACAACAAAACTGAATTATAGGAACCAGATTAAAATTCGTTGCAGAGATAATTTTGATATGGAGAACCTCTATTATAATATGAGGGCTTTAATTTAAAAATATGTAAAGTACTGGCATAAATTTATGCAGGTGCTGTTGACCTATATCCTATATGGAGAAAAGGTGCTGAGCTCCTCCTTTTTGAAGAATGCAGATTAGCATGAAAAGCATCGATCCCGCAATGACGGATACTTTGTTGTTGATAAAGTGACTCGATTTGTTCCAATCCTTGCCATACAGTTCAACAAAAATGTCAAGTGCGCTGTTGAGGCATTTTTGTGAAATAGTGTCCTGTATTTTACATTTTATTGAGCGACATCTAGTTTTTATCCAGCTATAAAACAAACCCAGAGAACCAAGAAAATGGTCTGAAGGGTTTCATAACTGTCCGGTACGATACAAACGGGTGGAACGTTTGGTAACCCTGTACGTTTGAGATCTCAAGGTGTCACCGAGGTTACGCGAATTTTTCGCGCCGATAATACCGGCATGTGTCAATTAGATGTTCTGTTGGAGCGTGTTCGCGAAAGCAAAGCCGCGATTGGCACACTTAGATATTACCTTGAAGGAAGTTGGGTGAAAGTGGTGATTTCGTGCGATCGTTTTAGTTTTGGCTGAATGGCATTGTCTCTGTCATTGTTCTGTAATTCGTTGATCATATTTGCTGAATTTGTTTTCCAGTCTCCTTGTTTAGAATGTCATTTGGTTTCGGTTTCTGCTTGACTGTTCCGGCGATATACGTGCAGAGTTCCCTTTTCGAAAACATGGAATATTGAAGCTGGTGCTCGCGTATTTCCCGGTGAACGTTATTGTAAATTATATAGGCGTATGGGAACCATGGGGGACCCAGCAGATAACTTCAAGAAAATGGAAGTTGTGTACAAAGGAGTGAAGCATCCGACGCTTTCTGTGGGGGACAAATGTTCGATCACCGATCACGTTGGTGGAACGAGGAAAGGCGAGATAATCGCTGTGCGAGTTTTCCGCAACTTGGACGTATATGAGTTCCTGATACACTTCGATAAACTGCCTGACCGGCGTTACGACCTTTGGGTGACTGAGGAACATATGAGTGACATAATCAAGGTTTCAACCAATGAAGATGAGCCGATTACTCCAAGCAAGCGCGAAAGTCTGCGGCCCCAGAGGCGTCGACAGGTCCAGCCAGATCAGAATCAACCGGTTGTGAAAAAATCTAAGGAAGACGAAGTGAAGCAGTATGAAGATTATACAAAGGTTTGTATATCGTTCTTTATTGGTAAAGGAAACCCCGACTTTTTGCGTGAGTGGCCCCAGGGGTAGATATGCTCCATGAACAGTTACATTTCATTGGATATATTCCCGTTAAACTTCCGAAAATTTTACTTCAGTTTTTGTGAAATGAGGTTGTTTGTCTGACTACATGGTTAACGGTTCAAAACGTATAATTTCAGATCAAGTACGTCAGTGAGGTGCATTTTGGATCGCACTTGATCTCAACTTGGTATTTCTCACCCTTCCCGAGAGAAATGCTTCGCTACAAACGTTTGCACATATGCCCTACCTGCTTGTTCCAATTCGCCTTGGAAGAGACCTATGGTTATCATTATGCAATATGTAACAAACGTCATCCACCCGGTCATCTCATTTATTCAACGAATGACATAGCCATTTACGAAGTGGACGGTGTGAATGATAGACTCTTCTGTCAGCTTCTCTCTCTCCTTGGAAAATGTTTCATCAAAGAGAAAACTCTTGTTTCATACGTGGACGATTTCAAATTTTACGTTCTCTGCGAGAAGAACAGTATTGACGGGGCTGATCGACACGAAATTGTGGGTTACTTTTCGAAAGAAAAGCAAAGTGAAGAAGGCTACAATCTCGCCTGCTTGGTCGTCCTTCCTCCTTACATGGGGAAAGGTAAGTTTATGAAACACCCGTGAGCTCAGATTCAGTATATTTCGTGCTATTGTTCGACTGCCGCACCCAAGAGGAAGTTCTCAACTCACCTTTACTGCGACGTAAAATTACTCTGAACTAACCTCACTGAACCCCGCATTAATATTTCGTAATGGGGAAGTCGTATTAAACGTGAAAAGTCAATCCCAGATAACCTAACCAAATATTTTGGATGATAATTGACAATTTAACACTAAAATTTGCATGCACTGTGTCAGCGACTTCACGAACTACCTGAGGAAGTTGCCCAGTCGGATTATACTCCAGGCCAAAACATTCCATTTTCGAAAAATTTGGATGAAAGTATCCTAGAGTAGTTCTCTGCCTAAATTTCAAATGTTGAGTAACCGGTCGTATACGTGCTACTTTTTTAAAAAGTTGCATAGGCATTCCATTGACGTTTTCGAATTTTCTGTAGGATATGGCTCCCTGTTGATAGACATGAGCTATGCTATAACGAAAAGGGAGCGTAAGACTGGAAGCCCTGAAAAGCCGTTGTCAGCGATGGGAAAGCGGGCCTATCTGAGTTATTGGACGTTTGTGGTTGTTCGAACGATGCTGAGCATGATGGACCGTTTGCAAACCCATTTGGTGAAGCAAGAGAGCCCGTACAAGTCGGTTTCACGACCGTTAGAAGTAATCGCTAGAGAAACTGGAATACACGCAGATGACATCAAGTACACAATTCGACATTTGCGCTTGCCGAACGAGTTGATGCACGAAAAGTCCTTGGTTGTCACGCCGAAACTGCTCCGAACAGTTTTTCAGCAGATCAGGGAGAAGTACACGAAGCGGGGTTCTTATGGGCCATTGTTGATAAATCATGATCTCCTGACGTGGCCGAATAAGGCGGTGAAAGTGATAAAGTGATCATGTGGTTTTGTTTTAATTCTTAGTGTACATTTACGATATGGTTGTACCTCAGCTTCTGAACTTGTTTCAGTTCCCCCGTAAAGTTCCAAGTCTCTCCGGAAATGATCCAGGTCTAACTATCGAGGCAAAAATTTCATCCTGCCGTGTTTCTAGCGCATGTTTCAGAGAGTAAATGATAAATTATCAGCCGAAAGCTGTTTCCAGTCTCAAATCTAAATTACTTCTGCATTTTGGTCTGTTCTTCAATGGATCATGTGTTATTTTGAAGTTTGAGTTGAATTGCAAGTACAGTAGTTGCAGAAGAAATTCTTGTAAAATTGTTGTGTATTTCGTGAGTAGCACTTCTATTACAAATGGTCCCTGATCAAGGTCAATCGTGCTTATCGTAGTCATATTTTTGGAGAAAACGGTCAATAAGAAAGTGACGAAACTTCAGTTTTCAAGAATTTGCAATTTTAACCTGGAGTTATATTCCATTGAATCGCGGATAAAAATTTGGTTCAAGTGGAAATTAGATTCCGAAGTATGAGTTTAATTTTTAATTGAAAAGGGAACCGCAAATGTTTTAGTATTTTTGGAATTCAATTCTTGCAGGACGTGAGAGGCAACTGTGTAAAAAAACCTTCATGAAAACGATTTTAAACATTGATCTCTAATTATCCATAATGCTCTTCATCTTCAGTTATTAATGTTGTGCGAAGATTTCCGATGCTCTGAGTGATGGTTCCAATTTTGGGAGAGGGCTTCGGCAATCGGCCATGTCTCCGCTGTAGCAACACGGAAACCGTAGTTTGTGAAGTGTGTTTTGCGCCATATTGCAGCATCGATTGCCAAAAACTCGACTGGCCGATTGGACACGTGATTCATTGCAAACCTGTTCCGTAAGTTGTAGTGTCCACCTTATTAGGTTTGAAAGAAACTTGAGCGTGTGTTTTTATTCTTGTTTTAGTGGGTCCATTCCTTCTGTGTCCCTTGTCAGCAACTCCGTCATAAACAATTACAGCAGGTAATGTGAATTGTTATTTTTTAATCGGTTAATGTCCCGATATTTCATTACTTTTTCCTAATTCAGGAGAATTTCTAGGACGCAGAACGGGTTTGATGGCGGTGTGTTCAGTCATCCGTGAGTAAAACATGCGCTTTTCATTTTTAACGTTTATTCCGAATTTTATTGCCTCACTTGGTCCAGATTCTTAATGGAAGAAAATATGGTAACTTCCATTTGTTAGAAATGGCCGACTCTCAACGTATCGTAGATTGATTGAAAAATGAAATGCAGAACACGATAAGATGATTCTGTGAGGAAAAATGAGAATGGTTAGTGTTCGAAAATGTCAAGTTTCCATCTCAGTATTGCTTTTGTCAGAAGTGAAGACTGATGTTGAGAGTACTGTATAAAAACTACAGTAAGAAAAATTTTCTCAATTTTTAGCTAAATTCTTTTTAAACCAATCCAGCAAGTTTGAAGATCATTGTGACTGACGTGAACTTAGGTTATAGTGTATAAATGCAAGAATGAGTTCGAACGTTGCATACATTTCAATATGCAGTTTTTGTGGTACAGTGTTTGTTTTTGTATTCGTGTAACATTGTCTTTCTTCACGCAGTGTTTGAAACACAGATAATTTTCAATATTATTGATACTCTCTTCTCTTATTCCCTTATTTTTTATAGCGCCGTGTTTCATGCCATTTTTAATTAAACTTATGCAGATGTAAATTCCAGTTACAGTATGCATTCAATTTTTGCTTCCGATTCAATAACCGAGAATGTGACGTTTACGGTTTTTGTCGCATTCATGCAGAAGTTATTTGTCCTCTGCTTAGGAATGGACAAAGGTACCCGGGATCGAGTTCAAGCTCCGACAGCAGTGACCGGATGCCTAACTCTTGGTCGTGAGTAATTCAGCGCGAAATCAACAGAATTATGAGTCTGAGTTGCCTACACTCATTTTGAAATAGATACGGACCTACAAACAAAATGTTTTCGGATCAGCGTTCTTGGCAGAACAAATTGCCGTTCGAGAAATCTCCCTGGGCGAACCCATCATACAATGTGAAAAAAACGTACATGAAAATGGATCTCGACGCGTTAAGTTTGTGAGTTACTTTTCATCCTGCTTCACCGCGACACGCATGATGTATCAATATCGTACATGTATTATTTATCCTTAGACCTGCCAACGGCAATGTTCCCGCTTGGAGACCCAAACCATCTAAGGTAAGTTGTCTGCGAGGGTCTGTTTTGAACATTTTTCAGGTTATTTTCTGTTTGCTACCGAATCTTTTTTTTTTAAGAATCTAGAAAATTTCTGACTGATGGTGTATGATTCAAGTTGTGAAGCATTGAAAACAAATGTGGATAATGATTTTAATGATGTGATACCCATTCGATAGTTTTTTTCAACATTATCCAAGCCAACACCGAACTTCCGTCAACTCACACGGCGGTAAATTTTATGTACTGTGATTACTTCCTCTTTGGAACACTTCACGTGGGACGTGTATTTGTCAAAAATTATATAAGTTCAGATTATATAATTTGGTGGCATATGTTAGAAAAATTTAAGGATTCGTCATCCATGGAGAGTTCAAGATTTTGACTTTTTGTGTGGGCTTGAAACCAACGAGGAAGTTATACTGAACGAGCGAAAAGCCGTTAAGCTTTTCGTCGCAATTCAGCTTCAGTCCTTTCATGGTAGTTTTGTTCAATGTTCACCTGGCAGTTCGAGGTATCGCGCACATTCAGCGTTGCGCAAGGATATTTGGGAATCTGTCGACGGTACTTGATTAATTATGATGCAGTGCTTCGTCCTTCACTTCGTGGTCAAGTTTCTTAATTTGATTATATGTCACTTGGCGATCTCAAGTGCATCTTGATTTTTGCGTTAGATCACCCCCGTTTCCACTTATTTGATTATCCCTCTGAGTGCCAGTGCTTAAGAATGCCGAAGCTTGATGATTGTTCAAAATGGGATTGGGAATTGACGCGCTAAATTCGTGACGATACCCTTTAACTTTCGTGATGAAACTCGAACTCCTGTTCTTTCAACCCGTTCGGTTTTTTTTTGTTTTGTCGATCAGGCGAGTAATTTCATGGGAATCCCGGATACGTTCTGGAACGATACCATAAAGAGCGAATGGCCAGCGACGGAAGCCGTGATTAAAATCAACGTTCTCTCAATGGGATCTCAATGCGGGGGATTTTTTGATTTCGCGGGAATCATTGGCGGCACCGCGGCTCAGTTCTTGAAGCTGCAGCAGCTTGAAATGGACGCCGCTGCGTATTGCGAACGGGTCATGGACGCCCATATTCCGGTTCCCGGGGATCTTGTGTTGGCCAAGTACGACGGGTTGTTTTACCGAGCGATTGCCGTGAGCCATAAAAGAGTCTGGTTCATGGATTACGGCAATTTCGCGGACGTTTCCCCGCTGGATGTGAGACGCATGCCTCTGGACTTGATGGAGACTGCGCCGAACATCAATTTGTTCAAGTTTGTAGGTCAGTAAATCTTAAGATTTTATGCTACTCTATTTTCAGAAGGAAAAATGTTAGTTCAAGTTTTTTAAATTTGTCTCAAAGGGACGCATTTGTTTGCGTACAAGTTTTTGTTGAATTTTTTAATTTCTAAAATTTGAGCGTACGATGTCCGAGACTGCGTGATTTTCTTCCATCATTGTGCAGGTGTCTCCTATTAGATTAGTTATTCCGGCGTTCGTAACATAGAGTCATAGACAATGGGGAAAAAACGTATCAAGTACACCATGTTCCACATATAAGACTGCAGATTTCCCGCCACTTCCAATGAAATTTTGTCTCAAATAGTTGGCGTAACAACATACTGTACAGTATTGTATTGCGCTGAGTACACTTGCTTTTAAGGGACCAACACAGAACCTGAAATTAATCAGTTTGGACCAATTCTGCGGGGCAGCCTATGCGGCGGTGGGAGCCGTTGAAGGTACAAGAATACTTTTTGTGTAGACGGGCATACTCAAAAACATTGGAAACCCCGTTAAAACGCCATACACCAAAATGATCGACAACATAAATATGATCCTGCCAATTGATTTACTTTTTTATAGCCCGTCAACAAGATTCAAGTTTTCTGCGATAAATCTCCAATTAAGAAACGCAAATGCGAAGATAATATAGTTTAATTCTTGGGAAAAGTAGCTAAATGTAATTAGCGCATCCCATGGTTATTTTTATTTTTTCTAGATGAATAAGAATTGTACTGAATTAATTATTGCATACTGTAACTTAATTTTCATATTACTGTACAGTATTTTAGCTTGTTGATGAACAGCCACAAAAAAATTATGGCGGCTCATCGAGGATTTACTGCAACTGTTTGTATACTGATGCGACTGGTCGTCGTCTCTCCTGTTGTTTTACAATTAACCGGAAATGTCACTGCAATTTTCTGTGGAAAGTTCAACTATTTCAACATGTACCGTTGTACCTGTCGCAATGCACTTGTTGAGGATGATTCACGGTGTCCCATCTTCTTTCTACGCAGATTTACTAATATGTTGAGTACAGTACTTTGAACATACAGTATTCATATTGTTGTGAAACCTTGATGCACGTGATCTTAAATCCTCTTCCTTTGCGTAGGCATTAAGCCATTGGTTGGAGATACGTTTGAAGTGGAAAGCCGCCAAGCCTTGACGAACGATTGGCAATTAATGACTGAAGTGGAGGCCATTTGCAAAGGTCTGGACGAAACTGGTCGGATCATATCTGTGGAAGTGCCTTCCCTTTACAAAAAGCTGTGCAAAGCTGGTCTCGTGCGTCTGTGACGGAAGACACCGACTGACACTCGCTCACTTCCGCCCGTTTTCTATTCGAAATTTTTTTTTACGATAAAGGCAGTATTTTGCAGTTTCTCTAGAAAAATGTTGCGTATACTTTTTGTAATCGAGCATTGCATGCTGTTGACTGCGAAAGTTGTTTTCTTCTTGTTCTTCCCCGTCACTGCTCTGTGATGACTCAATGCTCAATTTGAAATTTCGATTCTTACGTCAAGGATGGTATTCGAAAAAAATTTAGAGGTTAACCTGATGTTCCGTGAATCGTTCGGTACGAATTTGTGGTCATATGTTTTGCAATTCCGCGACAAAGAGTCGAAATTTCAGCTGACCTCGCTTCCTGCTCTGCGTTGTACCTTCGTAGAGTTTGATTGCAACTTTCTCAACTCACGGAAGGCCGTTTTTCTCGATTTATGAAAGAATCTCTACTCATTTTTCGGAATCTTTTCTCGAAATTTCTGCGTGCAATCTTGTCAGTTGATCTTTTTATTCGCGGCGCGGAGACGACGAAGGGCGATTTTCGGTGTTCATTTACTTCGAACACAGATGAGACGATGAGGACGATCGACGTGTTTCGTGTGTTTTGAGGAAAATGAAAGGATTTTTCGATTTTTGGGAAAAGGATCGAAGCTTTGCGTGGAACCATCGAGTTTCCTCCAGTTCAGCATGTCGTGATGAAAATGATGAAACAACTACTGTAATACTGATTTTGGCTCTCGTAAAGTAGGCATATTTTAGGGTATAAGGGCTTCAGTCGAATGCATTTTCAGGAGTGCATCACGAGATTTTTTGAGATCAGTTTTTATGTTGTACGACTGATATCAGAGGCTTCACCAGAGATATGGATTTTCTTGAATTCTGTAGTCGAAAACTGATTTCCGATTCGAAGAAATTCAAAGTATGAATCACGCCAGAATCTCTCAATATCCCAGTTTTGATCAAGATAAATGTATATAAACCGTGTTGAATTTCTAATGTTGGTAAACTCTACGATTTTTAAAATTCTTTCAAAAACAGCTATGAAAATCCTGTAGAACTGGAGGTTATGGCGATTTTTTGATTGGATAATATTGTTTGGTAAATCGTTGAGGGCATCGGATTGATTATTTTGATGTACTTGTTTAACGTAAGGACTGAAGTTGCTGTACGCTGCGTAATGCTTCGTCGTTGCCAATGATCGAATTTCCGCTTGTTTTCCGTGAACCTTTCTTATGATGGAGTTTTTGAGTTGAATTTACAATTTGAAAGTTTTTTATTTTCTTTAATTTGAAGAGGAACGATGACTACGTTGTACGTTTTGTTTGAACACGCGACGGGTTACTCTTTGACTCGCGTCAAAGAATTCGAAGAAGTCGGAGCGTTTCTTCCCGAAGTGGAAGCCAGTGTGAACGATGTGAGGAAGTTTCAAGGCCTCGTGAAACTCGTCGGTTTCGCGCCGTTCAAAAATGCCCAAAATGCGCTGGAGAATATGAACGCCGTCGCTGAAGGCGTCACGCACGACGACCTCAAAATCTTCCTGGAGAACTCGCTGCCGGCGTCGAAAAAGAAGGCCAAGACCGTCTTGGGCATCATCGACTCGAAACTGGCCGCCGGGATTTCCGAAGCTGTTCCCGGAACTACGTGCATTACAACTGGCGTCGTACCGGAAGTCGTGCGCGGAATCCGCCAGCACTTTTCTGCGTTGGTGAAGGACTTGAGCAAGGAGTTGAGCAACAAGGCGCAACTTGGGTTGGGTCATTCCTACTCGCGCGCCAAGGTCAAGTTCAATGTGCACCGGAGTGACAACATGATTATTCAGTCGATTGCGTTGTTGGACCAGTTGGATAAGGACATTAATACGTTTTCGATGAGGATCCGAGAATGGTACTCCTATCATTTTCCGGAGTTGGTGAAGATCGTCACGGACAACCACTCGTTTGCTCGTGCCGCCAAAATCATCGGCAATAGGTACATGAGCCGAAATTTTGTATCTGAGCGACTTTTTAATTTCTAGCGTGATTTATTTTTGAAGATTTTAACCCTAATCATCCTCTGCATCTGATACAGCCTCAGCGTTTCTGCTGAATTGAAATTCGTGTAATTTTATTTTAATGAAATTTCAGAGCATAGTGCATTGGGAAAGAATTTTTCATTAGACATGTCCCTGCGAAGAATTTTAAAATTTTTTTGTGTTCCAAGACTTCCAACCTAGATACATTCGTCTTTCACTCACTCCTATAGGATCACCAAACCTGGAATACGAAGAACTACTGTACTGTCGAAGAGTAAGGCGAAGTTGACTGTGATGTAATTTTTTGTGGTACTGTACATTACTAATGAAGTTATATAACTTATATTCAAGACTTTTTATGTAATAAATATCCCCCTCTTATTCAAATGATGGCACAGATAATTTCGTTCTCTGTTCTATCTTCGGATGAAACGAAGAAGTCAGTCGATGATTTTAAAATCGGATTCAGGAAGCCTTGGAATACTACTCTGAGCAGCGGATAACGTTGCGTGGCAACCTACCTATGAATAAATTAGAAATCTAAACGACGACAACTCATGTACAAATTCCATTAATTTTTTTAGCGAGAAAACACAAAGCAACTTTCTCAAATGTTAAGTTTATCGCCTTCTGTTTTTCGGGTAATTGCATTTTTAATAAACTACGCGAATTCCAGCATGTGACATTCTTTTAAAGAAAGAATAATTATCCGCTCAGATATATACTGTATTACGTGTCTGACGCACGAGTGTATTTTTTCTATGCAGGAAAGCGATGGACGAAGCGAAGACCCGGGAAAAGCTGCAGGAAGTAATCATGGACGAAGAGAAGGTCCAAGCAGTTTTGGACGCCAGTCGCTCTTCCATGGGCATGGATATATCCGCCGTGGACTTGATAAACATCAAGCACTTTGCCACCAGAGTGTCTGCGCTTGCCGATTACCGCACTGGTCTTCACGAATACCTAAAGAGGAAAATGACCGCCGTCGCCCCGAATTTGGCGGCGCTGATCGGCGAAATTGTTGGTGCCCGGTTGATCTCGCATGCTGGATCGCTGACCAACTTGGCCAAATATCCCGCGAGTACCGTGCAAATCCTCGGTGCTGAAAAGGCTCTATTCCGGTGAGATTTCTGGGTAATGTTTCTGTTGAGAAAAAACAGTTTTTTCTTCAAGTCGCTTGCTTGTTTTCGGTTTAGATTAAGTCTCCTGTTGAAAAAGGTTATGGTTGGTCAGATCGTTGATTGTTTTGCCAATCGTGGCGATTGGAAAACACGTTTCACGTCTAAAATCGCTTTCTTGGATCACAGAAATATCCGCTTTTGTTAAATCTTATTTTTTTAAATCGAAATTTGGGGTTTCACGAGGCGTGTATTCCATTTATTATGCCGGGAGAGGTATTTCAGTGAGCCGTCGCAAATCGCGCGGAGTCATGTCATTCTAATTCCTTCAGAAATTGCCTCATTTAGACCAATGTTTTAAGTGAAGGGATTTCCATTAAAAAAAATACTCAGTACTGTTATATTTCTGGTATGGTTCTAAAAATGATTGTCGGTTATGGTGTTTTCCCTTATTTTTCAACAGAGCGCTGAAGACGAGGGGAAACACTCCGAAGTATGGTCTTCTCTTCCATTCGACGTACATTGGACGAGCTACGGCGAAGAACAAGGGGAGGATTTCTCGCTATCTCGCCAACAAGTGTTCGATAGCGTCTCGAATTGACTGCTTTTCCGAGACTCCTACGAGCGTTTATGGCGAAATGCTGAAAGAGCAAGTTGAGGAGAGATTGGAGTTCTACAACTCCGGAACTATACCCCGCAAGAATGCTGAAGTTATGGCAGCTGCCTCGCTTGCAGCCGATGAAATTCGAGCTCAAATCTCGAAGAAGGAGAAGAAGAAGAAAAAGAAGAAGGTAATGACGGAGGAGGAATTCGAGGCAGTTGCTGAAGAGACGACGACGAAAAAGAAGAAGCGGGTGCATGCGGAAACGGAACCGGATGTGGACGAAGGCCTTATTGCTGATGAAAGTGAGCCAATTAAAAAGAAAAAGAAGAAATCTGTTGGCCCGGGTGGTGATGTGGAAACGGGCGAGAGTCCCTTCGGGAAGAAAAAGAAGAAGAAAAGCATGGAGGTCGCAGAAGTTGAGATGGAGGAAGAATATGCATGATTTGTTACTGCTGCCTGAGATTAAAAATTCATTTAGAGAAGGAAGAACGGGTTTTCTTGATGTTGCGGTCTGTGAAAACCGTACATACTCCTCTATCGACCCAATGTAAGCTTAGTAAGATGTAGAACAAAATTCCTTGAAGCTCATAAGTTGAAGTTGAGAATTTTCTGCTTTGATTTCTCTCCATTATTTCAAGATGAAGTCGGAATGTTTCTTGTGTAAATGAGGTATTTCAATGTAAGATCCATTTGATTTTCTGATACTGTATTAGTATACCAAACTGCACTGTGTTCAGCACAAGTTCTGTTTGAGACTTGCTCTCATTAATCCAATTTCCTTTAATTATTTAAATGCCCAGAGGAATTCCTGATCAAGGTGTGGCAAATTATGTTAACTTCCATGCCTGAAATTGAACTTTATAAGTTTCGTGATATTGCAACATACACTACTGTACTATAGTAACTCAAGTAAACACCCTTAAGGAAAATGTGCACTCCATTTTTAGTAACTTTAAAACTGCAATATTTCAAATGTAAAAGCACTATAATTCGAGTTTTGATGTCAATTGAGTAAGAAGTTTATGTTCAGAACAAGAAAATCCAATTTCAAGCAACACATTTTCAATGCACTAAGAATACTGTACAGTGAAATTCTCCAGCTGCAGCAATGCCAAAAAGTTTTTACTCATCACGTTTCTCACTGAGGAAGTTTTTCCCTCCTCTGTGCAGAAAATGACTAAGTTCTCCTGTTGTTCACTGAAGGAATATTTTAGGTAATCTGCAAATTCTGGAAATGATACACTTTTTTCATATACTTTTTTCTTTGTAGGTCATCTTTATATGTTAATGATGTATACTTATTGCAGTATACAAAAGGTTGTCTTTGAAATATTCAAAAATTTCCATGCTCACAAAAACTCAAAAGATATATTCAACCCTGATTCAATGTGCCGCAAATTTTAAAATCATATAAAAAGCATTACAATAATTCCTCTGGGGCGGCAGGAATGAGTTCTGCAGTTTCAGGATTTGCATATTGCAATGATTAGGAAGGCAATCAGGCATTGCCGTGACTGCATGATTTTTTTTTTCCTGTTGAATGAAGAGAAACCTGCCCTTCACCGAGAACGCCTCATCTATAGACCAGTTTTACAATATTGTAACAAACCCATGGCAGGAAAATTGAAAATGTTTTGATTATATAGTACTCAATATACGGAAAATAGTAAAGTATTGCACTGAAATGTTTGCTAAGCTAAAGGTCTGCATTTTGTACGCATGTTGGAGCTGCGTCAGTTTTAAAATTTTGCTTGGGTCTTACTATTAAAAAACATCTGTCAAAGCTTATTTTTCTCATGTGAACTGATTAACCCTCAAGTACCATTGAAGTACGGTATTCAATCATCATCATTGGTAGGACAGTTGTTGCATGTTGGTAACTCTGGCGCTTCGCGTACCCTAGAGTATTACGCGTGTGCGGGTGCTTCATTAGGCGGGGGGGTTGTTGTGGCGCGAGAATCGAGTGATGTTGTGGTGGGTGATTTCCTGTGATTCATGTCAATTCATTGCGCGAACAGTTACTTGTCTGATACATGCGAAGGACGGTCACAATGTTCAAAGTACAGTGCAGTACAGTGTTGCATTTTTCCCAGACCTGCTTTGTGGGAACGTGCTTTTGTCTCGTTCATTTGAGTCATTATTCCTGTGTGCATGGTTAGGTAGATATGTATTGCATTTGACCGGATTTTTCCATAAGTTTTCATGTAAACGATGATAGAATTGTAGAAGGCGTAAAATGGAAAACCGATCTAAAACATTGGCGGAGTTCAAAGCGGAGGCTCTCGCGCGTTTGAAAACTCGGAAGAGTCCCCGCGGAAACTCTTCCGAGGAGCCGACCGTCGATGATGTGGCGGTGGAAATCATGGGGTTGAACATATCTGACGACGTGAAAATAGTTGAAATTGTAAGGATTTGAAAATTTCCACGGAGAATCAAATTTTACGGTTAATTGTTCTATATCGTCAGGAAGATTCATCCTACATCTCTCGTGGGCCAACTGGATTTGCTACCGACGAAGACATGGCCACAAAGCATAAATGTTGGTGGGATGCCATGCATACGGAAAAGCCTCGTCGAGTCGGTGTTATTCATGAAAGGTAAATGAAATGATCAGCAACTGGATTTTGTGATATTGCCATTGCTGTACCTTAGACTGGAGAGTTCTTTGGAAGAGAATAAAGATCGTGTGGTACGTGTACAAGGAAGAAATGATTCAACAGCTCTTCGTGAAGATATCCTGCGTTTCCACTCCAGTTCGCATTTGGAGTCGTTGAAGAAAGCATCAGAATTGCCCCGGAGTGACATGCAAGCCTTCGCAAAAAAATATGATTCTGTTTATTTTGACGAGGTTTGTCTTTGTTTTTCCTGCATGTCGGACTGTTTTGAACTGTTTAATTCTTAGGATACGTACGATATGGCCATCCGAGCGGTGGATCTCACTACTTCGCTGATGGATAAAATCATCAACGGAAACTTGCAAAATGGGATGGCTGTTATCAGGTGATAATGCTGTGCCAATATGCAGATCGTAGGACTTGAATTTGATTTGCATGCATTCTTCTAGGCCACCGGGACATCACGCAATGCCTGAAGAATTCAACGGATTCTGTTTCTTGAACAATGTAGCAATTGCTGCGAAAAGAGCTCTGGAAGTTCACGGTATGTCCAAAGTTCTCGTTGTCGATTTCGACGTGCATCATGGACAAGGCATTCAAAGAGGATTTTACAGTGATCCAAGGTTCGTGTTTAAAATCGAAATGTTTCTAAAACCGTTTGCATTTCTGATTCATTGTTTATGCAGGGTTTTATACTTCTCGACTCATCGTTACGAGCGAGGCAAATTTTGGCCGGAATTGCGTGAGTCGGATTATGATTGTATCGGGGATGGAACAGGAAAGGGTTTCAACATTAACTTCCCATTCGATGATGTGGGAGCAACGGACGCTGACATGCTGACGGTGTGGCAGCGAATTCTTCTTCCGATTGCCTACGAGTTTAATCCGGATTTAGTCCTGATTTCCGCTGGTTATGACGCAGCATTTGGTTGCGCTGAGGTGAGCTTTGGAATTTTCAAAGATTGATTGCGGTTGGTTGTTCTGTCATTTTCATTCACATTGAGGACGTTGTATTATATTAATGACGAATTTTTGTCGTAGACCACACTCGCTAGTTTCAGATTCAGAATCTACCCCTCTCCTATTTCGATGTGGCTTAGATATTTTGTGTATGATGATACCCAATCTTATAATGTAAAAAAAAAATCATGAAGATGGTAGAGTTTTTTTTTTGCTGTATTGTGTACATTTTGTTTTAAGTTTTTGTATTAAGTAAATTCAAACTTTTAAATTATTGTCAGTTGTAGTAGTGCAGATATTTTTGTGAATTTGAACTGTGGAGGGAGGTGTTGTTCTTGGCAAAAACTGTGTTATTGCCTTCAATAGGAGAGACATGAAGCTCAAGGCTTGGAACAAAAATATAATTTTTTTTTATGTTGACGTTTTGAGACGGTTGACGATGCCTTCGCCAGATTCATGCTAGTTTGTACTTCGAATATCAGCCGCTAGGCATGTGGATGCGGTTTTGAGATTTTAGGATGTAGGTATAGATACGAATACTATATACTTTATAGATGCGAATTTTCAACGTAAATTACTATATTTTCGTTTTTTTTTTACTCGTGAATATTTCGGAAACGGACGCAAACATTTTAAACAATCATGATTGTTGTATTTTCCAGGGCTGTATGAGATTTACGCCCGCGTTGTATGCGCACCTCGTTAAGCCACTCATGGGCCTAGCTGGTGGGAAAGTCGCAGTTATCCTCGAGGTAAGAAATACGCGTCAACTACATCTGATCAAAATCTTTCAAGCGTACTTTTATTTCAGGGCGGATATTGCTTGGAATCTTTAGCAGAAAGTGCCTTGCAAACGTTCAATACGTTATTGGGCATTACCTGTCCTCGTCTTCCCGATTTAGACGTGAAAGCTTGTTCTTCGAAGTGATTTCCCTGTATTTTTCAAGTCAAATGCAGTTGTAACAGTTTTCCTGATCTTAATTCTTTCAGAACCAAGGACATGATCAAACGCTGTTGGAGTGTTTTAAAACCTCATTGGGTGTGTCTGAGTTGGGTTCCCGAGGATATCCTTCCGAAACTCGAAAATTTTGGCTTGGAGCCGTCAGCACCATTCCCGGCAGAATCCGATCCGTATGAAATGCATGACCTGAACACCAACGAAAAGTTGGGATGGATTTTGAAGCGCATGAAATTTCAAGGGGAGAAATGTTTTAGGCCCTCTTTTCTTGCTATTTTTTAACTGGAGTGAAATTCAGTTTTGAATCAAATTACTTTCGATCAAAGGACTTAGATCCTCCGCCTTTTTTACGTTATGTCAACGATTTTATATTCAAATAGGAGTCGCAAGAAAACGAAGAAAACCTCAGCATGGCTGGAAGTCCGTCGCTGTTGTTTATGATCCTGTAATGATGAGTCACTCACCTGGAGATAAGCATCATCCCGAAAGGCCAGAACGTATTTCAGCAAGTTGGGAGCGTTTAGAAGAACTGGAGGCTCCCTCGCGTTGTCTCCTACTGAAAGTATGAAGAATTTGGGAAATATTACGAGTTATGAATTTTTATAAAATCGTTCTTCTTTTAGTCCAGGATGATCACTGACGAAGAAATTTTACTATGTCACGATCAGACGCATTTATTGAATATGCGCGACATAGGGGCCAGGGTGAAGAATGATCCAGACTTCGAAGACAAACTTCATGTCAAGTCCTTGTACGTTTGCGATGAGACTAATTCGGCTGCGAAAATTGCAGCGGGATCCTGTCTTGAGGTGAACTATGGCCGATATCGTTGAAAATGTCGTTTACGCGAAGTTGAAGTGCACTTTTCGTATTTCGATTCACGCAAAATTCAGATGTATTTTGATTTACTCGTTTTAGTTTATACTGAACTTCTTATAGAAACTTGCCAATTTTATATGAAAATGTGTTAAAGAGTTTAGCAAAGTCTAGTGATAGTTCCGTAAAGTACATAATTCTTTATTCCTTAATTCTGCTTGCGAGGTTCTTTCGCGGGAAGCCAAACTTAGTAACCCTTACTTTGCTATGTTATCACGAAAAAGGGGTTTTTCGAGGATATGCAGTGGCCCGATTTCACATATTGGTCCTCTTTGACGAAGATTCATACGATATACAGTAGTTACGAACAAAATTTTTAACTAACAGATTTTTTCCGTGTTTGAGGGGCCAAGAAATCAAGTTTCAGATTCGATCACGTTTGAAATTTTAGAAAAAAAGGTTCGGTGAATAATTTATTTCAGGTGCTGGAAGCTGTGTTAAATGACATCACAGAAACGGGATTTGCCATCGTTCGACCTCCCGGCCACCACGCTGAACCGCATGAACCCTATGGCTTCTGCTTTTACAATAATGTCGCAATTATGGCCAAATTTGCCTTGGAAGTTTACGGTCTGTCCCGCATTCTCATTTTGGACTGGGATGTACATCACGGCAATGGGATCCAAAGAATGTTCGAGTCTGATCCACGAGTTCTTTACATGAGTTTGCATCGCTTTGGAGCGCGTTTTTTCCCGGTTGGGCCTGAAGGAAATTACGATCAAGTTGGGAAGGACATCGGACTCGGTTTCAATGTCAACATTCCGTGGAATGCGGTGAGTTGGTGGACATTCACGACGCATTTCCGTATTCAATATTCGCCAGAATTTGTTTTTGAACTGAAGGGTTTTGACCGAGATTATTGTCAGATATATTTTTTCGAATCGTAGGATGGGTGTCGCAAGAAGTTCAGCGTTCCTGATTACATGGCTGCGTTTTTTCATGTAGTGTTGCCAATTGCGTACGAATTCGACCCAGAATTGGTGCTGATTTCTGCAGGGTTTGACGCGCTTGACAGAGATCCGGTGGAAGAAAGTAAGATTTTCCGCATATCACTGTCTCCTGGATTTTCGCAAACTTTTCAATTAGGATAGTACTGTCTCTAGTTTTCGACGATGTGAGAATTCGGTTTATAATTCTATTCTCGATCTATCGAGCTGAGATTTTGTGGTCAACTCTTCCAATGGAATTATATGTGCGCTTGAAAAAAATAATTGGAGTTAGTTCTTCGGTCAAGATCCTAATAAAGCGATGTACAAGCGTCGGGGAACGCCAAAAAATCACCCTGAAAATATAAAAAAAATTTCGAAAATGACTCAATTCGTGAAGCAGGAACCGCTGGAGACTGACAGGAAGCCAAATTTTCCAAACGTGGAACGCATGTAAATTTCCAATATAGCACAAGATTTTACCCTAGATTTTCAGATGAAAGAATGTTGAGCAAGAAAAATAAAGCCTATTCCTGTCTTGTATTACAATGTTGTATAGACTTGACGATTTGTAATTTTTTAGAATTTAGTACCTATTTGTTTCCATCCATTAGTTCAAAATTAGCTTTCATCATTTGTACTTCACTTCTGCTATACAGTACTGTACAGTATTGCAATTCAAAGATAGTTTCTCGACTTTTGGAAATGTTATTGCCTTTTGTCAAAGACTGAACAATATTCTTCTGGAGGTTATTCAGGATTACCTATTGTATCAGTTAAAAAAAATGTAGGTAGCATTTGTTATGATGTATTATTATTTTTTTTTTAATTTCTGCGCAAAGTCGTTTGTCCTTGACGTTCTCCTATCTTGATTTTGCTAGTTATGACTCATAATAACCTTATTGTGACGGAAGTTGAGTGCGAATTTCTCTCTCATCACATTAAGAAAACCTCATTAAGAAGGCAGTTCTCGTAGAATTTTTGTTCAGCACGGTTTGCATTATGTTGTTTACCTCGCAGAAATTTGTCTGATCCCGGGCGTGTTCGCGCACCTGACGCATTTACTGTCCACTTTGGCCGATGGGCGCGTTGTGATGGCTTTGGAAGGCGGCTATCGCGTGGACGGAGTTGCTGAGAGTGTAGCCCGTTGCATAACGACGCTGCTTGGGGACAGGCCGCCTCGACTCGGTCCTGGGCTCTGTCCCGATTGGGGCCTGAACCCGCGAACAGCGACAGCTTTGCGAAGCGTGGCTGGAGCACAAAAAAATTACTGGAAGAATGTTGACGTGCATTTGCCCCGCGTTTCTGACCAAAAGTGATCCGGGCTATCTTATTGTGGGGTGCGATTTTTATAACAACTAGTTTTTTTTTTCTTGGCACAGGTTGATTTGTTAGATTGCTTGACAGAGTGTGACCTTTCTGGTCTTAGTTTTCAGCTTTTGTTTAAAAAAAATGCTTGCGGTTGTGGAAACTAGGTTTTGCACGTTCATTGACACTGAACTGGTTTAATTTTTTGGTGATAGTTATCGTATTCCAATGTTTTATTCCGGCTTGAAAACGTTAATGAGTACTGTTGCCATTCACGTTGACCGAGCCTTGAAATCGTGACATTTGTTTGCGTTGATGATTGCCTGTTTTCCTTGAGCTGTGTGTGTTATTTGTGGCTGCTAATGTTGAAAATTCTTTTGTTTCTCTTTTTATCTTCTGAATACCCTTTTCACTTAAAAAAAATCGAGGGTTAATATTGCTCACATTTCGTCGTATTTTCAGATTTTTCTGTTGTGCGGTCTGGTAGATTTCGAACTCTTTTTGTTGTTGCTGAAAGGTGAGATTCTTTGGATGAGTTGCGTATTTTTAATTTCTGCGCAAAGTCGTTTGTCCTTGACGTTCTCCTATCTTGATTTTGCTAGTTATGACTCATAATAACCTTATTGTGACGGAAGTTGAGTGCGAATTTCTCTCTCATCACATTAAGAAAGCCTCATTAAGAAGTCAGTTCTCGTAGAATTTTTGTTCAGCACGGTTTGCATTATGTTGTTTACCTCGCAGAAATTTGTCTGATCCCGGGCGTGTTCGCGCACCTGACGCATTTACTGTCCACTTTGGCCGATGGACGCGTTGTGATGGCGCTGGAAGGCGGCTATCGCGTGGACGGAGTTGCTGAGAGTGTAGCCCGTTGCATAACGACGCTGCTTGGGGACAGGCAGCCTCGACTCGGTCCTGGGCTCTGTCCCGATTGGGGCCTGAACCCGCGAACAGCGACAGCTTTGCGAAGCGTGGCTGGAGTGCACAAAAATTACTGGAAGAATGTTGACGTGCATTTGCCCCGCGTTTCTGACCAAAAGTGATCTGGGCTATCTTATTGTGGGGTGCGATTTTTATAACAACTAGTTTTTTTTTTCTTGGCACAGGTTGATTTGTTAGATTGCTTGACAGAGTGTGACCTTTTTGGTCTTAGTTTTCAGCTTTTGTTTAAAAAAAATGCTTGCGGTTGTGGAAACTAGGTTTTGCACGTTCATTGACACTGAACTGGTTTAATTTTTTGGTGATAGTTATCGTATTCCAATATTTTATTCCGGCTTGAAAACGTTAATGAGTACTGTTGCCATTCACGTTGACCGAGCCTTGAAATCGTGACATTCGTTTGCGTTGATGATTGCCTGTTTTCCTTGAGCTGTGTGTGTTATTTGTGGCTGCTAATGTTGAAAATTCTTTTGTTTCTCTTTTTATATTCTGAATACCCTTTTCACTTAAAAAAAAATCGAGGGTTAATATTGCTCACATTTCGTCGTATTTTCAGATTTTTCTGTTGTGCGGTCTGGTAGATTTCGAACTCTTTTTGTTGTTGCTGAAAGGTGAGATTCTTTGGATGAGTTGCGTACTGTACATACTTTTTCCCCGGAACATGTGAGTGCATCTTGAAAATTTGGCAAAGAAAAAAATAGCTGTAATTTAATGCAAAACATGGAGCTAAGCATACTTATAACAGTGGCAAAATTGTATGAAACACTTATAATTTGAAATCTTGTTATAAAAATACCGTATCATGAAACGGTTTTTAGTGAAAAATTTTTGTTCGAACCCTTGGCTGAAGCGTTTATATTGTACCTTAGAGTACGTGTTGCAACAATTCCAGTGTAAAATTCTTGAAAAAGTCAGTATAAATACTTCGATTATTCGGATTTTTCGCGGGGGCATTTGCGTTTCACAAAGCAGACACTGCTTCAGGTTGTGAATTTCAAAACTGCTGCTGATCTTCAAAGATTCAAGTGGCCTAAAATTCTATGATTTTGTTGCTTTTATTTAATGCCCAAATACTGTACTCGAAACACTAATAAATCAAGTGCAAATTTTGCCAAATGTTACCTACCGTAGAGGGTCAGAAGCTTTTGCTATTGGAAATAGTGACAAGTAAAAAAAATTCGTTCAATTTCGAACAATAATGCTATTTTCGTTGGTTATGAGCGCGTGAACCAATTAAAGGAAACGAAGTGACCGAGAATTTTTGTTGAAAAATTTCGGATTACAGTATTTCAGGGTCTGAATAACTAGAATAGCGGTGTTCTGAGTTAATTTATGTGCATAACTGATATTAAGCACTCACTGTTCTGGGACGCGGTCAATTTTCCTGTAACAACTCTCGATGTTCAAAATTTTCTCAAGGGTTTGAATCCCCCTTTTCCAAAGATTCAAGTGGCCTAAAATTCTATGATTTTGTTGCTTTTATTTAATGCCCAAATACTGTACTCGAAACACTAATAAATCAAGTGCAAATTTTGCCAAATGTTACCTACCGTAGAGGGTCAGAAGCTGTTGCTATTGGAAATAGTGACTAAGAATGCATTGCAGTAGGTCTCTTTAAAGAAAAGCTAGAAATACGATTGATTTCGAAGTAAAAAAAAAATTCGTTCAATTGCGAACAATAATGCTATTTTCGTTGGTTATGAGCGCGTGAACCAATTAAAGGAAACGAAGTGACCGAGAATTTTTGTTGAAAAATTTCGGATTACAGTATTTCAGGGTCTGAATAACTAGAATAACGGTGTTCTGAGTTAATTTATGTGCATAACTGATATTAAGCACTCACTGTTCTGGGACGCGGTCAATTTTCCTGTAACAACTCTCGATGTTCAAAATTTTCTCAAGGGTTTGAATCCCCCTTTTCCACAGGACAACACGGTATTGTCGCTCATTGTCGGAACTGAGTAATTGCCTGCGTCGCCCAGGTTCAATGTTCCCCCGCGATCTTCAGATTGAAAATTTTTCGATTCACGAACGCATTCAACGGGTTGACCAGCGGCGACCGAAGGTTTTTATCTCTCTTTCTTGTTTTTAGAATCGGTTACATTGGAACTAAGTGAGTTGCATTTCGTTCAGTGAAAGATGGACCGTGGAAGTGCTGGCCGATCCACGCTTCCGTCTCCCGACGATGAGCGTTTATTGCGGAAAAGAGTTTTGGAAGGGGAAGACGTATCTAGAGCGGGTGAAAAAAGAAGAAGCGAGGATTTGACCCCGAGGGAGCGAAGACCTATCGCCAATGCGAGTGCACTTCAGACATCTCATGTTTCTCCATCGCAATTGGTGGTTTCATTTTTTAGCTGTGATATCGTCACAGAAATGTTAATTTTTTTCGTCATTATCTCTGCCAGATGGTGGAAGGCGGTTTCAATGCGATGTTCTCGCAAATCCAAATCTTCAAAAAGATTCTTTTTGATATGCTCGCTGGTGTAAGTAAAGTATTTTTTTCTTCTTCGTAGAAAGTATTCTCCTCGTAACCAGATTATGGAGTGTTGAAATGTCCTTGTTGCAACGGAGTCGCAAGTGGGAAAGCTTTAATTCAGCAACACCTGTCCCGTGAAAATGCTTTTCAAGATACTGTATTATCAAATGGGACGGATTTTATTATAGAGACGACGTTTCTCTGTGCATCTACGGATAATAAAAAGACATAATTTTCCTGGAGTTAATAAATCGTGTGTTTATAACTTGTAATTGAACGGAATTTTCAATCTCGTGAATTCTTCGTGATAATAAGCAGTTCGTTGAGATAACCCGTATGTAGGCTGATGGCGGTGTTGGATCTTTTTTGAACGCTGCTGAGCGTTCGGCCGGCACGCAGTAGAAAACTTCTCATGTTGATGGTCTGTAAATTAAAGAATGTCTTCCAGAAGGTTTTTTGTTTCGTGTACATTTTCCATCTCTAAAACGTTACTGTATTGATTGAAATTAATGTTGAAAGGTTGCCTGATTTAATTCCATGATAGTTCTTTAATTTTTTAAATTTGTTTCTCTTCAAAGATTTGAGCAAGAATGATCGGTCTCGAGTACTATCCTCATGCTGAGCTTTGAAACATTTGATTTTTGACCATTTGCAGGTCCAGAATTTCGAGGCTCGAATTTTGGCTGTTGAAATGCATTTCGGAAGCATAGGAGCACCAGGTGCCCAGAGCGATACATCTTCAATTGTCGCTGGTGAGCTTAAGACAGTCTTTTTTTGTGCAATTAATTTATTCTTCGCGCTGAAGGGTTCGTTTCGAGTTTTGCTTCATCCGCACTTTTTTAAAATTGGGAATATTGTTCGACCAATGCTCAATGGTGAGCTTATCAACATTTAATTTCATTGTTATTTGACTTATGAGTCATAAATGCATTCGTTCCCTCCTCCCCCTCGGATTCTTCGATGCTTTCATCGAAGTGGTTCGGGGCTTCACAAACATGACTTTTCGAAAAAAATATAAAGTTTACGTTGCTCCTAAATGCTTCTCTACGTCTTTTTCGATTCATTTTTAAGAGCACGAACATGATCTTGAAGTTTACACTCCTCCGCCGTCTGCTGAAATTTCTTCCTACGTACCAGACACCCTGAGTGAAGGCAAAGCAGGTAGTGCGAATACTTCTTTTGTCCAAGAAAATTCGGACGAGTCGTTTGCGGGAAACGAAGCATTGGCTGCAGGCGGATTTGATTGCATGGTAAAGACCAACTTCTTTCATTTGTTTTCTATACAGTAGCGGAAAAAATGTAATGCGTAGTGTGAGATCCCGATTTTTTATTTATAAATCTTCTGAATTCGAGGCTCGTCTCTGCTTTCTGTACTGTGTGGAAGGCGTCATCTGAATTAATAAATGCACGAAAAATTCCCCATCAACCAAATATAAATCTGACTTTCCGAACTAATGATGGGTTGGAATATTCAGGCGAAACTCATGTCGTAAAAGTATCGTATCGTCAGGGCTGTTTTCTTGAGTAAACCTGTAGATTAAAGAAATTCTTCTTTTCGTCGAATTTTTTCATCTTCTGTTTGTTTCTTTTCGCTGAAATCTCATTGGTTAATAAAATTACTATATTGAGGATTTTATTTCACATTCTTGCTCCGTCTCTGGACAGACTGAGCAATATTATGTGACATTCGTTCAGCGTTGAAGTTCCTCCGTACGAGCGTTGAATTGCAACATGTTTATTCTAGATTTTGAACCATGAAAACGTTGCGGCTCAGCAACCGTCATATACGTCATCGTTGCCCTCCGTGGGGATGCAACGCTGTGACGCATCGTTTAGTCATGGAGGTTTATCTGCAGTGAATCGACCGAGCACCGAAATGGAGACATCAAGAGTGAGAGAAGACATTTTTCGGAATCAGTTTTCGAATTTTTCGTCAGAGGCGGTAAATGGTCTTTCTGTTCATCATGGACCCGCTTTCCATTCGAAAACATCACCTTATAAAAAATAAATACTGTACAGGTGGACTTTTTTTGCAACGAAATTCAAGGAAACAGAAAATAATCGTTGAGAGAATTTCGTTGTGGAGTTTCCCTATAACATGGGGAGAGAACCTTATGGAACCAAAAAAAATATGTTAAAACGTTGAATAGGGAAAAACGTTGCAGAGAAGGAGAGTTCACCTGTATAACCGAAGAAAGCACGCTAAAATCTGTGTACAGAAAATTTTTACGAAAAGGGATTGAAATAAAAAGTTTGAGGTCAAATTGTTCCCGCAAATAAAATGCCATTAAGCTGGTTACGCTCTTTTTTCTGATTTATGGAAAATAAATTTAGGAAGATCCGAATTTTTGGCTGAAGAAAATAAAATTTTGACCAACGTAAAGCAATTTTCCCCCTGGAGACTTCGGGAACTGTCTCCAAGAAGTACAGTAAAGCACTGAGGCAGTGAATGCAAAAAAACCTTTTGTCAGATCCCTCGTAAGTTGGTCGAAATTTTGTGTTTTAAGCTCAAAATTGTCTTTATTTCGAAGAATGCGGATGCCAAGAAGATATTTCATTTGCCCGAGCAAAATTCTAAAGATTCTGTGGAAATTTATTTTTTCTTCGTTTTTGCTTTTGTTTTCATTTTCACGTTTTATTCGTGTTTTAGTTGGTATCGCTGAGCGTGCAGTATTTGATCATGCACGTGAAGAATATCCTGAATGGACGAATGTCTTCTGATTTTGTTGTCATCAGGTAAATCCATTTCGACCTGATACTAATCCCATATACAGTACGTTAATTATTGCTGTATACAGCGTTGAAAGCAAAATTCTCTCCTTAACCTTTTTCAGCTAATCACTTTTCTAAAATTTCAAAATCTATTGAGGTTTCTAGATCATACTGTAATTGATTTTGCTTCAAAATTTATTTTCAAAAATTGCTTATTTTGAATAAAAATTTATTTTTTGCTCTCCACTAGGAAAACGGAACCATCGAACGTAATGGAATACAGCTATTCGTGCGTGGTGAGCGCACTAAAATTAATACTGGAAAATTTGCAATTGAAACGAATTTTGGTAATCGAAATCGACTCCACGCATCGTACGGACATCCAGAAGGAGTTCTATCACGACAGAAGGTTCGATCCGTAGCTGTACCATGAAAAACCTGTCAGTTACGAGTTCAACCCCGAATTGGTGTTTTTTCTCGTGAATGCAGATTCTTTCAACGCTCCTGGAAAACACGTACGTCCGCAACGTTCCGGAAAGACAAAAGAAAGTTAGGGAGTGTTTTTTTTCGTACTGACGAACCCAAGACTGAACAATTATCTGTTCTTAGTTCAAGTACTGTACTTTTTTCGAAGAATTACGCAAGATGGAGGTTTTTTGTAGATAGGTGCCAGAGCTTTTGAAGACCAAGATTTCAGACCTCTGTTTTCTAGAATCTGGATAGTCTAAAATAGGCTGTGTTGAAATACCTTTCCCGGATGTTTTTCCTGAAAACACTGTCGAAATTGCTGTTATTCTTGCTGATTGCACGCTTATGTATTTACAGGCTTTCGACCTCACTAAGGCCTTTTACGATCATATGCGGCACGCTGTTCTTGGTCTTGCTGGCGGAAACATTTGCTCTGGGTTTTTGGTGAGTAAGCCTTCTAGCTTTGGGTCATTTTCAAATTACAAACATCTGAAGTATGTGGCCTGTATCCGTGCTCGCGGAAGTTTCAATGATTTTCATTCTGTATTTCAACGACCTACTGTATTTCCAACAAATTCATAGAATTGAGCTTCAGATTTGTGAAGAAACTTTGAGGATTAAAGTTCATTTGTTTGTTTTCTGTAATCTAATCAAATTAGCGTAAGAATACAACCGCGGAATGAAGAGAAGGGGCACTCTTCAACTGCGGTAATAAGCTCGACGTCCTATGCTCAGTAATTTCATTTGCCATCATATAGGTATAACCGGTATTTTTTTACGTATTATTTCGATGTCTATTGGAGATAATCTGGGTTACGTTTGTTCGGCTCAAGTTCGATTGTATCAGGGTCAGGGAAGTTAGTTGAAGTTCAGTTGGTTGGTTTTTTATTTATTCATCAGTTATTCAGGCGACGCCTGCCTTAAAATTCAGAACGAAAGGTCGTTGAAGGGACGAAAATGCGTCTGATTTTTTTTCCGACTTTTATTTTAGAGTGACGTGTTGGGGCCAAGTTGGGTTAGGTTCTTGGCAAACGGATTAGCTTGTCCGAATATTTCTAATTTCAATTCGCGGCGAGCCTCACCAGGGTATGTCTTAGCGCCTTGTCTGCTGTTACACATGAGTTTCAAAAAATGTCTTCTACGTTCTGAAGGATAAAAGCCACGATTCGGAGATGCTGGTCTGTTTTGAGTCGCCATTGGAAATCACTTGCTTGGCTGGGTGACGTAGGGTTGGATCCTCCAGGTGCGGAAGAAATCTTGCAAGTCGTCAAGGAAGAACGAAGTACGTGCCCCCTTTCAATAGATAACGTAAAAATCCCGCGTGTTGGTGTTAAAACGTCTCGTTTTTAAGTAGAGGAGGAACATTTTGTCTCCTTCGATACGAAATCGGTTGCATTGGTGTACGACGAAAAAATGATGCTTCACAAGATGCCAAGAAGTCATCCGGAGAAACCCGAGAGAATAAAAGCCATTTGGGCGCATCTGCTCGAAAGGAGACTGCTGGAGCGTTGCATTATTTTAAAAGTAAGTCATTTTTTCATGATTCAGCAGGTGATTCGCTACGTAATTATATTATTAAAAAGCTTGAAATAAAAATTGTTATTACTTTCGTAGGCGAGGGAAGCTGATGATAGCGAGTTGAGTTTATGTCACCTTCCGAAGTACGTTGAGCACATGGATGCTTTGACGGAAAAACTCAAGGCCCCTATTGTGACGCTCGAAATGAACGAAAACTCAATCTATGCGAGCAAGAGTACAAACCAATGTGCAAAACTTGCAGCCGGGTCATGCATTGAGGTAAAAAGTCCTTTTTTTTTAATATTGGTGGTTTGTCTTGTAAGCAATCCGAAGTCCGGATGTAACATCGGGTTAATCATTTTTGAAATTGTTCCCATCGTTCTCAGTATCCTAAATTTGGTTATTGCATTGGTGTCGCTTGAATTTTTCAATGTTTCCCTATGAGTGTGTTTGGTTAATATGTATCGTTTAATTTAGTTTTTGTCAAGTTTGATTGGATTTTATATTTATTTCAGACCAGAGTTCAGTTTTAGTCAGGCGACATCTGTTCGACGTTTGAAAAAACTACGTAACGTGAAAGGAGCGGAAAATTATTTCCGTGGAAAATGGAAATGAATATCAGAAAGCTGCATTAGAAATGAGCATGAAAAATATATTTTTCAATCTTATTTGATGTCAAAGTTACACAATACCTTTTCTGTCAAGGACGATTTTTGCGTCATCGGAGAAATAGTAATTATTGAATGGAAAGAGAAAAATGAATTTGATCATATATATTTTTTTAGCTTGTGAAAGCTGTTCTTGAGGGTAAAGCCTTGTCGGGATTCGCAATCGTTCGGCCACCTGGACACCACGCGGAGCGAGATTTTTTCTTCGGATTCTGCTTTTTCAACAATGTTTCGTTGATGGCAGAATACGCATTGAGGAAGCATCACCTAGAACGTATTCTGATCATTGACTGGGATGTTCATCACGGCAACGGAACTCAGAATATGTTCGAATCTGACCCGCGGGTCCTCCTGGTGAGCTTACACCGCTTCGGATCGGACGTTTTTCCCGCGGGGCCCGATGGGGATTTTTACAAAACAGGCATTGGCGGTGGAGTAGGTTACAACATCAATATCCCTTGGCACACTGTGAGTATCTTTCATCTAGATTCTAGAGATCTATGCCAGTGCCGCCAAACATGTGGCCAAGGGCCACGTTAATACATTTTTTAAGGACAAGGGCCGCATTGCAGAGTCGGAGAGTTCTTACAGGGCACAATAGCCATTTTTAGAGGATGCAAATTTTCCCTTTTAAAGGAGAATTTTTAAATTCAGTTCATTGCTGTGTATTGATTCACGAGCATAGCCTTATAGAATTCTTGAAGGGTGGAGCAACATTTTGAATGTCTCAATTCATCTTTCAGTATGCAGGTATATTTTGAATAGTGGTGGCTGCCACCGGCCCGTGGGCCGTTTTTTGGGCAGCACTGTTGTGGACTATTTTCAGTATTTTGAACAACCCTGCATCGTATGCAATAATTTTTATATCCAGAAACAAAATAATGAATAATTTTTTCATCTTTGTCTGGTTTTACAGGATGAATATCCAAAGCCATTTGGAGCTCCTGAATATATTGCGGCATTTCTGCACATCATCCTGCCAATCGCGTACGAATTCGACCCAGAGTTGGTTCTCATCTCTGCTGGATTTGATTCACTGAGAAATGATCCATTAGACAACCGTAAGTCTTTGGTTGCTTGAAAAGTTATGACATTTTTTCACATGTATTATGTTTCGGCCATTGTTCGTGCCTCACAAATAGTTACGTAATTGAAGACTAAAAATACAATTCCGTATAGTTTCTACTGAGCTTACACTACATCATAAGTTCTGGCATTACTTCATACACCGGAGCAGTTCAAATACTGTAGTATTAAGTTTTGCGATTGAACGAGCCGATTGCAATGTATGCTTTTATTCACAAACAGTGTTGTACAAAATATGCTCATTACTTCTGTATGATGTAATTTTGAATTGGGTTTCTCGTGCGAGAAAAACTAGAGATAAAAGGTGTTTTTCCGATCCGAAGGGAATACTATACAGTATTGTACTAAAAACCAGTGAATGAACTGGTCTTTGTCTCATGCGAGTATGTTGAATTTGAAGGTGTCCAGTTGGACCCAGAATCATTCGCTCACATGACGCATCTGCTGTCGTCTCTCGCACAAGGCCGAGTCGTCATGGCACTAGAAGGAGGCTATCACTTGCCGGATCTTTCGAAAAGTGTCGGACAATGTGTATCGACAATGCTTGGTGATCCATTGCCGTTGCCGGATCCGGGGGTGAACGCAGACTGGTCTGTGAATCGTCGAGCGTCCAACGTTTTCTTCAAACTCTGTCGGAAGCTCAAAGAGCAATGGTCAAACGTCGACGTTCATGTACGGATGAACAAAGGCGTCTCTGATTTCGTTCCTGTTACGTTATGACCTTCCATTTGGAGGAATTATATTTTTTTTTGGTTGTGGGGAGGAGAAATTCAGAAAACGACCTTTTTAGGAACGGGATTCTTCCACCTATTTTCAAAAATGAACTGTGAATTTTTTCATAGGTCCGCGACATTTTTGGCTTTTCAGTATGCTGAGAGAAAATAGGGGATATTCTCTGAGTGTTCGAAAGAAATATCCGTTTTCGTTTTAACCGATTACATTTTTTAGAATGACTAACGGGACTCCTGGTGTGCGTCCGTTCCTGAACCCAGCCTTTCACCATGTTCTGAAGAGTTTTTAATTGACATGTAAGCGTTTTTCCGCCCTATGCAACCAAATTTCATTTCGAAAAATATTTCATCGGATTAATACGGCAATTTCAACCTAATCCATTTTAAAATTGAGTATTTTATGAGGAGGAATTTCGTGCAAGGCCGGAACTGCTCGTGATGGGTTCTTGGAACAAAGGTTTACCATACGATCTCGTGAAAAAAGTGTGATTTTTATCAAGGCATTTATGGATTTCATTTTGTCTAGAAGAGACGTCAAAGGTTTAAAATTTGATGCACCGGCGAATTTTGTTTTTGTTGATTGTTGCAAATTCTGAGAATTTCATGTGATTGATCGGCGTTGCAATTGTTGGTTGGGCAATTAATCAGTCCACCCAAGACGCGTTAACTCAATTCGTTGCCAATTATGAGGATTGTTTCGGGAACTTATGTGTTTCATGTGGAATGCGGGTGATGCTCTTTGGTGATTTGGTGAACTTCTGTCGTAGCAGTCGAACATAGAAAATTATCGCTTGAAGGGTGTGATTATTCTCTTCGAAATTGCAGAAGTGAAATTGTCTTTGAAAATTATCGTTGAGTTCTTCTAATTCCAGGGATCCGTTGTCGATATGCTTTGCGATTTTTTTTATTCATGGACGAATTCGATTCGAGAACATGTCAGATACATTTAGAGGGTTGACGGCAGCATTGTACGAGTCGTATTTCCCGAAGGTGAGATTTTTCCCTTGCATCTTTCTGAGATATTCTTCGTCAGATGATCAATTTTCATGTCTAGCCTTGGGCTGATGTTTTCAATTTACAGATTGCATTTCCTGGGGGCTCAGAAATTTCATATTTGTTTTCGATTCGGATCAAAGATGTAGTTTCGGAAATTATGCTGCGGTGGGAGGGGAAAATCCGCTGAATTTTCGAATAATTTTATCTTTTTTTTTCCGTCAGAGTTTTTAAGGCGTATTTCGTCCAAACATGTCTGCTATAAAAACATGGGTCAACGATCATCTCCACGACTTGATCGGGTTATCAGATGCAACAATCGTTGACTTCCTTGTTGGTGTTGCTCGAGAATCCGGTTCAGCAGCTTCATTGCTGATGAAACTCGAAAAAGCCGAAGTCGTGGAAATGAGTCCGAAAATGGAAGACTTTTTGGCGGATCTGTGGCTGAAGGTAAAATTTTCGAACTTGAAAAAATTTACTGTATACTATTCCGTTT